TGCGTATGGATGAAAATGAGGAGAGTGAAGGATTTCATCCTAGCAATGAGATACTGACAAGAGCTGATGATAGAACTGGAAGAGTCCACCAAGCAGTTGATGTAGCAGAGGTTATACGGCGATGGACACATGCTTTGCAACGTATTCATAAGCAATCACTTCATTTGGTATGTTTTTCAAGCTGTTCTATTCCTAGCTTCTTTTTTCTTTGTGGGGCAAGGGGGTGGTTCACTCGGCTTGACTTTAAGATACTTCATTATATTCTTTCTAACTGTAGAAATATGCATTTTAGTACATTAGTTGTTATATAATACGATTTAAGTTGTTACTCAGTTGTTTTATCCATGGGGAATCTTAGGCATGCCTCAATGACCCTGGAACGTAGAGGATATATTCACATAAATAAGTTTGTTGCACTCTTATTTAAATGTTATTTCTTATTAATTCTAATTCTAACTCTTGGAACTAGGACTACCTGACCTATAGAGTCCCTAGTACTTTTGATTAAAATTATAACATTTTCTCGTCTCTTTTGTCATGGTTATTATCATTTTTTCAATTAACTCTACTTAGCGTTGTTTATATCTTTTATAAACTTAACTATGCTATGATCTGTAGGCAAAAGCAAATGATGGGGAGGGTCCAGATATATTGCGAAGTGCACAAGAAGGTGGGTCAAGTGGACATGCTGAGTCTTTAGCAGCAACTCTTGCAGAGCATCAGCAACATTTGGCTAGCTTTCAGGTTAAGCATTAAACCATACTTAACCACCGTAAAATTTTTCTAAGGTTGAAGCACTTCTGCAGGAAGCTTCATTAGAGTAGTTGTGTTATTGAGGAGTTACATGCCTCTTATTGGCTTATTGTCTTCTTGTTCCATTCTTTAGCATAAATGTATTCAAACGTTGATTCATCTTTTCTCTTTCTCTGTGGAGGAGGGTGGATTATTTTTGTGGGGACATAGGACTGCCATGTGTATACCTAAAAGATCCCTGTTGGGTTTCTTACATCCAAGCGCCTTTTATATGCAGGTCCTTATTAACCAACTGAAGGAAGTTGCTCCAGCAATACAGAAGTCCATATCAGAATGTACAGAAAAGGTGAACAGCGTAGCCTCCAATCTACCTCCATCAAATAGACATCATGGGCAATCAACATCCCCTATTCAAACGCAAAGTAGTCTGAGGATGGTAACTATTTATAATTTATTTCCTTCAATTATTACTGACTTCTCTTGGATTTGGTTAAAATTATGCAGAACTTTCTGTTAATTTTTGTGCACTATATAAAACTTGGGTCCTAAGAGCTAAAACAGAAAAATCACATTTGTAACTGTTGTTATTTCAATATAAAATTGTCATTTTATTTTATTTTAAAGATAAGAGGGAGGTCTGTTTTATGGCCTATACAAATGGGAGGTCGGTTTCTATTTTCCTGTTATTTTAGTACTATTACTTAACAATCAGAGATCTTATTTGTTTTTTTAAAAACTCAAATTATTCAGGATGGTGGCATTGATGATGTTGGTGAGGTGACATCAAGAATATCTAATATTCAGCTTGATAAGATGTCAGCTAGTCCTCCCACTTTAAAGCTTCCTCAATTATTTAGCTTGACTCCAACCTCTGGAAAAGCTGGAAATGTGCAAAGGAGGCATAGTACAGCTCCTCAGACCAGCCAAACTGAGAATCTTTCTGAAGGGAAACCTTTGAATCCTAATTCAAGTAATCAGGCAGAGACTTTACCAGAAGGTTTACTGCGTCTATTCTGTTGCTTAACTGGTGCAATGTTTTTGAAGCTTATCGGGTTTCAGAGAAAATTTTATCGAAAATTACTCGAAGGTCCCACATAACACCGTAAAATACTCCAAGAGATCCCTTTGAACCATTAAATTATGGTGGAGTCCTATGAGCCTTAATTGTAATTAAGTTTTGGTGTGCATTTACCAAAATACACTTAAAAAATTGAGGGAATTTTTTAATTTTTTTAATTAAAAATATTTTAGTAAATGTACACCAAAGCTCATTTGCAATTAAGGCCCATGGGGATCCACAATAATTTGATGATTTCAAGGGGCCTCGGAGTATTTTAGGGTGTTGTGTGGAACCTTGGAGTAATTTTCCCAAAATTTTACGTCTTTAATGAATTGGTTGATAGCCTTATTTTGTAGGTTTGATTTTCATTCTGTGTTTTGCAGAGAGAGATATTTCCTATGTCCAGAATCTGAAGAGGTCAGTAAGAGAAGCAGCATTGTCATTGCGGTCCTGCAATTCAGAATCATCACGAGACAGTCATTCTGATGGAAGTTCTGAGCACTTCTTTGCCCCTCTTTCAGAAACTGGGTTTTCTCATTTAGATGCTGAAAAAAAGGCTGCTTTAAGAAAGGCTTCTTCATTAAGGAGTAAGAGTTTATTTTTATCTCAAGTGGATGATTCCCTGCTTAAGAGTCATACATCTGATGGTCAGGAGGAGCGCAAGCTGGATGATTTTCCAGATATGTTGAATGAATTGGAACGGCTTTCTGATTATGACCATGTAAATGGGTTTCTTTCATTTACTGGCTCAAATGCAACTTCTGATGCACAACAGTCAGTGTATGAATTTGAGGATGCTCAAGATCAAGTATTCTCACCGCCTCTTTTAATGGACTCATCACTTCTAGCGGATTCATTTGAGGACTTGCTGGGTATGTTGACTTTACAACTAACTATACTGATTATAGCTTCCTAATATTGTAGTGTTTTCTTTTTTTGCACATTTTTTGTCATTATGATATATTACGTGGTTAGCTAGTCTGAGATATGATGTTGCGGCCAAGAGGGGGAAAGCGGTTACTTTTCTTGAGGATTTGTTTATCCAACTTCCGAGGAACCCCTTTTTATTGGCTGATGAACTACGGATTTTATGAAACCTTTTTAGGAATCAGGATGCAAACTTAGGCCCAGTATTCTTCAGGACTGAAAATGCAATTTGAAGTTTTCCTTTTCTCAATGTCATCCTCTCTCTCTTCTTTATACACCAAAAATAATATATTGTCACATAGTTTGGATCAAGCATGACTGACTGAGACAAATTTTTTATGCATAAATTCTAGAAACTTGTAAACTCAGCTACTTGTAGTCTTTTCTTAAGAAAAAAATGAATACTTTTTCATGTCAAGTTAACGAGGGAATCCTGTTTGATGCAGCCCCACTATCTGAGACTGAAACAGCGTTGATGGAGCACTGAAATGATAATTTGGCTAACTTCTGAACATGATTGGGAAAACGACATGACTGCCGTGGTGGGTTGCTCTTCATATTTTTGTTGGGACATTCACCTCCTTCGCCTTTTAACACGATGCTTGTGTGATTTCTGTTATCTCTGTTTGGTATGTATTTAACATCCTCTATGCTCATCGGTTGTCCTTCTGCTCGGAGGGAACTATGAGGCACCTGTGTTTTGATAGCTAAATTTGGGATGCATTCTTAAAATAAAAGTCCAGCCTGGGTTTTTGGAGGGTGAAGTTGGCTTTGACCAAGTGATTGCTGTTTGGACTTGAATTTTCCTCATTGGTCTCCTCTGCTCGAGTTAAAATCTGTGACAGCCATAGAGGAGCGGTGAAAAACATGGTGATACGAAGTTCTTAGCCTGATTGTGTTTGCTGCTTCAAATTTGCATGCCTTTGGCATCTTTTTCTAGCTAACTCTGATTAATTCTTGCGCTCCAATTGATGTATTTTACACTTGTGCATGGGTTAGGCGTTATATCTTTGCGATATATCCAGAATTAAAAAATTGCATCTTTTCTTATATAGTTTCCCCTAAAAGCACAATGCTCCCCTATTTTCTTAATTCCAGCTAATGTAACTTCCGGTGATGCTAGGAATTTGAATCCTGCACAATGGAGTTGTTATACTGATGTGTATACTGAACAGATTAGTATGGTTCTTCCTTTTAATTATACTCCATCAGCTAAAAGTTTGTTTGACAGCAGCTTATTGATAAATATGTTTAATGTGACTCCCGACTGTACCTGGAACGTGCTCTTGTTATGGAAGGTGATGATCCAAAATAGCGAATTATGAAAATTGGAATTTGTTGACTTACATTTCTTATAGTAATTCATATGATGACTGAAGGTTTATGTAATATGCAAGTTGATAGATAATTTTTGCGATGCATTTGTTTTACAGTAATGCCGAAATAGGTTTTAAGGAGTCCAGATTTATGGTCATTTTGTTTTGTCACAAATCACTACTCATTATGTGCGGAAAAAGCTATCAAACAAGCCTTAACGAAGGCTACGACTGTCTGAAGCAAACAGGGAACAAATCTCGGCACATGTTTCGTGGTTTGGCATGTCATATTCCTCATTTGCACCAAATGTCAGTAATCAATAACCACCTTTTGCTGGGGTCATTTATGGGACTTTCTAAGCTGATACATTTCAACAAGCTTTATCTAGTCTACCATCGCATAACTGTGATTTCACTGTATCAACAATGAACAAAATGTCAATATCTGTTGACACATTCTATCTCAAAGCATTGCCTTAAAATGATTTAAGCCAATACTTTGCTGGAAAGCATTGCACTAGAATCATAGGAAGTCAGAATTGGTGTCTCTAATGATATACTCTCTTAGGACGGTTGATGTGTTATCAAGTGGAGACCGAGGACATGTGTGCTCCACCGTTGCCAGTCCCCACACTGCATGCACATAATATTGAGTTTGAAACACTCAAAATTGTCACCCAATCACAATCGATGACCCCACCAGAGAGGGCCCCACTGATGGCTGTTGCACAAAGCGAGCGGCATCTCCTTTAATTTATCGGAAAGGAAAACTGTGCTTAAAGAGAGCTCTTCTCTTTTCAATATTCATTTTTGAACCTACTGTCTCACTCACCCAAATGGCGCGTGTCACACACCCCCCGTGAACCTTTCCCCGTCCCTTCGGGGTTTCAAGTTCCATGATATCTGATATACTGCGCTTCATTGAACTAAAAGAAAAAGTTGATGTTGGTTTTGAAGCGTTTTTAAGGGTTTTTTTTTTTGGGTCGCGGAGTTGCAACTGTTTGAGGAAGAAAAAACTGCACACAGATGATGTTAAGAAGCGAAAATCATCATATTATAATCTTTATATTTTTTGAGCGCAAGAGTTTTGAGGCTTGAATGATACTGAGGAGGATAGTTAAAAGGGAAAGTCGGAACGATGACGAAAAAGGTAATACCGGCGGCAACAACGTAATTTGGCTAACAAAACCGCTATCGCAACTACTACAACTTCACCTACAGATTGCTGTTCCTTTCCCTTCCTATTTTTTTATTTCTACCAGAAGGCAATCGCTCTCAGCCTTGCAGAGATGGGTTGGCTGAAATTTAATTTTTTTTAAAGTATAGATTAACCTTCTTCAATCTTAAAAAATCCTCTGCTTTTCCTGCTTCACTTTCTACTTTTTCATATTCTGCACCCATTTTATTTCAAAAAATGGATAGCTAACTTCTTGTTCCCTCTTTACTTTTATTCATTTTCAAAACTTTGTAGGGTACAGTTGCCGCGGCTGCTATTTGGGTTTTGTAGATCAGAACCAGATCTTGTGACTTTCATCCAGCTCTATTTGCTTGTAACTCTTCATAGAGAGGAAAATGGAAAGATGAGGTAACTGTTATTCATTTTCCTTTGCGTACTCAGCTTGAATCGAGATATCAAGGTCATTTGATTTTGTTTGCTTTAAACATGAAAAGACTTTCATGAACTCTTATTCTAGTTTTGGGTGTTTTGTGGAATTTTGAGCTTGGCATGTCTTTGGATTCCAGATTTGTTACCAGACTAGGCGGCATAGGCGGCTCTGTTCCTGGCTTTTCCCATTTGAAATTCCATGTTGACGAACTATGGACATATTAGTGTCTCATGATGATGGAGACAGAAGAAAAGCCATAGGACGTTATAGTTTCCTAAAGTTCTCAGCTCTCCCTCCAATTCAGCCAATGCATTTTAGTATTCCGGCGTGTCTGCATCCTGAGACTTGGTTTTGATGCTTTGCCGAATTTTGGAACGGGTTTCATTTAGCAGTGTCTTCTAAAGTGCATGACATCAATCTTTTGAGGAGCCAACTGGAAGTTATGATCAAACAGATATTAAATAGGCTCCCACGGAAGCCCTCCAAATCTGTGGAAAATCGAGGAGGGGGAACGTTCCCATCCTCTTCAACTGCTTCTCCCAATGTAAGAAGCAGTGATTTAGCAAGTTACAATCCTGGGAATTCAACTGCGTCATATATTTCAGGCCTTAATTCATTTTCAAGTCTTGGACTAAATCATGGCGACAAGTTCTTTGAAGCTGTGAATTCAAAGCTTAATGGGAGTTTGTCTGCTTCTTCTTATGAAGCATTGCCAAGTTTCAAAGATGTTCCAAACTCAGAGAAGCAGAACATGTTTATCAGAAAGCTGCAAATGTGTTGTGTTGTTTTTGACTTCACTGACCCAATGAAGAACCTCAAAGAAAAGGACATTAAGCGACAGACATTAGTAGAGCTTGTGGATTACATTTCTGCAACTAGTGGCAAATTTACCGAAAACATGATGCAAGAAATTGTAAAAATGGTGTCCACAAACTTGTTCCGGACACTCACTTCGCCACCTTGTCAAAACAAGGTTCTAGAAGCCTTCGATTTAGAAGAGGAAGAGCCTTCAATGGACCCTGCATGGTCTCACCTGCAAATCGTGTATGAATTCCTTCTAAGGTTTGTTGCGTCACCTGAGACTGATGCAAAGTTAGCAAAAAGGTACATTGATCATTCATTTGTTCTTAGACTGTTAGATCTTTTTGATTCAGAGGACTCCAGAGAGCGGGACTACTTGAAGACAGTTCTTCATCGCATATATGGGAAATTTATGGTGCACCGCCCGTTTATCAGGAAAGCAATCAACAATATATTTTATCGATTTATTTTTGAAACTGAGAAGCACAATGGAATTGCAGAACTGTTGGAGATTTTGGGAAGTATAATCAATGGCTTTGCTTTGCCATTGAAAGAAGAGCACAAACTGTTTCTTGTGCGAGTGCTTATTCCTCTTCATAAACCAAAATGCATACCTCTGTACCATCAGCAGTTATCTTACTGCATCACACAATTTGTGGAGAAAGACTGCAAGCTTGCTGATACTATAATACGGGGATTATTAAAATATTGGCCTGTTACAAATAGTTCTAAGGAGGTCATGTTTTTAAGTGAACTGGAGGAAGTCTTGGAAGCCACTCAACCTGCGGAGTTTCAGAGATGCATGGTGCCCTTGTTTCACCAACTAAGTCGTTGTTTGAGCAGTTCACATTTCCAGGTTTGGTAATCTTATTAGCTTCATCAGCTTTTCTTCCTCTTTTGCTTCCCCTCTGGTAAACTCTCGCATAAAGAAAAAGGTTGGCTTTTTAAGCTTGATTTTTCACCTACGGTGGAAGGAATTTGCTGTACAAATTCATTTTTCATATCCAAAGAATACTTCCGTTTCGTTTAAAATATTTAGTCATGATGCATTTGCATCCAAAAATAAGCTACTGTCTCACTGAAAATTGTTTGAGATTTGGAATAGTACTACCAATACTAGAACCACTGTTATCTTATCAATTTTCTTAAATTGCTGTTTATTCATGCTTTTCTTGTGTATTCAAATTTTACTGTTTATATTTCTGAGAAACTTACTTCAAAAACTAAGGTAGGATATTGTCAAGCTGGACGTTCTGTGGTGATTTCGATGTTTTGTGGTCCTCTCATATTTTTCATTTTGCTAATAGATTTTCAGAAATCCCTGGACACATTTGTTGTGCTGATTATTGCTTTGATAAGTTAGTAGCTTTCGTATGCCACAAGCCACCATGCCCCATGTGTGGTCATTTAGATCATCTGCTGTGGAAGTGATTACACACTAATTGTCTCGGTGTCATCTGGGACTCACCTATATTGGTCTCTGAGTGTGAGTGTGTGTGTGTGTGTGAGATCCAATTCGTGTCCTTTTTTTAGGTTCTTGCTCTTTCGGGCTTGCAAAACATACATGTCAGTTCTTATTCATTCTTCGACTTTGTATTTGTGATGTCAACTATATTTTACTAGTGCTTTCCATGAAATTTTGTCAAATTTGTGACGAAAGCAATAACTGTAGAGGTAGCCTTCGGCTATCTCTCTCTTACTCTGTCTCTAATCTGACTGCTTGTTCGTTTTCAGGTAGCTGAGAGGGCTTTGTTCTTGTGGAATAATGATCATATTGAGAACTTGATCAAGCAGAATCGCAAGATCATACTTCCCTTAGTGTTGCCTGCTCTGGAGAAAAATGCACAAAACCACTGGAACCAGGCTGTCCAAAGCTTGACAATAAATGTCCGCAAGATCTTCTTCGATGCAGATCCGGAGCTCTATGAGGAGTGCCTGCTAAAGTGTAAGGAAGATGAAGCACAAGAGAAAGATGTAAAGTCAAAGCAAGAGGCTAAATGGAAAAGGTTGGAAGAGATAGCAGCCATGAAAGCTGCAAGCAACGAGCCAGTTCTAGTTTCTCCTAGAAATGCCTCGCGTGCACCATCTGGCTAGGCAATTAGAACTTCCTTTCAATCCAAATGTTCCTTGATTTTTGACCTTGCAGAGCATGAGAATCTGAGGAATGGCTTTAAAGCAGCTTATGGTTAGTTTCCTGGTCATATGACATGAAGCTGCAGGGTCAAAGCTGGGGCTACCAAAATGGCTCCATTTTATTTGTAAAATAGCTCCATTTGGATCCATTCTCTTACCTCATAACAAGCATTTGATGTATATATGGCATTGGGAGGACATAAATGGGGGGGTTTAGCCCTGGGTCTATCAGGGAATTTGCTGTATTAAGCCTTTCCAGTTTGATGCTTTATAGAATTGCAAGATGGCCTATATAATTCTAATCTGTCCACGTGCCCTAGTTTAATGTAAACATGTGCTCCCTGTATATTGGCCCGTTTCCAGTGTCAGATATGGTTTATTTTGCCGTTTTCATGCGGGGGTTGCTATTTTATACAGATTAATTGTTTTAATATTATTAAATTTTTGTTGCCCAAATTTTTTTTTTAAAATTTAGATACTGAATAGTTGATCATATTAATATATTAATACGTACTAGCTCCTAGTCTTAATATAAGATTTTGTTTGACTTTTATTTTAATTTTAAATATAAAATTTTAATTTACTTTGTCTCTCATATTTATGTATTTTTTTTCTAAGATAGTCCTAATAATGATAGTTCTAGCTTATATATTTGATTAGTAAAGATATTTGAGAAAAGATAATACATATTTATTACAAATAATTAACTTAATTTATTTTTTTAATCTACTCAAATTAGTTAACTAATTTTTGTATTTATGACTAGAAGTAGTATTATGGTTCTATAAATGTTAGGTCACCAGATGATAATGTGGGAGGTAAGTGGAGGTTTCACACTCTTAATTTAACATTTGGAGCCAAAAAAAAAATCTTAATTTAACATATTATACAAACACCAAATATTATTACCAAGTTAATGGATAAGAAATGTGTACATGTGTGGATATATATGTATGTATGATTGAATAATTGGTACGTGCTGGTAATATCTTTTGAGTGTTTTTTTTTTTTTTTTGCCAAACATTCTTGAGTGTGTTAAAAGATACCGTAATAATTCTAGATGGGTGCCTTGTGGGCTGTGGCGGAAAAGACCACGGTCTCATAAAGCCATAAGACGCCGCTGAAATTTTGTTTGCATGTTCCCTGTTTGACTTTCCCTTACCATCCCATTATCCGACTTCGCCAACTGCCACGTCTGTTTTTATGGCATAGCCAATTAAAAGGTCCAAAATAAAAAACTGCGATATTAAATGATATCTACGAATACAAATATGACCATTCAAAGTTAATTTAATGAAAAAAACATGATATTTAAAAATACGTAGCTTTCTTTGGCGGCAACATATGAGAACGGAGGCCAATGAATGATGATTCAAGGCGTGTGATATCATTAGGATAGACGCGGCAGCCCCCTAAGGAAAATTCTCTTTAAAAACCAGCCAAATTAATTGGAATAATTTTCCAGATATAATAAAAAAAGAAAATAACAATACGTAATTGATTAAGAAGTCAAAAATTTGATCACTCGATCTTCGCATAATCGTCAACACATAGAATGATAGGAAAAATCTTACCTGGTAAGATACAGCTTGACCCTTCCCGGCCATCTCCAATCTCCAACGCTGAAATACTTAAAGGTCATTTATTTACCAGTTACTTCAAATATATGAAATTCTTAATGCTACTATGTGATTATTTATTTTTCTCTGTGAAGAATCTGTTAAGTTTATTTACCACAACAAAAACCGGTAACAGTAACACGAACACTTAGGGTATATTTGGCTCAATGAGAGGAAGGGGAGGGGAGGGATTTTAATGGAGGGGAGGGGAGTGGAAGGATTTTAATATTATCTTGTTTGGATTTATAAAAAAAGAGGGGAGGGGAGGGAAAAATATTTTAATATGGACAATTTTGCTCTTATTTTATTTAAGGAGTGGGCATAATGGTCACAACATGACAAAATATGGGCATAAGGGTCATAATATAACAAAATATTACCCTTTCCCTCCAAATCCTCCCAATTTTGGAAGGAAGGTTGAAGAGGGGAGGGGAGGGAAAATTTTAAAAAATTTCCCCTCCCCTCCTAAAATTTATGTGTTGCCAAATAAGGGGAAATGATTAAAATCCCTCCCCTTCCCTCCCCTCCCTCCCTCCCAAATCCCTCATACCAAACACACCCTTACTGACCATCCTCCACTGCCAATTGGGCGAGAAACTGACAAAAATGGAAGGAATCTGATGAGCCCAAAAAATTAAACGAGGCTGCAATTATTGGAGATTCCCAGATCAGTGATTACTGCTAATTAATTTGTCTCATTAATCAATAGTCTTGAGAGCACACAATTCCCAACGCAGGCTTGTTGCTCCCATGATGAGTTGTGACCTCTCGAAGCTTGGAAGTCGTAGAGTCACGTTCCCATGCCTCCAATGGCCACAGGAGGACAGCAACCGCCCTGTACGACAGGTACCATAAAACCTCTGAAGAAGGTGCGCGCAGGTTTTAATGCAGCAGATCATAACCCCCTCTCTGGCTGCCACATGGCACATGTCCTCTCCGACACATTCAACCAATAAAAATGTAGCAATGCATTGATTAATTATGATTAAAGCCAAAATTAGAACTATTCAGAAAAAATTAAAAAAGAAGTTTAAAGTGTAAAAGTTGCATGTATGTCCTCTGTCCATCACCGTCATCCGCACCGCAAACAAAGCCTTCTCTTCTCTCTCCCCCCTCCCTTCCCCACCGCTCTGTCTTTCCCTTTCACCTCACCTCACCTCGCCACTGAAGCAATTTCGGGTTTACAAAACCCTAATCTCTAGAACTCCTGAGTGATCTTAAATCTGATCCTACCTTCTATGTTTTCATATTCGAACTCCAAAGTGATCTTCATTTTCATTTCTGGTGTACAGAAAACAGAACACGAGTTTGTACAGAAAAAGATAGGGTTTTTACTGTGAAACGAGTTCAGGGTAGGGAGAGGGGCAGATGCCAAGTGTAGCTGTGAAGCTCTACAGCGTATTCTTCAAGTTTCTCTTGAAGCAACGTTTGCAGAATCGGATTCAAGCTCCTCCCAATGAAGCCGACCCATTTGGAGTCACCTCACGACACGATGAATCCGTTGCCGCCTCCAATCCTTCCTTCACCGACGGCGTTGCCACCAAGGACATCCACATCGACCCCTTCACATCTCTTACTGTAAGAATCTTCCTTCCCGAGACCGCACTGAGGTCCCCTGAATCGGATTCTTTAGCCCAACCCAGGCCTAGGCCTCGACATAGCAATGGCAAAGCCGATCTTGAATCTCGATCCGTGCGAGTTGATACGACTAATCGCAATTCAGATTCTCATCCCCTGGGGCCTAATGATCATGGTAAAAGCAATGGTGTGGAAGCTTCAAATTTGGCCGGCGGTGGGGTATACAGAGGTTACTCGCCGGAACTAGATAATCGTCGGAGATTGCCGGTAATGTTGCAGTTTCACGGTGGTGGTTGGGTTAGTGGAAGCAACGATTCTGTTGCAAACGACTATTTCTGTCGGCGAATTGCCAAACTCTGCGATGCGATCCTTATTGCTGTTGGGTACAGGCTCGCTCCTGAAAATCGTTATCCGGCTGCTTTTGAGGACGGAATGAAGGCATTGAATTGGTTAGCAAAGCAGGCAAACTTAGCTGAGTATAACAAGTCGATGGGGATTGGACGGGGTGGTGGGACTGAGCTCAAAAAATCGGATGTACATAGGCATATTGTGGACACTTTTGGAGCTTCAGCGGTTGAGCCATGGTTGGCCGCTCATGGAGATCCGTCAAGGTTGAACTTATCTCTCTTTGTGATTTTATTAGTTATTTCTGATCCTGCTGGCGTTAGAGTAATTCAATAAAGCATTTCGGACATATGATTGTAAATGACCAATTCGGCTGTAGATTAATTTAATATAACTGGGCGACAAGTATTGCTCATCAGTTGAGCTTGGCGGGACGCAAGTTTAAGTTGATAGAAGTTTAAACACCAAGCACTCTGACCTGAGATTCATCCTTGCACATCGTTTTACATATACAGCACTTTCCATTTGGAGGGCGCTTCAGATTGGGGCAACGATATGTAGCTTAGCCTTGGCCTCTAGACTCAAATGAAGAGGGAGCTCTCTGTCTAGCATAGTGAAGTTTGTTGTCTCTTCTAATGAATTTATGGCGCTTAATCAATGTGATTCTGAAATTTCATCTAGCCATGAAGGACTTGTGGTGCTGAAGTTAAAGTTTGGTCCATCAGGAATCAAAGTTCGGTCTCCCCCCACCCGCTGGGGCTATGTGTCTGAGCCTGTGTTTTTCCTGCCCTTTATAGAACATCTCAGCAGCATTCATGTACTTCAGTGGCACCCGTTTGGCATTTTTCTCATTGGACAACTTATATGCAGACCAGAAGAATTTATCTGCATTATAGCTTATGCTAGTTTCAGTGAAAACTGTGGTTAAAAAGAAGAGAAGGCTATATGGGTAGATTACGTAGGTCTCTATGAAGACTGATAGAATGTCCTAATTGAGCAATTCTGTCATTTGGATTTGACTCACTGACCATTTTGCAGCACTATTTTTCTGTATCCCATTGACTTGAGCCTTTTTGTCTTGTGATTTTGTCTCTCTTGATCCCATACATAATTATCTTGCTCTTCTTCTCCTTAACATTGCATCTCCACTTATTATACGTCCAATAATCGTAGACAACTCTGTCATTTGTTTTAATGAAGTGATTTTTATGAAGTATGTCATATTTTATGTAATTTCGCTGCGTCTCCTCAAACGTGCCTCAACTTTTTACTGGACTCAATTCTTGGGAGTGTTCCTTTAATGACCGAAATCTTTTTAATCATGAAGCCTGGCTATGAAATTGGGTTAATTCTGGTTATCTCCCCCATTCAATTGAATCCACAGGAAGTTTGCTGGACTTACTTTTCACTAGGTGTATTACTAGCTCTTGGGGCATGTACTTCGAATTAAAGTGATTGGGCGAAGCTTAAGGCGTTCTTGTTTTCTGCTTGATTATAGTATTATTATCCATGAGTTCATGCAGGTTTTATTTATTACCATTGCTGGGTACGCTGGATTAAGTAGTAGTTATTAGTATGACGTTATGCCTCTGCATAAGGGATGTTTGTTTGAAATTTTGTTAGTTGAAATACAATGCTGAAAGCTTACGTTGCTGGTTAACTTTTCTGTGGATAAGCTCTCTAATTCATTGTGGAATCTTGATTTCTTTTTTGTCATGCTTTGCTCTGCTATGGTAGGAAGCTAGTCCTTATAATGCATTTAACACTTGTTTTTATACTGATATTCAAACAGGTGTGTTCTTCTGGGGGTCAGTTGCGGTGCAAATATTGCAGACTATGTGGCTCGAAAAGCTGTGGAAGCAGGCAAGCTTCTGGACCCCGTCAAGGTGGTGGCACAAGTCCTAATGTATCCCTTCTTTATAGGAAGTGTACCTACTCATTCGGAAATAAAGTTGGCGAACTCCTACTTTTATGACAAGTCTATGTGTATGCTTGCGTGGAAACTATTCTTGCCTGAGGAAGAATTTAGCCTGGATCACCCAGCTGCTAATCCCCTTGTTCCAAACCGGGGGCCTCCTCTTAAGCGTATGCCTCCAACATTGACAGTGGTTGCAGAGCATGACTGGATGAGGGATCGTGCCATTGCTTACTCGGAGGAGCTCCGGAAGGTAAATGTTGATGCACCGGTTCTTGAATACAAGGATGCAGTACACGAATTTGCAACGCTTGACATGCTTCTAAAAAGCCCTCAGGCTCAGGTTTGTGCCGAGGACATTGCCATCTGGGTTAAGAAATATATTTCACTTCGAGGTCATGAATTCTCATATTAAGTACCTGTCTTTGAAGTTAGCTTGTGATCACTCTCTAGCTGCCGCTACCTGGGCTTCTGTGATATACACAGGTTTTTGCCGGTACTGATAAGGTTCTAGTCGACAGATTCCATGTTCTCTCCGCTTGTCAGTTCTATTTTTTTGTAACATGTAGAGTTCTTTGTAAGTAGGATTAGTTGAGCCCGAGATGCATTAGCCTCGTGCACCTCCACATTTAGACGTTCCTTTGCCATTTTTTTTCCCCTTTTGTGGGTCATGATGTATTAGTTTTGACGAAAATATATGAGATTTAATGAGATGTATAATATTTGTCTGTAAAGAGAAGTGCACTGACGTGCTATTCAATAGACCGCCCTGACCCCCAGAATTCTTCAGGTTTTCCTCTTCCAAGTGAAAATAAACCTTGTGGGTATCTGAAAACACAAATTGATGGAGGTCGCAGATAAAACCCTGCAAGAAATAAGATTTTCAATGGGATGTTCATTCTTGGACAACACAGTGTGAAAGAGACTTGCATATAAGTTAACATGCTGAAACGATCAAGGATATAAGAAGCTAGCTGAATATATTAGCCAAATTCAAAACCTAGGGTTCCTGACATAGTGTGCTTTGTTTCTTGGTCGGCCCGACGTTTGTCTCGCACCAAGGACTGGGTAGTGCTTGTCCATTTTCTTATAAATAGGCGATGGCATTAACATGGTAGCCTTGGGGATATGATCACAAATCTTTAGAGGTAATATCCCCACAGTGACTCCTCTCCCAGGAAGGGAGTCACTGGGCGGCTTCATGCAGCGATAGAGGATGCCCGTCTCTCCCACAGATGAGATGGAAGAAGAGCCCTTTTATCCTTTGAGTATGAAGCATGCTGGTGCGGCAAGCCAGTTCAGGTTTGGTTTGCTGGTCTCAATATTGGAAGCACTTTGAGGGTCAGGGTGGCCACCTTGTGATTTTGACTGTTCTTCAGCTTTCAGATTGTCCCCCTCCTCCTCTATGCCTCTGCGGACTCTGATACACCACTTTTCTGCAGATGCCAAAAATCGTTTTGTTTCTTTCAACTTTGAAGAGACCACCAGGGAAAAAGATCGGGGAAGGAAAAAACAAAAAAGGCGGTTTCCTTGTGTGAGTGGCTGGGTGCCTTTGCGTGTAAAGGAACTAATTAAGTCGAAGTGTTGTCATGTTTGCTGTTGTATTATGGGCTTTTCTCTCTTGGAAAAAAAAAAAAAAAGGTTTTTTCCTTTTGTAAGTGCATGAATACACTGTGGCCACCCCCTTGACATGCCGACTAGATTTTATGGTATCAATTCTGTGTTTGATATAGGGAAATGGAGGCGAGGGGGGTTTTAATGAGTTGGCAAAAAAAAAAAAGTTTAATTTATAAAAAAAATTATGGACAGATGGAGTTATAAGATTTTAATAGGAAAAACCAATTTTAACCTTATTTATTCAATTTTTTTAATCAAACTAGTTAGAATTTCTTACCACCTTATTTTCATTTTTCTCAAACCAACTAAATTATAAATGCTGAGTAGATATTAATTTGATAATTTTACAAAAAGGGGTGTATCTAGGCTGTTGATGTTTGGTGAAAACATCAAGGACGAGAGAATATAGGCTGATGATGCTTGATCACAGCTCTAACAAGACGCGCACAAGATGAACTAAAAGCAATCTAAAACTCGCTATCTTGATTTACAATAACTTACTTGATGACTTGACAAGAAAATGAAAGAAGACCTTCTCGAGGTTCCAATTCCATCTGCGTCATTGCTTGTATTTTTGTCACGTCGACTCACACCTCCGTCCTTTTTAGTTTTACCGTAAAAATTGAAGGAAAAAAAAAATCTGTAATGTTAATATTTTAGCCGCTATCATGGCGTGCTACTTTTGTCACCATCTCAACAACTTGGCGCACAGAACATAACTTTTTTTTTTTTTTGACCGGACACGGAACATAAAATATGGAAAGCATATTTAATGGTGATGAGGTGAAGATGGGATTACACTGGGGTTAAACAAATAGTTAACACCTCCAACGTTAACATTACATTCAAAGAGTCAAATATTGCTCTTGACACTGCTTTCATTTATGATCTTCGGTCTCTAACTCGAAGATTGATGGCTCTGGATGCCATGGCCCTCAAATTTGCTCTCGCTGAAGACATTGACATTGACCCACTCGTGTCCGAACGTACTTGGCTTCCCCTGAAAGCCTGCATAAACTCTTCCCTCTGCAACCTCAGAGCCAAGGCAGCATCCTCGTCTTGGCTCGTTATCCTTCTTCTTGACCTCCCTCTTGAAGACGATGATGGCGGGGTCTGATTATTCTGAACCATCCCATTTCCCTCCCTCCGCAGCAACCTTCTTACCAATGCAGCGTCTTCATCCTCATCTTGAGTTGCAGTGATCACTCTTCTCCTCCCACTAGTTGTTCCTCTGCCTGGAGCCTCCGATGTTCGCCTCCGATGTTCGCGTGAGCTTGCTGGTTCCTCAGGTTATTGTAGAATGCTGTTTCTGGACTCGGGCGCTGCTGAGCTTCTCGAATATTCAAGGCACCTGCTGCTTTCCTTGCTTCCACTTCCTTGGGAAAAAGGAGCTGTATTGTGTTCCAAAGAACTGTGTTCACGGTGCAAGATCGTCCATTGCTGAAATCCCAAGAAAAAATGGGGATAAGTCAACAGTAGATTTTTGTAGCATATCATATTACAACTAACTTATTAGTTTGCGCAAGCTATAAGCTTCCTCCTAGTTACCTAATCAGTTGTCTGCATTTTGGGCACTTTCTTCCACATTTATCCGCCGCAGATCGAAGGCATTTTCTGCAAAAGCTGCACAATGGTAGGTATTGAATTAAAAACCAAAATTCAAGGTCTACTGCTCATACAAAACTATGAGCAAATACGCCATCGAAAAAGTCTATCATTATTTTAGCTCACAATGAAGTCGATCACGTTCTTGAATAATCAGGCAATTTAAACTATGGAATTGGAGATATACCTGTGTCCACAAGGAGTGGTGCTTGGTTCAAAGCATATCTCCAAACAAACCTGCAGGAGCAAATCGAATATCAGCATAACAAATCGGGAAAAGAAAAGTACAAATTGACATTAAGACGAGATCGTGATGACAAATCAGTGCTCTTACCGCGCAGGAAAGCTCCTCCCTCAGTTTATCAATGCAGGGAAGAGCAGATTCCGAAGGAGAAGAACCAGAGTTCTGCTGGGTCAAAATATTCCCTCCCGCTTCGTTAGCACTAGTTTTGTTTTCTTTCTTCTTCTTTAGATTATCTGCCACACAACAGAATATATATAAATAACGAAGAAAACATGAATTTAACAAAGATGAAAGAAAAGTAACGCATAGGAGATAATGACCCTTTCTGGGAGTTTCATCTTGGTCAAGGTCAAGAACAGTAACCGGGATTGATTGCGGACTCCTCTGAGCTCTGCGTTTCCTAAACACACGACATATCCCACATCAAAACAATACTTGATGGTCGAGCAATAAAGACAACATAAAAGAAGAACCAGGCCATGACGAGAGAAGAGAGTGAGAAAATACCTTCTTGAATTGGTGGGTGGAGTCTTGATGTTAAGATCAAAGCGTTTATCATGCTTGGAAGCTCTGTCGGGGGTATCCTCGACCACGAGGCTGGCGACTAGGAGGGCCTCCTCATCCCAGCCAGCCAAAGCAGCCGCTGATTTGAATCTGGGGCTGAAGATACCGCCCAAGCCGTCTCCATTTCCTCTTGATGGGTTATTGTGGTTCCGCGGGCTGCGTTTTTGTTCTTCGCTCACCATTTCCGCTCGGTGCAGTTTGGGTGTGGGATGTCAGGGGCAGAGAGGGAGGGAGAGAGAGAGGCTGTGCAACGAATCAGGGGAGTAATCTTGAATAGTGCGATCTTGGCCTAACGGTCGAATTTTTTTAATATAATTGCAGGGTTGGCAATTGCAACGGCTATAATGTCGGGGCAAAGCCCGGGTGACTTGTAATATACGCGTGGCTCGGTTCTTTGCTGGCCGCCCATTTGAAATAATTACCTTAACCTTTTGGCTGGACTGCTTGCCTTTGTCATGTAACGGTTAATTTCGGCTATATATATTGGATTGGAATTGGGAAGGATTAAAATACACTAAGCATTCAAAATATTTTTTTAGATCCATCTAATACCTTAAAATATTTTATAACACATCTACTTTTAAAGTGATTTTAGATACGTTCAGTATGCTTTAAAGTTTTTTTTTTGTTCTTGGTGTTAATACACCAAAAATATTTTTAAATGCTGAACACACCATTCAAAAATATTTTTGGTGCTGATGTATTAAAAAAATATTTTACGATACTAAATGTACCTAATAAAATAATTTATGGTGCTAGATGGATATATCACAAAATATTTTAAATGTTAGATGTACTTAAAAAAATATTTTAGAGTCTGAATGCATCTTAACCGAACTGGAAAAGAAAAAAAATTCAGCACGACCCTGCTTCATATAATTGCGTCAATATTCAAACATCACACTATTTATTGATCATTAATTTTGTAACCCCCGTGATGTAATATTGTGCAAAAATATGTGTAGCAGAAATAATGAACTGGCCTCCCCGGGATCTTTTGAATTAAGCAATACTATTCATGCGACCAATTAGAATAGCTTGTTTGAGGCAGTCAATTAAATCAAATCAAGTCATTGAGGTAAGAAAGCATGTCTAGACGAGAAAGAAACTAGTATATTCACTGACCGTTGTGGATTGGGTCAGACAATCTACAAACAACGTGTCTCCGCTGAAATATGCTGTTTCTGCTGACTATGTACAAAAAAAGAGCCAATCACAAATCAACTATCTCTCTATATGCTCCAACTCTACCCCTCTTTTAAAACCACGTCATCCTCAAAACGCATCACTTAAACACTTGCTGTTAATTGGGTGTCGTTATGTTTGGTGGAAACTCCTCTGTGCCTCGCTTCCTCCTTCGTGTTCTTCTCATGTCTTCCTTTGTTGCCACGGAAGCAGACGCGTGTTCGGGTCCATGAACGCCCCCACTACCCGTTCCCTCAGATCCGTATCCCAAACTTCACAAAACCGGGTCGCCCAATCGGCCGGCTCAACTGCGCTGCTCCCTAGCCCGGGTACTCTGTCCTTCGACCCTACGTTCTCTCTTGTCTTCCAATCAACCACATACGCAGACACCCTCCTCTGGAACTTGTCCTTGAAAACCTTCCACACCTGGTACTTGTAATGGTTTATCACCATGGCGCTCCGGTTCGCGTCCACCGCCACATACCCATCCCTCAGGTGAAAATGGTGCACCACATTTATCAGATTCTCGTTCAGCGCTTCTGGTCTCACTATGCTCTTGTGCCTCTCCCGCTCCGCCATCCTGCAAGTGTAACCCACCATCACTCCCTCCCGCGGTATCTTCTTCAGCCCCGACGGCCCGAAACTGTAGCAGCTCGTCCGTATCTCCCCCGCATTCTCCACTTCATTGGTTTCCTGCAGGATCGCTTCTTCTAGGTTCTCCGCTGTTTTCAAGTTGAAGAACTCGTCCACGTCGATGAACCCCACCCACTCGCATACATCGCGCGCCCGTAATGCGCAGTGCGCGAATCCGGCTTCCTGGGTCTTAATCCACGGCCACACGTGGCGTGTGATGTTGTATCGGGCGCGCCGTAGAAGCCCAATCACGGCGGCGATGTCGTCATCGCTGTTGTTGTCTGACCCCGATCTGAGTATGGTATTATCCACTCCTTTATGAACCGAGCCTGGTTCCGTAACATGGAGCACACGCACATTACGTGGCGTTTCCGGGATGGGGTCAAGTTGAGGACGTAGCCCCGGCATGGCGATCGTGGGCACTTTTCTGCCCACCGCCCTGACTGAAACCTTGACTGAAGATCTCACCTTGGGGTGGCTGGTGAGAATGCTGAAGGGGGTTCTGCAGCGGACGATCTCCTGGGCGACCGAAATGACGTCGGAGGTGAGAAGGTACTTCGGGGAGCTGAAATCCCAGCCGAAGAGGCACTGGAACCTGGAGGGGTCAGCTTCTCTGGCGGGACGAAGGTTGAAGCCCTTGACGAAGACGATGGTGCTGTTGTCCCGGTCGAACAGGGCTTCGTAGACGAGGGGGTGCCACTTATAATTGGGACGGAAAGAAGCCTTGGATTTGAGGGCGAGGGAGACGTTGAGGCGAAGTGGATGGAGGGGGCACCGAACCATCTGCTGGCGATCATGGGTGTACTCAATCTGAAGCGGAGGCTCGTGGGTGGGGGAGGAGTTGGGCCAGGAATATGCGCATGTGATGTCATCTTGGGTATAAAAGCGGAAAGACGGGGGGTAATAGAGGAAAACAAGAGCCTGATTGGGAAGCAAGACCGTTTCTCGGACCGTAATTACCGGAGTTTGGGAGGAGTGGCTGGATTTGGCGTGCATCACCCAGGCTGGCCGTGAGAGGACGGCGGTGGAAGGAAGCGACTCTGTTGGGAATGAAAAAAGAGGGGGTTAGAGAGGAGGAGGAAGAGGGTGGGGGGAGGAGGAAGAGGAAGGGGTACGCACCTTGGGAATAAAAGCGACGGAGAGTGGCGAGGGTGGTGAAGATGGCAGAAGAGAAGACGACGAAGAGAGTGCACCAGAAGAAGGAGATCCATGAAAGGGCGGAGGCGTCACGTCGGCGACGATCTTTCATGGCAAGTAGAAGGGAATGAAATGGCAATGGTGGAGGGCGTGCGTCATGTCATTCGTTGATGCTGATGTTTGTTGGTTTGGTGACAGAGGAAACGGGGGAGGGAGAGATGCGTGGGAGGAAGAAGAAGAAGGGAAGGGAAGGGAAGGGAAGGAGGAGGAGGTCTAAATCCGTAAATCTCAGTCTGCTTCCCCCGTACCGTACATGTCGGGATACATGCGGAGGTTCGTTATGTGGCTGGTGCTTGCTATGAGTCTCTCAATTGCATTTTCCATTTGTTTGTGAAAATTAATTAATCATATGCCACTTCAGCTTCAGCCTTATTTTCTTTCATTTCGTCTCTCCCTTCCTATTACAGAGTGCCGCCAGACAACTACTCACTAACACAGCCTTTTCAATTCATTTTCTTACCTGAAAGAGGTGATGATGGCGAATCCCTGTATGGACGACATCAAGCCACTTAATTAGCGGCCTAAGCGGTTACAACCCAGATCAATCGCCAATTCAAGCCCCCCTTTTTTTTTGGGCCTTCCAATTCAAGCTTTCATTCAATAATTCAAACTCACTGTTATTATCTTCCCGACTTCAATCAATCAATTCCTACCACGAAAGAACATTAAAGCAGGAAGCAACTCGTTTGAAATTACTCGGAGTAAATTAGTACATGCTACCTCATGTGATAAATTAAATATGAGAAAATTCAAAAAATTAAAAAAATTACTTAATTATAATACATGTTACATAATATTTCTAAAATATTTATGTATATTATTAAATTATATATCAGCTTATAAGTTAGACATATTAGTTTGGAAAAAAAAATGATAGACATAATACTTTAAAGTAATCTATTTAATTTTTTAATCTATTCTAGCTACTTAATTATGTCTTATATTGAATATCAGTTAACCCTCCGTGCCAGTAATCTATTTAATTTTTTTAATCTATTCTAGTTACTTAATTATGTCTTATATTGAATGTCAGTTAACCCTCCGTTGAGAGTAATCTATGTAATTTTTTTAATCTATTCTAGTTACTTAATTATGTCTTATATTGAATATCAGTTAACCCTCCGTTGCCATAAATACCAACACCGCCTTGGACGTGAACTTGAATTTAAATGTAATTTGTTTGACGTTACGGACCAGTCTTTTCCATTTTGAAAATTTTCTCTCACTCATTCATTCGTACTGTCGCGGTTGTCAGCCATCATGGGCTTGGGCTCATGCTCCAACTAATAACGCATCTCAGGCCCTCTTTTGGGCTCCATATCTCACTCCTCATCCACACGTCAGCCTTCACCCTCCAACTGAAAACTCCACATGCAAAAGCATTTATATTTCCGTTATTTTTTTTGACCAGCCATTTATATTTCCATTATTACATTATTCAAACCAAACTTAGAAAATGTGTAATTTCCTAATAACTGATATTACATTTTTAAAATTAATTCATACATAAAAAATTACTTTTGGTCAAAAATATTTTTTAAAAAAAATATTCATCATGGTTTGACTGATGAAATATTATTAACAAATATGTTTTTTTTTGGTGAACTATTATTAACAATCAAACTGCGACTATTTATATAATTTTTTGACCCGGGACGGTTCATGAAGAGAAGAGTAGTTTATGGATATGAGAAGGGATGCTAATTAATTAAAACCAGAAGAACATGGAAGATCTGTGAGGAAATACGATGCTGGTGGAGAGGAACAATAAAAAAGGGGAAAATTAAGGCGTCATGCCGAATAGGTAGGTGTAATTGACAACTTAGGAGGAGCAGTACAAGTTGGATCGTTCATGCATGCGTACTTGTTTCTTCAGCCCCTCACCCTTATCTTATTCCCTTATTTATTACTACCTCTAATCCTAATTATAAGAGCTAATTGATTAATTTGAGAAGATTAAGGAAATAAGTTAAGTTAATTATTTATAATAAATAAGTGTTGTTTTTCTTAAAATATTATTGCTAATCAAGTGTATTAGCTAGAACTATCATTATTAGAAGGATTATCTTCAATAAAAATGCATAAATATGAGAGACAAAGTGGATTAGGATTTTATAATTAGAATCAAAATAAAAGTCAAATGATGTCTTATATTAAGGATCGAAGGTAATATTTTTAATTTGTCCCTATCCCCCCAATAAGTTTGGATTACAATAATTAAAATAATACATGAGAGAGAGAATAATTCTACAGGAAGGATGTGTGTTTGTGTGATCTAGTGGATTAACGGCTCTACTTAACATATTAACTCCTTAATTAGATCCCGTCTTATGATAAAACATGTGTAGTACGAAACTTGGGATGGGGGGCATGGGGGCATTGGTCCGCAGAATGGTTGCAGAAACGATGAACAGCTTAGATCGCTAGAGATTTTGGGGAATATTCTGGTGCATGAACCCAACCAGCCAATCATAATGCACCCAATCTTAATTTGTTTCATTTGTTTGTGTTGCACAATATTTATATATATACGAAATACGACTACGATACTGGGGGGATGAATCACACACACACACACACACATGTATAGTGTGTATATATTGTTGTTCGGTTGAAGCTAGTATGGTGGCTTCCTTTGGTTCAACGTATGTACGAGTCAGCCCTTCAGTATATCAAAGTGTCTGGAGATGAACCAGAATCTTTCATCTCCCAAAGTCAACCACTTCATCCAAATTATCGTTTTCTCCATTGCCATCATATCATCAACAGAAGTTATTCCCTTTTCTATTGTTGTGGTCAGGTTTTTCACCCAGCATGAAACATTGAAACCTAAAATTGAACAAAACATGTATGAACGTTTATGTAAATCAAAATGTTAAACTTGAGCGTTAGACATAGAAGATAAAAGCATCAACTTTGATTTTTTTTAAAAAAAAAAATACTGAACTCATCAAATTACCAAGAGACTTGACAAGGGACCAGCATAGTGATCAACGACGGCCAGGTGTGGATTTTGAACTTATGTTACTACTCGACAACCTCGGCAGGAAAAAGTGCTCAACGTTGATGCTGATGGATGTCCGCTTTTGAACCTGCAAAGTGAGAAGTATAAGTATGAAATTGAAGTGCTTGATTTGCTTTTTGAGGTTAATTTGGGAGTGTGATTTGAGTGGTGATCGTGCGGAGATGTTCGGTTTATATACATACTAAATCCTTTTTCAAAGTGACACCCCCCCCCCCAAGTGTCCCCTACTCAGGAGAATCATTATTATTGAGGTTCCCCATCCAGGGTCTCTCTCATTCTGTTCTCTATTTTTGCCTCCTTTGATTTCATCAAAAGCCACAATGCAACTTGACAAATTATACTCCACTTATCCTTAATATAAGACCTATTCAATTACTTTAATTAAAATAAAGAAATTAGTTAAGTTAGATATAATAATCATAAATATGGCATATGTTTTTCAAAATACTCTTAGTTAAAACTTCTATAAAAAATTGATATTTCAAAAAGTGTTTTAAATTATTTTATTAAAAGTATAAAACAGTAGAATTGATGTATGTGTGGTATTAACGGGTAATAAGTACTCACTCACTTTATAAAATATGTAGGTGTATTATTAATGAGTAATAAGTATTCTAGTGATATTTAATTATTTAATAGGGATAATTCAGAAAAGAATTGGTAAATATAAGAAATAGATCATATATTTAGAATCAAGAACAACCTTCTAATTATGTCCTATATTAAGGACCGGAGAAGTATATAATTAATGTGTCAGGAAAATCAAGCCCCTTGAATTTTACAACTTGCTGGCCGCCATGCAGTCCCAACGTCCAGCAATTAAGACAGTCATATAGAATTACACAGGGGATCACTGAAAACAACTCGTCATTTTTCAATGATACATACACAAACAGACACACACACACACACACACACACACACATCAACTTCACTTGAGTTGGGATTATATATATCCCTTTGAAATTTATTTATAGTGATGTCCTTTTCCTACTGAATTACTTATATATATATATATATATATATATATAATATTCACTACCCCAAGTATGACATGGATGTATGTTTTCCTGTATCGTTTACAGTCCAATTCACACAAAGTCGCAAGTGAATCCATGGAGGGAATTTCAGGACACTTTGATAGAAGGGTGAGAAAGCATCTCTTGGCCAAAAGAAAGTTTGTCTGCTACGACAAAGTTGGCCAGCCTTTTGCAAGCCAAACTAAGGAATCCCATCAACCCCTTTTATTTTTATGCTCCGTATAAGAGGCTTAGACTAGAAAACAATGAGATAAATAATGTTTTGGTAACGGTACTACCACCACATTTATTTGTGTTCATATATATTTTTGGAAAAAAAATAAAACTTGTCAACGTGGAAAGATGACCCACGTACGTCTCTGGTTCTTCTTCTCCTTCTTCGGCGTATAATATTATTCTTATTGAGCACAACTCTTTGAATAAATGAGAGTGGTGAGCCTTTTATGATAATGACGAGCCTCCGTTTCTTTTTGGGTTGGCTTTCAACTCAATGCTTTCCGCCCAATCATTGATCTCCCCTCTGAGACGACACACTGCTGATTTTAATATGTGTGAATGATCTGGCAGCATCTTTGCTTGGAGCTGAAGCTGCTTTACAAGCACCCTCCTCCTTTTATATGGTCGACTTATTGCGTTCTAGGTTTCCTCAAGACTAGTTTCCGAATATGGGAAGGCAGCCTTGTTGTGATAAGATTGGTTTGAAACGAGGGCCCTGGACTATTGAGGAAGATCACAAGCTCATCAACTTCATCCTCAACAATGGCATCCATTGCTGGCGTATGGTTCCCAAGCTTGCAGGTATATATATTTCTTATGCTTATCTCCTATTCCTCCCGTGCTCTTCAGAATTCTTCATTTTTGCCTCTGATTCGATTGTATATCTGAATCGCATGTGATCAATTATATTAAAGGTCTGCTAAGATGTGGGAAGAGCTGCAGATTGAGATGGATTAATTATCTGAGGCCAGACCTCAAAAGAGGTGGCTTCACTGAAACGGAAGAGGATCAGATTATTCAGCTACACTCTCGTCTTGGTAACAGGTAAAGATTTTTGGAACTTGTATATACGTGTATCTGTATATTTATAGGATGATGACTGTTCGGTTTTAAACTAACACAAGGAATATGATCATATCAATTCTCAGGTGGTCTAAGATTGCTGCACATTTTCCTGGGAGGACGGACAACGAAATCAAGAACCATTGGAACACAAGGATCAAGAAGAAGATGAAGCTGACTGGTCTGGACCCTGTGACACACGTGCCGATTGAGCAAATGCAAAAGCAAATCACTGATGATGATAATAAGAGACAGAGAAACCAGACAAGGCCGAGCTCCGAAGAAAATGTGGAGATCATCATGAAGCCCTCGGACAGTAGCGGCTGCACACAAGTTGTTTCAGAAGAACAAGGGAACAAGGAAGAACTAAACAAGGTGACCTGGGATGATACCTATGATCTTCCCAACAAAAACGACAAAATATGTTCCGACCTGGACTTCGGGTCACGGATGAACCCAGACAAAAACACCAGTACTACCAGCTCTTCATCTTTTTCTCTGGAAGATTCTAGCCACCTTTCCATGAGTGACTCTTCTTACCTGCAGGAGAACTCTTTAATGGAATGGGTTGATAGTATCAATATAGAATCCATTCTCCAATGGGACGCCTTCGATCCTCTGGATCAGGATCTTTCCTACTTTGGAAATAGATAATCAGTAATAACAACCCTTAAAACTTCCCCTACTGTGACAATCTCTCTAAAGCAAAATAACATCTCTGAGGAAAGCTAAATGTAAACAAGTTTGCTACGTACTTTGATCGATCCCCGCATTTTCTGGTTCCGTGGCGAATATTAATGCTTAACTTTGGCGTTTGATGATGCTTTTCCTTATATTGAATGGAATTGGAGTTATGTAATGGCTTGGTCTTTCATTTCATTATTACTTTGGATTAATTGGGATGAACACAGGATCGATAAGAAGCATTACTTGTTCTTGTCTCCTTTGTTACTGGCCGTGCGTAGATTTTATTCACCTGGTGTGGCACACATCATCATTAATATGCCCAGGTTTTCTCATTTGGTCCCTCGTGTCTTTTAGATCAATAACAATAATTGTATTGATCAGATGCACTTTGCTTTTATCGATCCCCAAACTTTATTCTTTTTTTTTTTTTGGGTTTCGTTTCCAAATTCATTCTCACATTTAATAGCAGTATAATTAACTAAAAAGTTTGTATTTGGAATGAAAAAAATTGAAGTGATGTGTGCCAGATAGGTATCCAAATGATGACCCATGACTGTGTATGAAAGAGAAAGGCAGGCAATATTATATAGTACACACCATTAACCACTTAAATATGCTTAATTAATTGAACTGTGTACATGCTGGGACAAATTAAGGACTCGTGCAACTTTAATGTGATGCATATAATGCAGCCTACTTTCGGAGACACACACACACACACATTTAATTTATTAAAGCAGTAAACATTTGGGAGCTATAAATGATTAGAAGTGGGTCGTGCTGAGCACTAAGATCAATATATTCCGATGGGAATCTCCATCGCTCCCACCATGCATGAATCTGGGGAAAATTCTTGTATGAGGGAGGGTGTAATTTAAAGCTGTGATTAAACAAATTATAAGATAGGTAATTAAGAAGGATTTAAATCAGGAGATAATTAATTAAGTGGTGGGAGTTGGATTTTCTGTAACGACGTACTTAATTTGGTTTTTCTTTTTTTTATATTAAAAAAAACTTGGGATTGAAGTGCTCAAACATTCACATGTGGGGGCTTCAGAATGATAAGATCATAACTTTTATATTGTCTCCTTCAGAAAAGAGGTCGCAGGCATCATCATGGAGTATTGAAGGTTTCTTCGCTTGGTCGCTTTTATCTGTCGGTTGCTATCAATAATTTTGTATTAATTAAATCCACTTAATTTGCTGATCCAGTTACCGTTTTCTTCTTCATTTATGAACTCCAAATTACTCATAGAGGCTTCTTAAATATTTATGATATATTTGCTTTGAGATGTGTTTTTATTTTATATGTGTGTATATGTGCGCGCGCGAGCATGAATCTGGGCAGAATTGACACAACACGATGAGATCCACTCTATATACCACAACTTCATTTAACCCAAACCCTTTTTCCAGTGGGTGGGTGAAGGTGATTGACCCAAACTTCAAACATGAATCTATTTTGATTATTGATTCTAATACTCCTCCGCTCTTTAATATAAAACTCATTTAACTAATTTGATTAGATTAAAAAAATTAGGTAAGTTAGTTAATTATAAAAAAAATGACACATTTTTTCTAAAACACCATAGTCATCTTTTTTAACACCCCCTCCATCTTCTACTTGATTATGGTTAAGGGAATATCCAGAATGGTAGTTTAGAGAAAATTGATAAATATGAGAAATAATTCTTATATTTAGGACCAAAACCAACTCAAGAATTGGATCCTATATTAAGAACCAGAGGAGTCATTCTTAAATATTTTTGCAAAAAAAAAAAAAGAACTATAGATTAATTACTTAAAACCATCAAACTGTATTAGCATAATGCAGTTAAAACTGAAGGCTTGTTTTAAACAACGATTGAAATTTTCAAAAACAATTTTTTGATTATGATTTGTGTGATATGAAATGCGATGTAAGGAAGTATGTAAAAATAGTTTTATATCAGTCTATATGAAAATATTTACAAGTATTTTTACTAAAAATAGCTCCAAACAAGTACTTAATCAGAATGCTCTGTCTTTAGAACATGCAAAAGAGACACCCTTCCTAAGTTCAACTGTCATTTGAGTTCTTTTATTTCTTTGTTTTTTGCCCCCCTTTTCTTCGGCCCGAAAAGACCTTTAATTTTTGTTTTTGGTGAGAAAAATCATGCTAATTGTGGAAGAAGTAAGTCGATGGCGTGATGCGGGTGACGACAAGATTAAACTCTCATTTTCTGGCAAAAAAAAAAGACAAGATTAACCTCTCATGATGCAATGGCCCAAAAAAAAAGCCCATGACATGCCAAAAAAAAAGTACTGAAGAGGATAATCTAATTAGTAAGAAATCAACTTATAAATCATAAGGTTATGTATTCGAATTATGCTATCCATTTAAGGATTTTGTCAGTGATCTATAAATACCTTAATAAACAAAGATATTTCCTGAGAATTCACCTAAAAAAATTTTTGTATTAAAAAAAAAAGAAAAAATCTCAGAATTCAAACGAACTAACGGTTGAGTACGGAGCTGAAGATTTCGTTTCAAGAGATATCTTCGAAACGTGGGTCCCAGACCAAAGTGAAAACACTAACTAACGGCTTATTGGCCAGGGTTTATCACGCAGAAGGGGAAATTATTCTTCCTGAACCTTAAATTAGTCAAGTACCTATGTTTTACAAAAAACAGAATAATAATTATGACGCTTTGTCCTTCTTTATCTGCTAACACACAATGAGAGAGTAAAATCTTTCACTCCAACAAAGAGAGAGTAAAATCTAAGCACCGTGAAACAATTTTTTTTTTCGTTTATTCATTTATTGTCACACCATTTTCGATTATACCTATCTTTATATAATGGCATCTATTTAACAAGAGAATTATTGAAAACAAGAAATAATTAGCCTAAAAATTTGTAATAAGACATATATCTAGAAATAAAATAAAAATTCAAATATGAATAAATAAATAAATAATAACGAAGAGAAAGTACGATATGTCGTATATAAATTGATATTGAGCAAATAAAATTTAATCTAGTTTTTATATGTTTAATGAAGAAGAACCGTTTAGGTTAATCTCATTAAAATTTAATTGTACGATAACATTAAAGAAATAAATAAAGGGCGCTCGATCACAACATGGCCAGCCTAAAAACACTGCGCAGACTCTTTACTCAAAAAAAAAAAAAACGTTGCGCAGTACAACTTGTTTTACAACTCGAAGCTGTCGGCGTTAACGCACCGTGCACACTGCACAGCTTTCGATTCAAATTTCAAATTTGAACGGTTCGTAATGGCGGAGGCCCTCCGACCAACCAAAACGAACAAAGGGAAGAGGAAACAAGAAGGGCCACATAAATAAAAACGACAATCAAAAGAGTAAAAACTAAAAAAAGATCAGATCTTTTGAGGCTTCGACGTTGCAGAAAGCCAGAAACATGGGAGAATCGGCCTGTCTTTTGCAACAACAACCATTCTGCTATGCTTCCGGCATTTCCAACGAATCCAACGAGGTCAGTTCCTTAACCCACCTCCTCATTATTTGCATTCTTGGATGCTCAAATCCTTTTGTCTCTTCCTTCTTCACGACGAAGCACAAAATTTGGATCTTTAACTTGTTCCTCTTCTCCGCCCAAAAATAGAAAACTTATTCTTCTGCTCTTTATGTCCCCGGCCCAGTCTTCTGCAGTTCTTGACTTTAATTAAACGGTTAAGTTTAACCGCTTCTGCCATCTTATTTGGGGTTCAAATGAACCAAAAGTAGGATTTCTTCGTGTTGCATGGCTTGAAAAAACCTGTGAAAATTGTGCGTTTCAGAGCAACCTAATTCATGCATTCGGTCAGTCAATTTCATTTGGGAGGTTCGGTTCAGAGTCTTTGGCATGGGAGAAATGGTCTTCTTTCTCTCACAATCGCTACGTCGAGGAGGCGGAGAGGTATTCACGGCCCGGGTCAGTTGCAGAGAAAAAAGCTTTCTTTGAAGCTCATTACAAGAAACTCGCTGCTCAAAAGGCTGCTGCTTTGCTTGAGCAAGCAAACAATGCTGCATCGAACAGTGTCAACAACCAAGAACACGAAAAATCAGCCACCAACCAAGAACAAGACGACACAGCTCATCGTAACCCTGATTATCAGGTCACGAGTCCAACTTCTGACACAGTTCACAACAAAGAGGAAGAAGAAGTTAAAGTTGTTAGTTTCGAGCAAAATGCCATAGTCAGCAACAGTAGCAGCGACTCACATTTAAATATGCCCGATATTAACAGAGTGGAGGAATCCCTACCTCTGGTGACCAATTCAATGAAGGTTGAATCACAAAACCAGCTTGAAGATAAGGACGCAAATGAAAAGGTAGAATACTGAAATGAGATTATGTTGATCTGTACCAACCGAATATTTCATGTTTAAAATTCTTGTGTTGTTATTTGCAGCATGGTGGCAATTATGAAGATGAAGTTTTGGCACCAACAAGCACCAAAAAACCGCCAGCCTCTTCCCTGAAGTCGTCGGAGTCTACTGGAACTTCCAAGTTAAACTTTACACCTGCCAAACCTATTTCTCACAAGAAAGAAAACATTATGGGTACCCCAATGAGCAGCAAAAAGCCTGCATTAAGCACGGTTGACAAAAAGAGATCAACCGTGAATTTCACACCCATTAGCTCAGTTGATAAGAAGAAATCAACCGTTAATTCCACACCCCTTAGCTCGGTCGATAAGAAAAGATCAACAGCTAATTTCACACCCATCAGAGAACTCAATAGATTGACCACATCAGTCATGAGGAAGTTTGAAGGTGCAAGAATTGGGAATGCCTCTTCCAAGGCTTCAAAGGATAGTTCCACTCCCTTAAGAACCCCAACCATGGTATTTTTAGCCTTGTCATTCTGTCTTGTCAAATATATGTTTTTTTCTTATTATTGTCCCAATCAACTTCAAATTGCCGTCTAACTGTAGGCTTCGAAGAACCAGTTACAGAAGCCTCCCGCAGGGACCCCATTGACAGAAAACAGAGGGTAGCTGATATAAATTATTTTTATCGCCATCAAAATCCATTTCCACTATTCTAGCTGATTATGGCACGATGTTCATCTTAATTTTGTAACACTGTAGGACCAAGACCCCTTTTGCTGGTTCATTATCTTTGGGTAGCAATACAGCTGGACCCAAATGGCGCTTGCCCTCTACAGGGTAAGTTATTTCTTGGATTATTTTTCTATGAAAACTTCAGGGTTCTAGTCTTCTTGACAGAATTCAGAATTATATATCACAGAGAAATTAAATTTTCATGTACCAAGTATCACCTAAACGATTGGCTTGAATAGCATCGCTGGTATCTCTACCAGCAATTACCAGCGTCTTGAAGGGACTTCACTTCTATTTCGTGGTCATTAATTTCGGGTTTAGATCAATGTTTCAAACTTTGTAAAAATTTGAAATGTTAAATGCTTGCAGGAATAAAATGAGATCCCCGACCATATCCTCCCCTTTCAGCTTGAGGACCGAAGAAAGGGCTGCCAGAAGAAAGAAGGCAATGCTCCGAACCATGTTTATCTTCTAATCCAGTTGACTCAAATTTGTGGGCTTTACTGAAAGTATGTTTCTTTCTTTGTCTATTGATCTTAATGGAATGCAGAAACTCGAAGAGAAGTTCAACGCCAATGAGGCACACAAGGTGCAGCTACATACAAAGCTAAAGGTGGGTTCACAAGGGAAATTGACCTCAAGAGTTGTAGGTTCATCAGATCAATAAAAAATATTCAAATTCGATCGTCTTAATGTGCAGGAGAAAGCAGAAACAGAAATCAGAAGACTACGCCAAAGCCTTTGCTTTAAGGCCAGGCCACTACCTGATTTTTACAAAGAAAGGAAAGAATTAAAGAACGAGACAAACAAGGTATCTTTCTCAAATTTGCACAATATTAAGTTCCCTAAGAAGCCAAAAGTTCATAATCAGAGTTAATTTCTGTTTCCTTTTTTCCCCTTGCAGTGCCAATCCCCCGAGTCACCGAAACAAGGGAAAAAAACTACTCCCGCTAGGGTATGGAGCAAATCCTGTCTGACTCCTCAGAAATCTACAATAAAAAACATTGGCACCAAGAATCATCTAGAAACGAATGGGCGAAGCTCCAACTACCATCTAACCTCAAATTCCAGGATGATTACGCAGGAGAATTCATCGCCTAATATTCAGCGTGAAAACCAATATGACGGCCACCACATAGAATCCACGCAACGGCTGGAGCAGGGCGTCACCAGAAAATGTCGAAGAACTTGGCATAATATTTAGATCGTTAAAAATGAATAGCAAATGATGCTTGCAGAAACGGAATGTACCATATTAAATCACTGATTATGCATAATAGTAGTCGATGGCCCTTATACTAGAAAACTACTTCATTTTGTTTGTTTTTATTATTCTGCACTACATGTCTCCTCTGTGAACAGAACTGGCGAGAAAGGGGAAAAAGTCTCTCTTGAAACATATGGTGTCCTCATTGGGCAATAACTCATAAGCTATTAATAATCACCACCAAAAAAGACAATATATCTGGAATCAAGGGTTCCCTCTTCCATGAAGCCAATTTTTGAATTCTAAATGACAAAGGGAAAACGGTCAACTGTCATTATTTGCTTTGAAGAAAGCGGATGGAATCAGTGTTACTTTTCACAACCAAGGGAATGCAGAAAGAACTCCGGATCCGGACAAAATTAACAATCAAGGGTATCATTTACTTATATGATACGTGCGTAATCACTAATTTAGGGAGACGATGTTACACTATACACATGACTGTCACATATATAGCTGCGCTTTGTACATTTGAGAGTCGTGTGACCAAATAAAATGATTCCTTGTAGAATTAATGATAATGTAGTACCAATTCATGTGATATCACCTTCACAGGAAGACGACGTTCACCATCTACCTCTAATAGTGTGTTCAAGTTTGCTTCCAGAAATCTAGTCTCGCATCTTTTGTCCATCTCTTTAAGATGTACAATGATGGAAGTATCCTTATATTCCTGTAATCAAGAACTTTTAATGCATGGCTGCATAGGACTCCCATCGACTCAAATTTCATACAGGTGCAGCTGACAGTCTCATTAGATGAATCAAAGGTAACGGTATACTCTCGTACGTGCTCATATATGCTAACTTTATACCTGTACAATGATCCACTTTCACTGCAATGCTTTATCACTAGATTTAAACAAGTTTCATATTCCTTCTGAAATAACTCAAATATCTTAGGTGTATATGGATCTCTTGCATGCTTCAAAAGAATCACATCTCCCATCAGTGCTGGCATACGCTGGCTCATATCATAATTGGCTTCTAATTCCTTATAGTGCCAATCAGCCACCACCTTCCCAAGATACTTGACAAATGATAGCACATCCGTATCATTCGTTAGCTGCTTCTTCAAGCCACCAGTAAGATTTTCTCTCCAAAGCACACTCGTTATGTCAGCACAGAAATTTTGCCTTCCATATGCTAAGGCCCAGTTGTCTCTACTTTCATATATTCGACACAACCATTCATTTTCCCAAAGATTATACCTGCCCAGGAAATCATTCCATGCATTAACAAAGTCATCCTCCTCCTCGTGATCGAAAAAGCAGCTTCTCAAATCATTAACAAAAGAATTAGATCCCATAAACATGTGACCAAGTTGATTTAGTGCATTTTGGTACACATGCCATGCACAGATTTGGCAGTTAGTTTCACGCAAGACAGAAGACACTGCTTCAGCTATTATATCATCTTGATCTATAAGAATTGTCTTTGGCTGTCTTCTGGACATCGCCTCCAAGAAGACTTGAAATAGCCACTTGAAAGATTCAATCGTTTCATCATATAGAAGCGCAGCCCCAAAGATAAGCATTTGCTTGTGATTATTGACACCAAGAAATGGAGCAAAAGGGCGGGAGTCTCCATAAAATCTGTAACTACAATCAAAACAAACAACATCACCAAAATCACAGTAGTCTCCTACCATCTTTGTGTCAGCCCAAAACATATTAGTTATTTGATCATCAGAATCAAGTTGAAAAGCATAAAAGAAGGAAGGATTTTTTGATCGCTTGATTCGAAAGTGATGCTTTAGCTTTTCAACTTCTCCCTCTTTCATTTCTCTTGTGCACTTTAAGGGCAATTTATTTCCATATTCTATGGGGTCACAACCCCGGTCATCTAAACCTTCAATAGCCTTGCAATTTGATCCAGACTCAGGAAGCACCACGGAAGCATCTACCATGTTGTTCTTAATGGCTTGAATCGTGGCTATTCTCTTCTGTGATCGTAACATGTGAACTCTACAAGCAGCAACGAGCTCATGATTATGCTTTTCTTCAAAATGAGTTACACAATATCTACCATCCGGTTGACGAGAAATTACCAGTTGTGCTAAACATCCAATTCTAGTTTCTTTTCGAGGCCTCTTCACATTCATATCACGTTTGTCTTTCTGCCGAAAACCTTCTCGAAAGCATGTGAACCTTCTAGAGGCTACAGCACCATCAATTTTACTTCTATTTACATAATCCTTCCGTACACTGAAACCTACACGTCCAGCATATGTATTATAAAACTCATATGCACGATCTTCTGAATCAAATCCCATTCCAACTCTTGGTACCCCATCCAACACAGAATTATTAGACCCGTTAGATTCAACTGCTTGAGCAAAACTCAATCTTCTCTGCGATGGTAACATATGAGCAGTACAGGGTGTTGCAAACTCATGATTGTGCTCTGCTTCAAAATGAGTGACACGAAACTTGCCATTAGGCTGACGAGCAATAGTCATATGTGCCAGGCATCCAGTCCTTGTCTCTGGCTGGGATTTCCTCACACCGGCATTATGTTTATTAGGCCTATAGCCCTGTCTGTAGCAAGTGTATCTTCTAGATACCACAGCACCATTCACCCTACTTTTGTTGACAAAATCTTTTCTTATGCTGAAGCCTTTCAAAACAGCGTGCCTGCTATAACACTTGTAAGCATGGTCTTCTGAATCAAACTCCAAGCCAATTTTTGGTACCATGGATGGCTCCCCCTCAGCTTTTATGACATTACTGCTACTTGATACATTAACAGAGGAAATGTCTGATTCCCGAGAGAGAATACCATTCGCAGCCTCAATCTGAAAATTGCGATCACACAAAATGCTTGAATTCAGACAATCATCACTATTTCCCATCAGACTCGGGACAAGCGGGACCAATATTTGGGCTTGTACACTCATTCTCAGTATCAATGACCGCGTCACTGTCTACGATTGAGGAATCCTTGGGGCTTTGACTCTGGTGTCTAACATCAATTGCTGCTCCAGGAGACATTTGACCTTCATTTTGCTCATCATATTCTGGTGGGTGTCTTTTGATATCAGGTTCTAGACCCCCCATGGACCTTTATGGGAACATACCACCCAAAAAAAAAAACAAAAAGTTAGGGGAACAATGCGCTGTAGCAACATAAGATGAGAGAGTCATAAGGAAGATGGGAGGAATGATCAAGCTTGTCAAAATGAAAATAACAGAAATAATAGAACATCACTTGCACTTCCATGCTCTACAATTCCAGATAGCAGTATCATGCTACTAAAATAAATCTGTATCATACAAGTAATTCATTAATAACCCATAACCGCACTCGAATTTCTTATTTTTCGTAGAGGAATCGGGGAAGTCACATACTTATGTTTCAGCAAGACAAAGATTTAAAAAAAAAAAAAACAGCAAAGTAATACAAAGAATGAATACATGGTCCTGTTGGCATATGTTCAAGCGACCTAAATGTCTCCCGGTAAAGAATCATCTGGAGCTCGACTCTGCGAGGAATGCACACAACGCGGATCAACGGGCAGAATCCGCTGCCGATGTGGCGATTGGCAGGAAATCGAACGGACTGGATATAGTTAGATGATGGTGTATGCCCAGAGATGACATCCCAGGACGAGAGCAGGCCAGGAGGCAGAGCACCCACAAGAATGGAGTGTGGAATTTTTAGGGCTTTCTAACCAGTTCGCTTGGGAAGAAGTGCCGTGAAAGTGAGGTCGCGTCTTTTCCCATGAATGTTTCATCTTCTTCTCTTATCCGCCGCATTACGTTGGCGGAAAAAAAGAAAAAAGAATTCTACCCCATTAATATGCCGAGTATCTTATAAAAAATAAATACGAGGAAAAATTGGGGTGAATCCAATAGCAGCCCAGCCCCGACAAATCTTATTAAAAAAAAGAAGAAGATGTATTTATCCATCTAGCAAATAAGTATCACTTGTTACTAAGGTATTTAACTGATTCATACAACCCACCTCTCTTTAAAAATTGTTTGGATATAGCTGTCATTAAATTGATCCTTTAGGACCTAAATATCATTTCCCTTACATTTTTTGGCCAGCTGGCAAGGATTTCTCTTACTTTTTTCACTCTAGCTATTTATGTATAAATATAAATTATAAAGTGCAATAACGTAAAATATATATTACAAGAATTTATAGCCTTTGCTCGTCCTTTGCGGATTTACCTTTTTTTTTTAAAGAAAAAAAGCTTTTTAATTCTTATATGAGGAGAGAAAAAAAAAAAACCTCATCATCCTGGATATGCAAGCATCTATGAACTATCCGTGAATTCGAATTTTCATCGGGTATACAATTTTTAATTCACTTGTCAGTATTTTTTTGAAAATAGACTCAATCTTTCATTAGTGATCAAGTGTTAGTTTAACTTTTAATTTAATTCTAAATATAAAATCTTAATTTATTTTGTCTCTTCTATTTATCTATTTTTTTAAAGTAATCATTATAATAGTTGTATATTTTAAAGGCTCCATCAAATGATAATTATAGCTAATATACTTGATTGGTAAAAATATTTTAAAAAAGACAACACATATTTATTACAAATAATTATCTTAACAAACTTTTTTAATCTACTTAAATTAGTCAACTAACTCTTATACTAAAAGAGAGTATAATTTATAACACTAATGCAAATTCTGTTCGTTAAATGTACTACACCAAATAACAATAACGCTATTTAAAGGAATTACAAAGCAGTTTCAGATCCTGAAAGTCCCTGTCCCACAACAACACGAACTAAAATCAGGGACTTAAGAGTGACAATTACTACAACCTCACTGGCAAATTTTACTATGGCTAGTTCAAGCTCGGTGTGCTGCACTCTTCATGCTATGTATATAGCCTACACCTTACACCTCCTCTTGTTGTAAAGGTCGATCAGAAGATTTCTGCACACTCTTTGTTTGTTGATCTGCAACATCTGTTGAAGTTGGGCAGATAAGTGGCTCTCTGATTATGTCATTAGCTTTCGGAGAAGCTCCAGCTTTCTTCCTAGGATATAGTGCATAGTGTTGAAGCATAAACACAAGATCATAGAATATAGTCACCTGCATTATCACAAAGTGTTCCTCGTTTGATGTCCAAATATCAAATATGTTTAACAAATCACTTTTATAAAATTATGGGGCTTTGTCAGAGAGAGAGAGCCAGAGAGGAATCAGACTTTTGAGTTGTCATACCAAGGATATAAGTACTTTGCCAACGTTTCCAATGAAGTTCATCCATGAACCTAGAAACAGATTCAGTATCAGTTATTACTGAGGGAGGTAAAGTGATGGAGGGAGCTCTAGTACACTATGAATGGTTGATTTTGAGAAACCTTGATCTATAGATTGGACGGCCATTTGTGAGTAATTGAAAACTCCTCCAGAAAAGTCAAGCAGAACCCCGCCAATGCTGAATCCATCCGTGCTCTTCCTCAGGAAGTTCATGACTGCCTAAAATCATAGTCATACATATAAACGTATGGCTAATCCAGCAGATAAACTCTATAACAATGGGGAGGGAATGAAAATATCCTCACCTGGGGCATGTATTTGATTAGGGTCATACATACTTGAATTGAGCTGCATGAGAATGGATTCCCCCACACAATATTAACCACAAATCGGCAGCAACGTTAAAAGCATACATATACATTGGAAAGAAAAGAATGGCCATGGATCTGGGAGCTTACTTAAAGATGGAGATGAGCCAAAGCCAAGAGTGGTCAGATAATGCTACGAAAAAACAGACTGCAGCAATGAACCATACCGCGGATACTATTGCAATGGCATATTTGGAGAATTTCTGATTTCCACGCTGCAGACAGAGAGGCATTGAATCTTAATAAGAATTCGCAAAACCTATTTGGTGGGTTATAAGAAAGAGGAGAACTCTAAGGAGAACTGTGAAAGTACTTACTTCGTAGACTGCAACTTGGAATAACAAAATTAAGGTCATTATAACAGTATGAGTGGAGAAAGCAACATCATTAGCGGCTACAGGAATCATCTGCAATTTAAAAGAGTAATTAACAAGCAAAGTGGGTGATTGAGGAACAGGGTATGGTATCGGAAGAAGTTAAACCTGTTCAAAACCGTATTTCTCCAAGTATTGCTTCTGAATGACAGTGCTGAAGTAGAGGGAAGCGTTGTAGATGAGATAGGAGGAATGCTTTGTTAAGCTGAGTATTTCGTAATCAAGGTTTAAGCCCACCACACTGTGTTCCACACCCCAACCAACAAAAACGCTTTGTATAAGAAAAGAATCAAGAAGAAGAGAGATCAAGGTGGGGAAAGAGGTAAAGAAGTTTCTGAAAAATGCGGTACCTTTTCCTACGAAAGTTCAAGATGATTTGTGGGTAACAACTGATAGCCCAGGAAACGAATGCTAACCAACCCAGTACTTGGTACCAAACTTGAAGAGGGATTGAGTTCCAAGAAGCCATTCCTCTCAAGAACTTTGGATAATGGGACCTGTCAATTATTGTCTGGGTTCCAAATGTTGATAGGAGCTTCCCTCCCATCTCTGTTTCAAATGGGAGTGGTCAGGCATTGGCTTCATTCCAAATGTTGGCAGGACCTTCTAACCTCTTTCCTATCCCGGAATGGTCTGCTTTTTTTTTTTTAACATCGGCTGCTATGAATTTGGTCCACAATGCTTTTCAAATTCATCTGGGGTTGAGAAATCTAGCAAGCAAACTTTTTCCCCCGTCTAACGTTATGACTGACACTTCTATTCCAAATAAAGAACATAGACGCCATCGGGGGGAAGTTCAATCCTCCAATTTGACTAAGAAACTGATTGTAACCAAAACGGCCGCGTTTTTTTTTTTTTTTTTAAAAAACATTTTCACATGATTACTGACACACCTGTGACGATTGCAAAGGATGGGCTTTTTAACATTCTTGGACTCTATACTAATTGGTGCGTTTTCTATAATAAATTGAACTGATGGATACGCTATGGGTCGGGTCGGGGCGACTTATCGGTTATGGTATTAATAGGGATATGTTGCTGTGATTTTGTGGTCGGTTCACCCCTACTTTGAGGGAGGAGCTCCTCTTTGTCGTGGTTCAGCAAATATTGATGGCACATGAATTGTAAATCTTTTTTTTTTTTGGGCTTATTGGTTGCGAGATAATGAGAATTGTCATTTACTGGCCTGATCGGTAATGTTGGCAGGTGGGAACCTTCCAATCTCTATCTCTTTTCTTGGAACTGTCTGATTTTTGCATCGTTTGCAATGGATTGGTCCGAAATATTTTTTCAAGTTCATTTGAGGTCGAGAAATTTCGCAAGCAAACCTTTTATTTTGGCTTTTTTTTTTTAAAAAAAAATGACCTACATTTCTCTTACAACAAAATGACAGAGACGCTTTCGGCGGAAATTTCAATCAGCCAATTCAGACATATGCTGAAATCTCGTCGTCAAAGTCCAGCCAAAGAAAAAAGAAAGAAAGAAAACGGGAAACTTCTCCAAAGATGTTCATATTCTGCAAATGTCGGAATAAGCCAAGCATTTTATCCGTTGAGTCGGAGTTTAGTCTATTTAACATCTAAGTTCTCCTTCAGATTGGGAGGTTAATTAATAATTCGAGTAAATTGCGAGATTCAGATAAGTATGACCAAGAAATCTGAGTGTAATTGATGCGTACGTCGTCAATAAACAAACATTAATTTGTACGTGTTTAGTGACCCAGCTGTGGCAGCAACAAGTGATGGACTTCTTTACATACTCCTACCATTTACCAATTGGCTTTTTATATAATACATGAATCGTAAATAGAAATGTCTTCCTCCACTCAACAGTGGTTCTGCGGTCCGTAGATCCAACTTGGAGGAATGGGATTCTTTTTTGTTCGGGTACATCAAATAATGTTGGCACATGAACTCCCCGTCGAACAACATTGATACCTGCAATTATATTTTGGTAGGAGGAAGTAGAGAAGGAGAGGGTCAATACGACAGCGTTCAATTATAACGCCGCGCCGTTCGCTGCGCCTTGTATCATCTGCACTAATCCAAATGATATTCTTAAAATAACCCGATCTTTTTAGTTGCGCACACAACGTTAATGAGAAGTCCAAAAAGGACACGAAAAGGTCACATCCACACAAGGTTAGTGGAATATCGCTGATGTGGGGAAAACGAAAAAAAACAAAATGTCAGTGTTTAACTGGACAAAGTGTATCCTAAGCATGTAAGCTTTTTGGGAGGGATAAATTAATCAAATGCGACTTATTTCAGAATGTTTAAGGAACATTAATTTCCATGAAAGAGGGAGAGGACCTGGTGGAATCCATGTTTGGATCGGTACTGAAACTGAACCTCGGGGCTTAAGTAGAAGCAAGGGGCGTGAATGAAAGACACAGTACGCTTGGTGTTGTTCATCAGTGCATAGTTGAAGTTCACAGCCACCACGCTCTGTTCAAACAAATTCGGATCAGATGATATATATACATAATCATCAATAAGAGCAGTGATTTTATTGTATTGATTCGCATATACCTTTTCCTGCGGAAATTCAAGAGCAGCCGGAGCAGAACATGAAGGCCAGCCATCCGCACACGTCGTATGCTCCTTCCAGTATCGGCGACTTCCATGAAACTGAAACCCCTCCCATCTTCTCGATCTCTCTCATTCCGCCTATCATCCTTCCTCTTTATAAACAAGTAATATTACTGGCGGGCTAAGCCAGAGGGGGGCACGCCGAAGATCCCCAGCCGCCAAAAGAGAAACTTGTTTAGTTTATTCAAAAGGGAAGTTTTATTGCATCGCGGGTGTCACTGTTTGCGTGTACTTGTACGCTTCTTTTTCTTTCCTATTTCAATAAAAAAATGACGATTTCTGTTTAATTTATTGAACTCAGCTTGATGCATGTAATTACAAAGGCATAATTATATTTAATTTAATTCACAAATTTATCCGCAAACCAACAACACCGCTCTGAATTATAAGGTGACGATATAACCCAAAAAAGAATAGTTGATGAAAATTGGGTCGGAAACACGGGCGGCCCATTTTGCTTATAACGTTGATTTTTGTCCAAAGAGTATTTGAAAAATTCTACAATTTTTTGTATATTTAATTAGTGTTATAATTATATTCTAACCAATAATTTTGGTTTAAGTGGCATTATTAAATCAGATTCATTGTACTCCGCAGTACATCGGAGAGGAGTACTAATTTAAGGTCAGCTTCTCCTTTAACGCAGGAGGTTAATCAATGACAATGATCATAACAAACGGCAAATGCAAATAAATATGACCAAGAAATTGAGCGTAACGTAAATAATAGGTCCCACGTTCATAACGAACATATTAATTTGTACATGATTATCATTTACAAATGATGGACTTTTCACACACTTGCACCCTACAGATTGACTTTTTTTCTATAATACATAAATTAAACTGTTTTCACAGCGTGTGTGGTGGGTGACTTATGGGGAATCGTAACAGCAGAAATATCTCCGTCAGTCACCAGTGGTTCTGCGATCTCTTGATCCAACTTGGAGGAATGGGATTCTTTTTTGCTTGGGTACAGCAAATAATGTTGGCACATGAACACCACGTCGAACGACATTGATACCTGCAATTTTATATTCACTTCGACTAAGACACCAACTTAATAAATTCTTCAAGTTTCGGTATTGTTATTGTCCATTCAAAGTTGGGAAAAATTCATGCATACCAAAGAGAGCAAGACTTTTCCAATGTTCCCGTATAAGTTGACCCACGAATCTGCACATCAGGGGGCAGAAAACATATGAATCGATTGATTACAAAAGGATTAAAGGATTAAGATAGGCTGGTGATGAAAGTAATGAGGATGAATTTGATATACTTTGATCGATGGACTGCATAATCATTTGGGCATAATTCAAGGTTCCTCCAGAAAAATCAAGCAGGACATAACCAATGCTGAAACCCTCCGTGCTCCTCCTCAAACAGTTCATCAATGCCTGCGTAATTCTCACCCCCCATCATCATCAATCAACAACATCACTCTATTTTCCTACTTACTGCCAAAGAAGATATATATAACAAGTAATTCTAACCTGGGGTATATATTTGATAGAGGTCATACACACTTGAATGGAGCTGCAAAAGTGAAAACTCACATTTCATCGTGAGCTCAACAAATCAAAATTTTAAGGGGGAAAATAAGGAGATAGAGAGAACTGAAGTTACGTTAAGACGGAGAGAAACCAGAGCCAAGAGTGAGAAGGGAGAGCCACGAAGTAACAAACAACAACACCCAGCCACACCCCAACAAGCATAATAATGGTGAATTTGGACACCGCTTGGTTTCCGCGCTGCAACACCCACACGATTAACTAGCCATATTTGGAACCTGTAATATGTAAATACTCCAATTTCGTGGACAAGGATCGATTAAGCATTTAAGCTTAAGCGAGTGGGTGATGGACGTACGTCGTAAATTGCAATTTGGAAGAGGGTGAGCAGTGTCAACACGACTGAGTGAAACGATAACGCCACGTCGTTTGCTGCCACTGGTATCATCTGCACAAATCCACAAATCTCGGCAGGTTCAAATCAGCATAAGACCTACTTACTCCTTAAAAGATTTAAGAAAGTCGGTTAATTTTGTTAATTACAATCATTAATATTGCAAAACATATGCATAATTTTACCTAAAATACCCCTTTGTCTAACCATGTAAATTTTTATGTCCAAGCTTTTTTTCATTCTTCTTTTGGAATTACAGGGGTTAAAAGAAGCAGCAGCAAATATAGTCATAGAGAGGGAGGAAGATGAATGAAGAGAGAGAATATGGATGGAGAAGTGGATGGGAGGAAAGACCTGGCGAAGTCCATATTTGGAGCGGTACTGAGACTGAACCTGGGGGCTGAAGTAGAAGCAAGCGTTGTAGATGAAATACACAGTGTGCTTGGTGTTGTTCATCAAAGCGTAGTTGAAGTTCAGACCCACCACGCTTTTTTCAACAAATTCGGATCAGAGTCCAAAACATGAAGGCTGAATCAGAGAGCAGCGATTGGATTCATACCTTTTCCTTCGGAAATTCAAGAACAGCTGAGGGTATAAGCAGCCGGACCAGAATATGAAGGCCAGCCATCCACACACGTCATATGCTCCTTCCAGTATCGGCGACTTCCACGAAACCCCTTCCATCCCCTCTCTCTCTCTTTGCGCGCACCCTGATTTCACCTACCGTTCCCTCTTGTTCTTCATACAATTATTATCGGCAGGCTAAGCCAGAGGTGGGGACGCACACTACTTGAAATTTTTATGACTTTGGATTATCCTGAAAATTAATCATGTTTCAAATAAATCCTCCGACCTGAGACCTGAATGGAAAGTATTTGTTAACGGCTAAAATTGGCCCACCTCATTTTCTCTTTTTTTGAAATCAAAATATCCCAGCGGAGAGTGGGACCTGACTCGATTTGGAAACAAACACCAAGTGCAGACCCTTTTTCTGGATAGGGAGCACGTCACAATCACTCTTTATTCACTAGTATCCACACACAAAAAGTGACACAACCGCCCTCAGCAGTCGCCATCCAATGATTCTTGTGTTTATCCCGAAGTCATTACTGTTTTTCTGTTCATAACTTTACTCATTAGATCCTAATCCTCTCTGCAGAAGGGGAGAGCATGTCTCTTTTATTCGGTTAGATGGCTCTCAAAGCTTTTTCAGTGGAAATGATGTCGTCTCTCTTTTCTTCTCATCCCCCCACTTAGGTCAACAGAGCTGATTCTATCACAACATAAATGTATTTAGTTTATTTGAAAGGGAAGTTCACTTAGATTGCGGATGTCAAAAGAGACGATTCCAAGAAAGATAACATAACATCAACACATACTCCTGATGCTTCGACCCTATAGCTGCCTAATGGCTATATCAGTTGGAAGATCAAATACGGTTTTCTAAAGGCCTTAGAGAACCGTTAAACGAGAAACCAGTAACTGGGGGCATTCGACAAATCCACATAAATTAAGTCAGCGCTCACTTGAGACAGGCCCAAACCAGTACTGAGTTTTTTTTTTTGGTCAGAAACCAGTACTGAGTTCGAGCTACTAAAAATTACATAGAACCTCAACCCCGCCTTTTCGTCCCAAGCTCACAACCTTTTGCAGCTGGCACTAGTTTCCAAAATGTCAAGTTAATCAACTCCTCATCTTCACCCTAGAGCATAACCTGATTCACATTTTCTCAATAAAAATTGGCTGCCAATCTCTGCCCCATTTGACGAGTTCTAACACCCATTCCAAACTAACGAATTCTTTCATCCAACAGGCATATTACATGACCCACAAAATGAAAATAAAATAAAGGAACTAAATGAAAAATAGCAACTGTCAAATAATAACCTAAAGGATTATATATATGATGTACCAGTTTTTATAATTGAAAAAAATAAGTTATTTCCTTGCATTAACCATACAAAGTGCAAGACTATAAGCGTCTGATGCAGGGCAGTGTATACAGCTAGCAACAGCCGAACTGGGGGGTTATTTGGCTTATTTCAAAGAAAAAAAAGGAGGGCGGGGGGCTAAGAAAACTGACAATAAAATTTCAAAGCCCAAATTTTACAAACGGAGCTGAGGAATACATTGGCAGACTTATTTCAACATTAGCTGGGTTATCACCACATCCAGAGGGGAAGCAAGTTCCCCGCAGAAACATTTAATTGAACAAACCGTCAAGCATCTGACAGTAGAAACTCATGCTTTACCAACTCCCAACTCAAGCTTCTTGATGTTTTGAATTTGCTTTCCTGGATTCAAGCCCTTTGGGCACGCACGAGCACAGTTCAATATGGTATGACATCGGTACAGCTTGAACTCATCATTAATGGCTTCCAATCGCTCCTGAGTGTACTCGTCACGACTGTCACTTATCCACCTGCAACAATATCAATTATCATACCCCCTATATCAGCTCTTGACAACACTCAACCAAAACAAATAAAAAATCCCCCATCTATACTAAATTCAGAAGAGCTGAGTATCTTCTGAAACAAGAGTAGCATCAATTATAAAGTCTTCCAATTACGATATGCTAGATATAGAATCTATATAGAACCTCAAGGTAAGAACGACATGCTGTTTGATTATGAGCTTGGGATTGAGATGCCAAATCTCAAACATGCACACTATGAATCAGCAAGGGTTCAAGATAAAGAAGATAAAGAAATTGAAAAAAGTAAACAAAGATTTATAGCAAAGCAACTTGTGAACAACTAGATGAATTATACCTATGACCTCGATGCCTGAAATAACAGCAGCTTCAAGTTTTTAATCCAAAACGCTAAATAATAAATCTTATACAGACATCAAGGAAAATAGTCGAATTATTCACCAAACTTCAACCCACAAATCCAAATCCAAATCCAAATATTACAGACTAACAATGCCAAGAAGAAAAGGAGAGCAAGTATCATGATGTATGTCAAAAGCAAGGCAATTACCCAATTTACGAAATATATTACTAACAAAACAGGGCATAGATTACAAAAGGCCAGCTAACTAACATCAGATTTAAAAAATGAGAATAGAAAAATAATTTTTATAGGAAAAAGAGGTAAGCTCCACCTTCTGATTTGCCCAAAGATGAGAAGGCAGAAAATTCCTACCCCATTCCATTTGCTTCTTCAGTTTCGTCAAGAAATAAAGAGAAGCTTTTCATGAGCCCAGTCAAGACTAGCAAAAATAACAAGACTTTTTTTTCTTAAAAAAAAAAAAAAAGAGGACATGCGTTACCAGAATTATAGAATGGAGGAAAATTTTCAGAAAGCTTCAATTTACCAATGGACATAGTAAAAGCCTGTTCATTGAATCCACAATTCCCGTTAAAAACTGTGCTCAAGATATTTTCTTTCTCACCCTATCAACGAGCACTTGATCAAACAGAACCTCAATTACCAAACTACAAGTAATCAAAACTGAATAAATTCACATAACAAGAAACAGACATTCCATAGAATACAGCGGATAGCATACCCTGTAGCTATAGTCTTTAAACAAGTGTAGCGTAGCCACATTACGCGCCCGGTAACTTAAAAATAGTTGGTCAAAGCATTAAAGCAGCGGTTACCTGTTAGCGTGGAGAAGAGCAGCCGGACCGAGATAGGACTCAGGATTCCACCAGTAACTGGGGCAGGATGTGCTACAGCATGCGCACAATATGCACTCGTACATCCCATCAAGTTTAGCCCTGTCTTTTTTGCTCTGCGGTATCTCCTTCCCAGGCACGGGGGGCGAGTTCTTCCTCTTCAACCACGGTTCAATGCTCTTGTATTGATTGTAGAAATTGGTCATATCCACCACCAGATCCTTAATCACAAACATATGAGGCAAAGGAGTAATTGTGGAGGCGGTTCCAGAAGATATCTTAGTCAAGCAGGCTAAGCCATTGCAACCGTCAATGTTCATGGCGCAGGACCCACAGATTCCCTCGCGGCAAGACCTACGGAAAGTGAGGGTGGGATCGACCTCGTTCTTGATTTTGATCAGGGCGTCGAGCACCATGGGCCCACACTCCTTAAGATTGATCTTGTAATCCTGAAGCTGGGGTTTGGATGGATTTTCCGGGTTCCATCGGTAGATTTGGAAGGTTTTAAAGTTGGAGGTATCTCGAGCCGCCGGTTCGACTTGCTGGGCTTGAGCTTCGGAAGCGTGGGCTCTAATCCTCATCAACATAGATGCGGGCGACGATGAAACCCTGGAAACTGCCCTTCTGACAATACCCGTCGCCATTATTCCAGTAACGCAGGGACTCAAAACAGATAACCAGAGGAATTAGAAGGAGACGCTGCAAATTGATTTGAAGGGAAAATGAGGGAAATGATTGTATTCGTTGATTTTTCACGATATATATAAGCCGGTGATTATAAATCCTTTGCGGTGCCTCGTGAGGACTTCCGTTCGAATAATCGAGAAAGCACAATCGATGATGTGGCCAAAAAATTACTGGTCTCGTATTTATTTTGCCAACACTGGTCTTATTAGATTATTACCGCCTAATAAAAACATAAAGTATAATAAAATCTACAACTGGGACCCCTTTTAAGAGCCGCCATTTTCGCTGGTCTCGGCTCCCTCCATGCCCGCCTTCTTCGCCTCTATCTTCCCCATCCTTCCCTTCCCTCTCTCTGTGCAGCTGCACCGCGTCTCCCCCTGCCGATGCAGCAACCCCACGGCCTTTGATACTTATCATATTCGCCAATGGCTTCGGTAATTTGTTTCTGATCTGCTTATCCCTTTGTTTTTAAGATGCCTTCCATCATTCTCCATCTTTCGCCTTATTATTTGGTGTTTCTTCCTGATTTTTTTTTTTTTTCAAACGTATGATTGCTTTTTTCTTTTGCACATTCTTTTGTGAACGGAACCGCTATAACTCATTTCCATTGCGCCCCACATTTTGTGAGCCCATATGAATCAAAACCCTTTTAAGGAGATAAACATGATAATTGGTCATAGCTTTAATTTGATGAGATCGGATCAATTCCGTTATGGCTTTAATTTCCATGCTATATATAATCATTCCGGACTCAAATTGTTTTTGTCATGTATGTCCGGTTCATTTGATAGCTTCCTATTCATATTTCCCTTTCCCGAATCATATCGATAGAATTTAGCAAAAGTGAAAATGTAACTGAAATATTCAAGAAATTCAAGAGAGTTGCCAAGCGGGCAACAGAAACTGGACAAGCAATTCCCCCCCCGAAATTGCTCACTGCATGAATGAGTCAACTATGCTTCCAAATTAAGAGATGAAAATCCAAAACGAATGGCTTACGGTGTGAGAGGATCTGTACGTAAATGTTTTTAAAAAAAGAGTTATGAAGTGCAGGAAGACAAAGGCCGGGCACTGCCAAAATTTGGGGAGTGGGATGTGAATGATCCTGCTTCTGCTGAAGGATTCACAGTGATATTCAGTAAAGCAAGAGACGAGAAGAAGGGCGGTGCTGCTGGTGGAGGAGGGAACGGGCCCTCTCACGCCAACAACGGTCCTAAACCAGATAATTCCCCTGATTTAACGGTAATCTACTTTCCCACAAACCACAACATTGATCATTCTTCATACTCCAACTCCTTGTTAATGTATTTGGTTCAACTTATATTGATTCCTTCTGGTTTCGACTCTGCAGAGGAAGTGGTTTTGCTGTTTCTAAATGTTCATAACTGGATTGGCCCTTGGGGCCTAGAGATGTAGCTGGAGGGAATTTAGAATGTTTGAATTACCCCTCAAACAAACACTAATGTCTCTTACGATTTGAAGTTGCAAGTTGAAACCCCTCTTCGTCCCCATCATTTTTTCTGTATTTGGCCTGCCATAGGACGCAAACGGACTACGACCTCCTTCGTCTTGCCTTTGTAAGAGAGTAGTACAATTACAGTAACAGCCAACTTTGGAAAGAATAGCACTGTAATTTTGGGCATCGTGTCCGAATTTTTTCAGCAAAGTTCATCCCATATGTCTCTGATCCATGAGCATAATTTCAAATCTGATTACCTCTGGTTTAAGGTGTAATAATTTTGATTTCTTTGTTTCGATTGATTTCTTTCTTTGAAGCTCCCTCTCTTATTTGTGAGACATGAGATTAAAAGTTTAGTTGAACTTACAAAAATGCTTACAACTTGTTTGCAGATAAAGCACTCAACGTCCGCAATGAAATTTAAACTCATTTTTATAGGTTATGTACTAAAGATGTGTTTGGGATTATGTAAGTGAGTTCCAAGCCAATTTTTACGCAGCAAAAAGTAGGATTGGCATAAAAATTATGTTCGGATTGGTATTGTTACTGAATGGGTTTATGTTATAAATGAACTTCTTTTCCAACGCTACCAAATGTTACTTCTGGTTTTTTAACCGTTCATCCCAACACAGTGGGATTTAGGGAGGTTGTGCTTTTATCTTATTTCTCTTCATTCCCAAATTCATAAAATCATATTTTAAAAAGCAAGTGTATTATTAATTATTGTTCAAATACTTTCAATCTATAATATAAGTCACTCTAATTAATTAATTAAAATTAAAAAATTAAATATGTCTCAAATAATTTTTTTGTCAACTTTATTTATATTAACTACTTTTGTTTTTATGAATTTTAATTTTAATATATCTCAAATCAAAAGTATTATTTAATTTAATAAAGTTCATGGTTGGCAAAAAAAATTAATATAATTCATGTGCTTTTCAATCATGTTATCTCTAAACTTACTTTTCTAATCGTCATCAAATAAGTTTTAGTTTGTCAAACTTTTTTTTTTTTACAAAACCTAATCTAAACACAAATCACATTACACTAATTAACTTTTTTGCTAAAGCATAGATACTCTTCTATTGGAGGCAATCCTATTCAAGACATCGTCGGGTACTAAATATAGGCACCTCTTCCAACGGGGATTCAAACCTTAGTTCGTCATATTGTAAGTGACTAGTCCCTTCTACTAGATCTAACCCCTGTTGGTTTTATACTAACTAACTTTTACTCCAACTTAAATTAGCAAAAGTCAAGTGAAATAAAAATCACTTTTATTATTGCTAATCCACACACACTCTAACTCACAGATCAATTTTTGTTGGCAACAAGAAAAGCTTCTATTTATTTTATTTGTTCTCTTATTAGTCTAGAGGCGATTAATAAACCCTGGCCAAAAATAAAACTGAACCACCTTTTGCCGGCAATAAGAAAGCTTCCGTATTCGACTTATTTTCTGATTAAGCCTAGAGGCGATTAAAGAGGCCGAAAAAAAAAAAGTTAACTTTCGGCCTGTTTCAGCTCATATTGGGCCCCCGCGTGGTGCGATCAGCTCAAGACGGCTTCTTAAGATATTGAAAAATCAAAAATGTCTGTAAGAGGCAAAGAGAGAAGACAAAAGCGCTCTTCAAGCGTCCATGTTTCGTTTTAGTTTGGTGCTAATTGCCAAAGGCTCAGTACATAAATGCTTGGTTAGAGTGTGTGGTGAACGAAGTATGGTAATAATAAATTCATAAAATTAGCCCCAGTCGACTAGATTTTCTAGTTTAGAAATATCACATGTTAACGTCAGCTGTTTGATAGCCACAAGGCAATCATCATTGATGTAAACACTAGTAATCAACACGGTGGCAGTAATTGTATCTAAGCAAGTTGGCAACAAAAAAAACAGAGAGATCTTAACAAGAGATCATTTGGGTGTATTTAATTTACACAAGTATTTATTATTGGATTCTTCAATTAAATTAAAATATGACGTGCTCATAATTATTTAACAGTAACAGGACAGTTCTGGAGTGAAGAATCACATATGTGATAACAAAATTCATATATGATTAGGGGGCTGAACAATAATTTCCAATTAAACCTGCAACGAGCAAATAAGTGCATGTTCCTGGCGTGAGCAAAGGATTTGAGGAGATTTAAAACAAGATTATCACGAATATATGAAAGGGATCCTGGCCGGAGAAAACTATTATTGATAGATATGTGTAATCCGATAATACAATTTTCAAGTGCCAAAGACGGACACTGTGGCTTTTGGCATCCGCCTAGTGCTATAACTACAAAATGAGTATCTAGTTATGTGTCATGAGGAATCAAACCAAACAAATGAGCATGCAAATTATTGTTGGATTCAGTATCAGTACAAACACAACATGTGATGTTGGGAAGCAACGTTGTGGAGCACAACGTGAGAAAAATTATAAGAAATGGACGAAGCAAGTAAAATATAGGAGGGGAGACAAGTCGGCATTCATGTACATAAAACTAGATAATCTGAGGCCATACCAAAGTTCAGGAACCAAATCCAAATGATTGGGAGGATGTCGCACCTATTTTGCATATGCCCATGTGGGGGATCACACTTAGAAATTACAAACCAAACAACAACAACGCCACAAATTGTGACTTTTTAATTACTCCTTTTAATTCTTAATATAATAGCTAGTTAACTAATTTCAATAGATTAAAAAAATTAATTAAATTAGTTATTTGTAACAAATAAGTAGTGTTTTTCTTAAAATATCCTTACTAATTAAGTATATTAGTTAGAACTATTATTATTACAATAATTACTTTAAAAAATAGATAAATATGAAAGATAAAATAGATTAAAATTTTATACTTAGAATTAAAATAAAAATTAAACAAATTTTTACATTAAGTTACCTTTCTAACGTTTTGTGAATTGTGAAGACCTAAGCAAACCTGTCTTTCTCTCTTCTTTTGCTTGCGTTTTCCTCTTACAGCCTTCCACGTGGGGGTTGGTGCCCTATAAAAGGACTGCCCAACTGCCCTCGTGCCAAGTAAACGCCTACATTAACAAATGTCTCCCTAACCTAACAATAACTCATCAACTTCGAAGTTTAGGTTTTTCCCTCCCAAGTAACCATCTGTTTTCCACCATCTTTCTTTACTTGTTTAAATTTCAATCGTTTCTCTGCATGATTAGTGTCCATTCCATTTTTTTGAGACCTTTTTCTTTCTTAAGAGGACGTGATCCAAAATAGATGGCTAGCTAGCATCGATATCTCTATTGCAAATGAAGGGTCACTTTGTCTTGAATTGTTTATCCCAGGGATCTTGCCTTCTGTTAATTTTTTTTCAAATGCCTACAAAAGACAGAAGTCTTGATCGACAAAATGATTTTATTCCAGGTCAGGAATTAAATAATTGTTATCGAACGACTCAATAATGTCCTGTCTTAAAATTACTCACGGTTTAGTCAATGCACGAGTTTAATGCAATCAAACACGACAGTAGTTATTTCGTATCAGCAAGCAAAAACAATATATAAGTGACTCGTAACTCATTCTCATGTGCTAAAAAACATATTAAATTGTTAAGATTTTTTAATTTTATTTTTATTAAAATTTTCTCTTTATATTTACAAATCATTCTCATTTTTTTTCTCTTTCCAATAAAAACTAAATAAAGGTAAACTTGAAAACAGAAATTAGATATACTACAAGTGATTTATATTTAGAATAAAAGAATTTTCTTACAAGTGACTTGCATTTAGGATCAGGGTGGCATATGGATTTTTTTTATATACTGTTGCAGTATTTAAAAAATGGAGTGTTGTTTTTATTTATACTTTGACTGATATTTTATTTAAAATTTAGGATCTAAATTCTTTAATTAAAAATTCAACACAAATTCCTTGAAAACCCTGTGCATGCATGTGGATTTGTTGCAGTTATTATTATAGGAAAAATAAAGCAGATTACGTGGCAACCATTAGTTGGTAGAAATAGACTGTCAAATTACAATTGTATGAATAATAGTAATATATAGATAATGAAGTGTTGGGGGGAAATTTGGAAGGGTAATTGATAATTTGAATATAGATAGAGATTTGGTTAGGCCCGCAAATTAAGCATGCGTGTCCCCCATGTGCGTCACCCATATTCCCAGAATCAGCTCAAAAAACCATTCTTCAATTACCCCAAGCCCTGCCCTTTCCTCGTTTCTTGTTCTTTGTCCTCTTCCCCTACTTCATTATATAACTTCCCAACTGCATTCAGTTTCCCTCACTCCACCACACACAACTCTTGCGATCCAAGAAGAAGATGATCAAGTTCAGGTCCAAGAGATTCAGCAGAAGCATGTCCAAGCTTGGCTATGGAGGCAAAGCGTCGCCGCCAGAAAAGGAGTGCAGGAACATCTCCGACATCAAGTGGGAACTTCGCCCGGGCGGCATGCTTGTTCAGAAAAGGGACGCCGACCAAGATGCCGGAGATGGGGTTATCACCATCAGAGTCTCAACTGTGTCGCACTGGCATGACATTTCCATTCAACCCACTTCTACTTTCGGTGAGTTTAATTAGAATGGCTCAAGATTGCAGCTTTTTCCTTTTTCCGGAAGAATTAGGGATATTGCTCTATAGGCGCTTGACAAAAGTTGTGAATCAATTAATGGGTTTGCAGGGGAATTGAAGATGATACTGTCACTGGTAACAAGTTTGGAGCCCAGAGAGCAGAGGCTTTTGTTCAGAGGCAAAGAGAGAGACGACGAGGAACACCTTCACATGGTTGGGGTTAGAGACAAGGACAAGGTTCTGCTGCTACAGGACCCAGCGATCAAGGAGAAGAAGCTGCTTGCCTTGGTAGGAGGTCAGGCCATGGCCGCTCCTCGTCCTACCATTACTGTATGACTCTGATTGATCTAATAGCATCGCTGATTAGCACTAACCACAAAAAGGAAAGTGGAGAAAGCCAATTAGAATGATGAGCCTTTCTTCACCTGTCATATATTAGTACCGTAATTATGTAGTCGTCTGTGGGTTCTGTAACTCGCTCCCTGAAAGTCTTGATGGTGTAAACTCTGCTGTTGAAACAATGCCGTTACAATATACGCGGACGTCGCTCTGTTAATAGAAGTCTGTTGATTCCGTTTGTGTCATAAATTCTTCATTATGATGTTTTCTGTCTCTTGTTTTATAATACTACGTACTATGAACGCACGCGAACACGCGGAAGCAAAAAGAATTATACTATAATGCAGGGGACAAGTTTAAAAGGGGAGCTGACGGACCGATTGTGGGGTTTTAATTTGGGTCAAAATGGGGACACAAGGGACTTCAATGAAGTGTCTGCGACGCTTTGTAACATTAATAATGATGCGAAAAGGATAAGCTTCTGGGCCTCTGCAAGAAGTCAAGCTAGGGAGCAAGGGAAGACCCATGGAAGGCATGGCGTGAATAACATCAATGAGAATTCGGGTCCCTAGTGGCAAGCATAATGATTTCTCGTCTTTCACCAGACTTTGATTTGGTGCGTCTCATAATCTTGTTTGACTGACCTGCAGAATTTGAGGATCTAACTATCAAATTGTCAGGTGAACTTGGTTTGTTAAGCATGGGCCAAATTAATCAGAGGAGGATCAGTGAATCGCACAAGTTGCAGAATGCAGGGCTCGGTGAGGCTGGAAACAGGGACCATAAAGTACGTTCTGGGATAATTTAGTTTAGTGGTCCAGGTGGGCTCTATTATTGTTGATGTGCTGGTCAATTCGACCATTTTCCAACCGGGAGATGATTAATATTTGAAAATGAGGGGGATAAGCTTTGAGCTTAGAAACAAAAATTCAGAGTCACAGCTGGAGAAATCCTTGTTCTCTTCGTTGGTTTTTATTTCCCCCTGTTTGGCTTGCCACACGGGAAGAATGATGCAAATGGATACGCCAATGAGTGCAGTTGAAGCAAATGATGAGTCTTCTGAGAAAGACTTGGTAATCTTTGCTAATGTTGAAATAATAAAACTTGTTTTCATTGTGTTGCCAAAAAACTCAAATCACTATATAAGACAATAACTAGTTGTAACTAGGGCAAAAGTGATCTTGAGGGTTGGGCCTGGACGTTATTTGTGTTTGGGAAAAAAGAAAAAAAGTAAAACAAAACTTGTAACTGCACCTAGATTTTTCTTCATCAGTGTGTGGTTGGGATAGATAAAAGGGGCTCAGCGTGCGAAGTGCTTAATTGATATACAATTTATAGGCTATGGGTATTCCCAATAAGAAACTCCAAAACGGGGGTTGCCGAGGATTGCCATGTGAAAGAGTCCAAAACAGGGTCACATGGCAAAGCAAAAAGAGAAAAACCGAAGTAATGATGAAGGGGACGAACGCAAATTGAGCACCTAAGACTCAAAAGCGGAGTGGACGCATGCAGCCCGAAGCCTTGCTTTGGAAATAGCGGTGAAAATAGGGATCCCTGCAATTACCGACCGGTGCTGTTCGGTGATGAGCGCCTCGATCTCGTTGCATTTGAATCGTCTAGTAGCCTGGATATGCTTTGATAAAAATAAGCACGTTTTATATAAATTAATTTTATAATTGAAAAGTAGTTCATAAGTAATACTAAAACTCTAAACCTAATACTACTTCTTGTACTTAATATAAGATCTTTTTTTTTATTTTAATCCTAAATATAAGATTCCAATCTATTTTGTCTCTCATATTTATGTATTTTTTTTCCAAAATAATCCTTCTAACAATGGTAATTCTAGCCAGTACACTTGATTAGTAAGAATATTTTAGGAAAGACAACGCCTATTTATTACTAATAACTAATTTAACTTCTTTCCTTAATTTTCTCAAATTAATCAACTAGCTCTTATAATTAGGACCGGATGTAGTATATCTCAGATTTAAAATTTTTAATTAATTATTTTTAAATAAAAATTATTTCATGAAAAATGGGTAATTACCTTTATTTTGAATTTTATGCACATTAAAGTAATTATTTTAAGAAAATAAAAAAAATCAAATACGAATCTTCCAAATTATATCTATACCGATTTAGATCTGATGATCACATCGCATGCAACTCGTCCCTATCCATTTCGACTGCGGTCCTCCCCCCAAGTTACCCACTCCGTTAATTCCAAAATATATTTTCAAAACAAACTGATCTATATATAATATCGCAAGTCACTTATAAAATTATTAATTATTAATTTTTAATCTTATCCTTACTTAATTGGTAATACGCGTCGGATATGGGGAAAAAAGATATGGGACTGATTTGAATATGATCAAAATTTAAAATGTGATTCGGAATGATATTTATTTTTTGTTGATAATTCAAAATAAGATTTAATGAACTAATATTTATTTCATAATTTCAATAAAGTAGGTAAAATTTACTTATATTTTGAATCAGACTACTGTAAATCTGAAGGTAGAGCTACTCAGCTGGTCAAAAAGAAGGTAGAGCTACTCATAAAATGGACTGATTTAAATTTGGCGCGTATTGGAATTCTTTTTACCCAAGCACATGCATTAAATACAAGGTTACGCAGTTCTCATATAATAAATAATCTGATTGTCTTTTTAATTCTGCATCAGGGCAATGCCCAACTCTTCATTGTATTAAACGTAAATAATATGTGCGCGGCTACAAAACACATGGATAGATTGGAATCAATTTTGATGCCCACCGTAATGATGAATATCATAATCTCATAAACTCTCAATTGTTTTAATTTAATATTTATGGTCGGATTTGGATTTTTAAATTTTTATTTTTGAAAAATATTTTTCTTCAATATATACATAATCCAAAATAAATGTAATTTTTTAATTGTAAAATTTTTTAAATAGTTTTTTATTAAAAAATATGAAAAAATTACAATTAAGTCTCAATGAAGAAAAATAATTACTGAAAAGTCACAAAAACAACCTGAGCAGCCTATGATAACAAGTTTTAAAATAAGAAATGACAATTTTTGAGATTTACTTTGTAATTTTTTCCCTCTCTTTAGGATTTTATTGCAATACTCTCAAAAATTATTAGCTAAAAACTTTAAATCTATGTCATTAAAATTATATTTGAATGTGTATATTTGATCACAATAATAACATCATGGTATTCATCACCAAACTTGGTTTCTCGGTGGATCTGTGCTGGAGAGGGGGATCGCGAGGGAATATTGTTTGGATGATAGATGTCGTGCGTGTGTTTTTTAATACTCCTTTCAGTTCAAAATATAAGCTAAAGTTAGTTTATTTATATTTATCAAAAAATCAAATAAAAACAGTTTAAAACAATAAATGTGTAAGGTATATATATATTTTCCCAAACATACCTTTGTTAATGAGAGAATAAGTAAAAAACAATAAATAAATAAAAAAGAGGAAATAGAATATATTATGGACAAAAGATGAGACAGAGTATGTCATGAATAAATAAAAGACATGAAAGGAAATAAATACTTAGAGATAAAATCGGAAAGTATTCATCTAATGTTTAGATAAATCTGAAATGTTATCTTGTGGAAAAAATAAATCCTTCCAATAAATTGTAGCTTATATTTTAAATTGGAGAGAGTAATTAATAAAGAATAAAAAAATAATAGTTATAAAGAATGGGTTGAGGGGAGAGATCGTTTGGGAGGGGCCAATAGGAAATGGAAGGGAAGCAGGAAGGAAGAGAGGAAGACAAGATTAAAAAAGGGCAAAGTACAAGGATTTGAGCAGACCCTAAAAATAGAAGCCACCAGGCTGCCACGCCCTCCTCCGTACTCACTCTTCCTCAGACAGTGGTGCATGCACCTCGTTTCTTCGTATTCATCCCTTGCCTGGGGGCCTCTTCCTCTCCCAGCTGCATGCCTCAATTGTTCTTCCTGCACGAATTATAAATCACCAAATGTAAATTATATTTTTATAAGATGGTTATTATTTAAAATATCATTGGTTGTAACTTTTATAACTTCTTTTTATTATGTGTTTTTTTAATGAATGTGATGGAGGTAGTTGGAAGTGTAAGTACGCCTCTCCATATGAAAAGAAGTATATATGCCCCCTGCCGCATCTATTTCTTATTTTAATAAGAATGCTTTGTGTGTGTATAAAAAAGAAAATTCGAAGCTATGCCCTTCCCACATGAAAAAGAATACTATACTCCCAGGCCCCGCCCTTCTCATAAACTAGCCTTATTGGGACCCCAACGGTGTCTTTCGTTTTTTTTTTTTTTTTGACTCCCATCCACCACCGTATTTTTGGGTTTGTTTTCATTATTTCGGACCTATGAATGCAACCCAATGAAGATGCCGGCAACGGTTCCTTGCTTACGCCATTATCTGATATTCACACTCGTAAATTAGTAATACATCCCCCCGATAGGTCCCCTCTATTTGCACCAATCATCGCCTCTTCTTTCCCTCTTTCTTATCCCCCCCGGCCCCCGCCAACCCCCCCAGTCTCTTTCAACCACTGCTCTTCAACCCGTAAAAAGCATTATACTGTATATAACATCTATCTACTTTCCAAATCTTTGAAACTTCAATGCCAGAGCCATGCTTTTGGGATATATCTGATCTTCAGGATCCAACTTTGCCTCATCACCTCACAAATCAAGCTGATGATGTCTCTCCTGCGTGCGTGCCCTGTGTATCATCTTCTTCACGTAACAGGAGCTTTATATTTATAAAACTTTTAATTAACATGTACAACTATTATAAAAACCACTTTAAAAAAAATAACTAAATATGAGAAACAAAATAGATTATAGTCTTATATTTATAAACAAGTAAAAAATCAAATTATTTTTTATATTAAAAATCATAGGCCGTAACTTACTAAACATCACTTATTATGTATCTTTTATTAATGCATTTGAAATTTTATTTTATTTCTTTTATAACAAGGATGGAAAGAGGCATGCCTCTCCATTTAAAAAAAAAAAAATGTACGCCTCTTGCCTCATTTATTTCTTTTTGTTATTATTATTATTATTAAAAACTGTGTACGGGCATATAGAAGTATCTGTGCCCTTCCCGTATCAAAAACAATAATATACTCTAATTGGGATCCCCAGGAGTGTTTCTTTTTTACCCAACGAGTGTTTGTAGTATTTTATTCCCATCCGCCACCGTATTTTTGGGTTTGTTATGATTATTTTTGACCTATGAATGAAACCCAATCAAGAAACCGTTGGGGGTTCCTTGCCTTCGCCATTATCCGATCTTCACACTCGTAAATTATTTGCATCCCCCCAATAGGTCCCCTCTGTTTGCACCAATCATCGCCTCCTCTTTCCCTCTTTCTTATCCCGCCTCTTCCCTCCCCGTCTCTTTCAACCATTACTCTCCCACTTGTAAAAAGCATCCTACTGTTTGCATCCATATCTACTTTCTGAATCTTTGAAGCTTCAATGTCAGAAACGTGCTTTTGCGATGTATCTCAGGATACAACTTTGCCTCACAAATCAACCTGATGAGGTCTCTCCTGCGTATCATCTTCTTCACATAACAGGCCAGGGCTTTTTCAGCACCATGCCTTGTTCTTTCCCAGGTTGCCTCCTGTACGTCCTTCTAATTAACTCCTCCTCCTTGGGATTTTTTCTTCCCGCGCGTGTTTCGAACCCTTTCACCCTTTTCTCCCTTCGATTTTTGCTCTCCACCCGTCTGGTAAACCCTAAAGTTTAGCTTCATTGATGCAGGGAGAGGCTGATGAAGAATAAGGCGGGCCGGTGGGGGAAGGTGGTTGACAGAAGATAGAGAGCACAAGTGAACATACCCAAAAGGCCTGTTTGTGTTTGTGCAGTCTTGTGCTCTTTTTTCTTCTGCCAACATGAAGTACTTTCTTCCCCAAACTTCTTATTTAAGCTCGCTGCACCATAACCTCTTCTTCTTGTCGTCTGACCAGCCATCTTATGTCACTATCACCCATCAATGGAGTAACGCCTGCCTGCAAGGTATGATCCCGTTGATGCTTGTTAATTCTTTTTCCCCGTTAATTTTGGTGAGATGTGTATAATTGGGGACCGCCACTTATTTAACTTGCCGTGCTATAAAATATAAGACAGGTCACCAACTAGGGTCCCTTCGCCTTTGCTCATTACTGACTAGATTCAGACACGGCGAGAGTAGGGTTGGGCACAGTTAAACGAGGATGAAATGTTTTTAGAGGTGTTTGATATATATAGACTGGGGGAGTTCGTCAAAGATGTGCCGTCATTGCAGACAAGAAGCGAGAGGGTTGTTCAAACATAGAGGCCAGATCGGAGAAACCTTAAAAGCATCGTCTATGCATAGACACTTTTTTTTTTTTAAAAAATTTACCTATGATACACGGAATCTGGCGTGGCCATGGATCAAAACAGTTGAGTTCTTGGCATTATTCCCATGTTATTCTCCCTCACCTCACCTGTTTTTGCCTGCGTCTTTAGAGGCTCTAGGCCCGTATTGTGATGGTGATTTTTCATGTTCGTTCAAATCTCACTGATCCACCCTATTCCCGGAATCCATATCAAATAATATATGTGTGTCATGTTTTAGTGCAGTACTCCAGCATGATGTTGCTGTGAGGAGCTTTTTTTCTTAATCTTGCTGATAATATATGTTTTGAAATAAATAAAACAAGACTGGAATTTGTATGGCGTTATGCATTAATAGGGTGCTCCTTGGGGGGGGGGGTGATGGGCACTGTGCTGGCTCTTGAATGATATTACAGTGCTACACAGGACTGTTTGGGCACAAAGGTAGGTGAATGTTTTGATGCCTATAGAATGAGTCTAGGGTTCAGTGTTTTTACCCCAAAAAGGAGATCGGGGGACCCCAAGGGGGCGGCAGAATCGACAAACTTGACACTGTATGCAGGAAACGCCAATGTATAAAGGCACACCATCTATGGCAGTGAAGCTATTACAACCCACAAATGACAAAGTTGTTAATTTCGTAGAGAGCTGCAGTTCCAGATACCTAGAGTGGAGTAAGCCTTCAATTTGCTGTGGTCACGTGCATGCTTAAATCTGAGTCAACTTCATTTTAATTTGCCTAACATACAACAGAAGGATCTATAAATACTACCTCTGCTCTTTGATATAAAAATTAGTTCACTAATTTTAAAGAATTAAAAAAATTGGTTAAATTAGTTATTTGTAACAAATAGATATAAGGAATTGTCTTTTTTAAAATATCCTTACTAATCAAGTGTATTGGTTAAAAGTTAAAACTATCATTATTACAAAGCCTATTTTGAGAAAAAAATAGATAAATATAAAAGACAAAGTGGATTGAGATCTTATATTTGTGATTAAAATAAAAATCAAACAAGTTTTTATATTAAGAACTTGATATAGTACCTTGGTTTATTAATTAACTCGGGTTTAGGAGCAAATCTGCGTTTCAACGTCTGTTTAAGCGAGAAACCAAGCACATTAGAGTTTTTTCTTTCGTTTTGTTTTAACCAACATAGAAGGGCTGACACCAGATTAATCCTTTCCTTCCCCGTCTGTCCCTTCTAAATCCCTACAACCAAACTGACTGTCGTTGATGTGGGACAGATAGGAGATCCAAGATATGGACTTTATTTAAAGCATTATTCCAAACAAGAAAGAAAGATGGGAAGTTTTGGTTCCCGTTTACAACTTTACAGTCTGAGAAGAAAATAAAAGTGTCAGTGTATGTGGTCATTACGTGGGCATACAGCAGCGATAATTATCACCTCAATGGCTGCAACACAAATGAGACACACCCATAATAAAACTGGAACACACATCAAGATGATCATCATATCTCACTCTTCGATCGTCACTTAAAACTATTTCAGTTAATTAAGTGCTGATACAGTTTGAATACAAGAGAATGGAGTACTGAGTTTACAGACTCCCCACCATATATACATTGCCTTGCTTATTCCCCTTCCTCTTCCACATCAACACAATCCTTTACCTTGTTCTTATTAACATCTCTCTTCTTTTCCACTCCACAGTGCAAATATCTACTAAAATGGATCAGCAAGTGTTCAAAACGAAGCTGCCGTACTCTTCTACCCTTTTTCGTCACATTAACATATTATTCCTTGCCGTTGCTAATTTTAAGGAAACATCATTTTTTGTTTTGCTTGCTTGTTTATCTATTTATTGTTCCTTACATGGCATTGCCATATTTACAATAATTGTATATAATCAACAAATCTACCCCCCCGAAAGGGAACAAATATTGTAGAAGGACGCCGGATTATTGGCAAACTACGTTGTTGTCAATTCTTATTAGGAGTACCTGCCCTGCCACCAGAGGCTTCACGTCTCAGTCCCTCTTCACAAATCGTCCCTACAGAAATAATTAAGAGAGAAAACAAATGAAATGTCACTAATTGGATGGCTAATTAATTTCCCATCTCATTCAGAATCAGAACCCTCCGCAAATAAAGTTCACTTGAATGAAGGAAAAGAGAAGATACCTTCATCCTGGGGCGCTGTTCAGCATTGAGCTTACGAACCTCGTAGCGGATTCGCTTGGAGAAGAGCCTGCTTCGCCTCTTCTCTTTATATCTTAACACGCTTGCCTCCCTTTGTCCCATTTCTTCCTTCCGTTTCTCCTTCTTCTCGCTCTCTTCCCACGCCTTCTCCACCACACTGCTATGCCCCCATACAACCTGCAATAATATTCCCCACAAACATATATACATCAATTTCACGTTATCCTCAACACTGCCCCACCACTTTAATTATTGTCAACTCCTTTCTTTATATGTTTACCCCTTATCCTCCTTCGCTAGATCTACTGTATACACATCTTATTTCTCCAACTATCTCTTTTCAATGGGCCCCAATAATAATGTTCTCAGTTGTTCATCCAAGTCCTTATAACATCGGTCACAAACTTCCTCACACGCTAAAAGTAATAAAAAAAAAATCATCAAATCTCAAGGTCAAATTGGCATCCTGATCATACTGTGCCACAGCAGATTCATAAAAAGGATTATGTGAATCATAAGAAGCCACATACTACGATCTTACTACATACGTTTCCATGTGTCGGCAGATTCATCACATATATAAATTATAGATATGGCCAGTTTTAAATACTAGGATCGGAGTGAAAAGAAGAATTACGTGGGGCGGATGGTGTGGAAGGACATGATCGAGGAAGTCGGGAACAGCGTGTGGGGTCTCGGCCGGAACATAAAGAGGACCTTTGTCAGACCAGGCATTTAATATGCCCTCATAATTCAGCTTCAATGACAGCAACCCGGACGACGTCGAGGGGGCGGCGGTGCTCTCCGTCGTATTGGCGCTGCAATAACTTGTGACCTCCGAGTAACACACCCACCTCTCCTCCCTTCCGTCCTCCTCGCTCCTCCTCTTCATGGCCTTACGTACCAGCGCGCTCCCGTTCTCCTTGTGGAAGGGGTACGCCGTCCAACACTGGGGCGACACAGAATCCTCCTCCGAAACGGTGGTATTAGTGGTGGTGGTGGTTGTGGTTGTGGAGTCCTGTTCCAGAAGGCCGTTGAGGGTGGCGGGGCCATAAGAAGTGAAGAGCAAAGCGACGTTGCCGTCGTCGTGCATGACATCTCTGTCATGGATCAAGTTTTCAGGGTGTAAGGGGAAGAGGTTGAGCTGTTGATGATGTGCCATTGGATCGGACTGATTTGATGAGAGCTGGAGCCGAAGACTCAGGAACTTGGGCTTCCTGGTTTTTGTTCTGTTCTTACGGCGAGGTGCTGCGAGACGACTCAGAGAATCTCTGGTTGTGGGAATGGAGTTGGAGTTACTGGGGCTGAGATCGGAAGAAGGAGGAGGGGTGCTGGTGTGACACATAGCTACTTATGGCTTCACCCTCACCGACTCCTAACATGCCATATTCACCCACAGACACACTGCTCTGTTTTGCCGGGTCTGATTTTCCCCCACAACGGAGAGAGGAAGAGAGGGAGGGGTTGAAAAGGGGGCAAAAAGCGATCGAGAGACTTTTCTGAGGGAGGGACACTGACCCCATTAGGAGAGAGATAGCTCATCAGGGAGATGATGCTGACGCGGTGCCGCTTTTCACAGGTGGGGCGCTGCCATTGGCGGAAGAAGTGGATTCCCTTGTTATCTGGATTTCGTTTTGGTTTGGATAGATAGAATGGAAAATGAGTTCCTTCAACATTAATGACATGCTTTGGCAAATAGCATCGTTACTTTTGAGGTGTCAAAGCTACTCAACATATTTAAAATATCAATAGATTGTTTTTTTTAATTTAAAATATATCTAGAAGACACTTAAAGATGGTTTAGTGAAATATAATTATATATCTAACGATAATTTCAGCATAAAAATACACCAGACCTGATGGCTGATAGTATCGATTCATATTCACGTGTTGGTAAATAATTACAACAACAACAACAATCATGTGACCCTACCACTTACGCATCCTCTTTCATCATCCGCCAACACACCATTCAGCCTTAATATTTTTAGTTGATTAAACTGTTAAAAACTACCATTTCAACTAAAAATCTAAACAAACGAGTACTTAGTGAAACAATTAATCCAAACCAAAAGAGTGAATCATTCAGGGCTTTGTTTGGAATGATTTATAAGTCACTTATAAGTAGTATGTTCATTGTAATTTATGAAATATAATATAAATATATGAGAACAATTTTATCTTTATTTATATGAACACATTTACTTCTAATTTTATAAATTATAATTAAAAAACTGTTTACAATTCATTCAAGTCTTTTATTTTGCCTAATCATGTAGAGAGAAAGATGAGTTGTAATTTGATATATATATATATATATATAATATTAAATAAATACAAGCGGTCACATTAAAATTGTGGAAAATGTAGTCGAGTATTTTCCTGGCCAACTGGAAGTGTAGATGAGGACGCCAGGTGATGATAAGTCATGAAAATGGGGGATGAGGGCAAAAGCGTAAAAGCGGGGGCATGGAATGAAACAGCGAAAGGGCACGAGAAAAGTGCAGGGTGCGGGCCCCGCATGCTCCGACGCTTTTCGGAGCTGCCCTCTTACGTGTACTCAGATCCAAATCATGAAAATATCTCTCCCCCCAACACAGGCCTTCGCTTCTTCTCCCCCCCCCCCCTCAATTTTATATCCCGTCCTCTCCAATTGGTCCTCATTCACATCCCAATATTTCGATTCGAATAATCTTTTTATAAAATAAAAATCAACCATTCCACGCTTTCAGCTATGTATAATCCATAAACCAAGAATAAACTCAGGAAATTTTAATTCTGCACGAGTTTTGAAATTATAACATAGAGTACAATTGAAATTCCGACTATAAATGATCCCTTGGCATCATAGTGCAATAATTAAGGTTGGTGAGCCTCGAATGAATTCACGAGTCACATGATTTCTTAACAATAACAGACTGTGAAAAGGTGTGGTCATTTCATGTATTTGGTGCTGTGCCATTTAAGGGACAAAAAATTGGGATCTCCCAGTCAACTCAGACCATATGTCATAAGCTAATCTGAGAGTTCCCGCCAAGGTGATTCACGTCACGTAATTAGTCACGGTTAAAAGAAAACAAATAGCCCATCCACGCCGCCCCCGAACGTGGTTCCACCACAGGGTCAAAATTGTCCCATATTCTGTTCTCCGTTCATTTTCGGTCCATTTTCTTCCCCAACCTCGCAAATTCAACATTGTGGGCTCGCTTTTCAATTCGGCCCAAAAGAGATCAAGTTGCTCAATGAACACGTGAGCGCCACTTGTGGTGGTTTTCGCTTTTCACACGGCACAAGAATCTTTGTCCTGGGCCGAAACGCCGCATCAGAATTAGATTAGTGATTATTTTCATTTCGTCCTTAGTAATTCTGTAATTGTTCAGATAGTGTGAAGTTTTTTTTTTTTTTACACCCAGTGCATCCTCTCACCTAAACAGTAGAAGAATAATTTCTCAATGATACTATCAGGTGTCGTAGCGGAAACTTCTCCCAATAATATTTTTTCCATACACATTGCTCTAAAGATCAAACCCAAAACATGATATTTAAGGTGTTCAAATCTCTTTTACTTGAACTAACACTTGTTGGTTCATATAGTGTGAAGTTGAAGCCGCACTGTTGCAAAACATGGCATGACTTGTGGGGGCAGAGCCTGAGAATGAGGAGGTTTATACGCCGAGAGTTCATACACGTAACACTTTAATGGACCTGACCTCAACGAAGCGAACCAAGAGGTCAGCCACATTGACCTGAGCGTGCGTGCTTTGCTTGAATTTCTGAAGCCCCCAACATTAACGGTTTCAAAACTACCGCTATCTGTTGGCATTAGGTAGGCACCTGAAATTACGATACAATTATTATGGAAATCCACTTCCAAAATTACTACTAATCACGCCATTACTCTCGGCTTTTTCTCCCTTTAAATAACCCCCCCTCTCCCCTCAACTTCCACACCGCACCATCTCCCTTATCCCCCTTCAGTACAAACAAAAACGATATCATAATGGCCTATCATCTTCCTCTCTCTCTTCTCCTCCCTGCCATCTCTCTTTTCTCACTTGTTTCCTCTTCAGCTGTGCCACACCCTCACCTAGTTGCCCAAGACGTACACAGGTACACGCGTTCCATGCACACCGTATATTTATAATCAGCAAAAGGCATTACGCTGCTATATATCTGTGTGAGCGTGCGAGTGTATATATGTCGCATTATAAAGTTTCTGAATTTCGATATTGTTACAGGAGAATCAATGCGTCTAGAAGAAACCTGGCGTATCTATCGTGCGGAACTGGGAACCCCATAGATGACTGCTGGCGTTGTGACCCCAACTGGGAGAAAAACCGTCAGAGGCTGGCTGATTGCGCCATTGGCTTCGGTAAGGACGCCGTCGGAGGAAGAAGCGGCCGAATCTATGTCGTCTCCGACTCGGGGGATGACGACCCAGTGAACCCCAAGCCGGGTACTCTCAGGCACGCCGTCATACAGGAGGAGCCACTGTGGATCATCTTCAACAGAGACATGGTGATCAATCTGAAGCAAGAGCTCATCATGAACTCCTATAAGACCATCGACGGGAGAGGAGCCAGTGTTCACATCGCCGGCGGCGGCTGCATTACCATCCATTACGTCAACAACGTCATCATCCACGGGATTCACATCCACGACTGTAAGCCCACGGGGAACACGGAGATCAGAGACTCTCCCACCCACTCTGGGTTCTGGACGGTGTCGGACGGAGACGGCATCTCCATTTTTAACTCCAACAACATATGGGTCGACCACTGTTCCTTATCCAACTGCCACGACGGGCTCATCGACGCCACCCATGGATCCACGGCCATCACCATCTCCAACAACTACATGACCCACCACGACAAGGTGATGCTGTTGGGTCACAGTGACGAATACGCGCAAGACAAGGACATGCAGGTGACGGTGGCGTTTAATCACTTCGGAGAAGGGCTTGTGCAGAGAATGCCGAGGTGCAGGCACGGCTATTTCCACGTGGTGAACAACGATTACACTCACTGGGAGATGTACGCCATTGGAGGGAGTGCCGAACCCACCATTAACAGCGAAGGGAATAGGTTCCTTGCCCCTGATAATAGCGCCAGTAAAGAAGTGACGAAGCACGAGGATGCTCCGGAGAGCGAGTGGAAGAACTGGAATTGGAGATCGGAAGGGGATCTTTTCTTGAACGGGGCATTCTTCACGCAATCCGGCGCTGGAGCTTCTTCTACCTATGCTAGGGCGTCGAGTCTCAGTGCTAGGCCGTCTTCCCTGGTTGGTTCCATCACCGTCAGTGCTGGTGCACTTATCTGCAGAAAGGGCAGTCGTTGCTGATAAGCCAACCACCACGGAATTGCTTTCTTAGCTAAAGAATAAAGTCTGGGAAATTGTTGTGTCCTTAAATCGCTTCCCACTAGCAGTTTCTTATAGCTATATATACATATATAGACACATGCAGCGTCCCCCTGAGCTTAGTCGTCGACTTCACTTCAATTTGATTATGTATTGTAACAGTCCTTGTCCTTTGCATTTTAATGGCAAAGATGGGTCTCAAAGTATGAATGGGAACGCATGTGAATGTTGGCTTCATTGGAATATTTGGACTTCTCTCAGTTGCACACTTAGCCTCATATGGCGTCGCTAGCCATATTTTGTTTCGTCGCGTCATTATTCCATACAAAGACCAGCTGGATGCATCTGACGTTTCACGGGCTGATCCGTCTAGCTACGAGTGTCCGGACTTTGCCCGGTTTCCCATATGTCAAATAGCAACCTAGTCTCTAGCTATCGTGCATAATGGATTGAGTGATATATAATATGGTAAACGAGCGACTAAAACTGTACGGGGTAAAATATTTGGAAGCAGTGCTCATTACTATGATGCTCATTACTATGATGAGCATCATAAGCTATTTAAATGGTTCATATCTTATTTAAATAGTTCAGATTTATTTTTTTATTTGTTCAAAATAATTATTTTAATATGTATAGAATCTAAAATAAAGACAATATCTTAACTATTATTTTTTAAGAAAATAGTTCTTTTTATTTAGAAATAATTAATTAAAGATTTTAAATATAGATTGTTTAAATCAAATATAAAACGGTCTAGTTTTGATGAGTTTAATGTGTTCGTCAAGGTGATGAATACTGAAACTAGTTTCAAATAGTTGACACTTTCTTGGTGTTAGTATTCATATATAGCAATTTTGCGCACCGTGAATGTAATATAATTTTGACCTTGGTTTTTTTTTTCCAGTGTAGTTTTGCTCCTGATTTTGTGCGTGTAATTTTATCCCTGATTTTTGGGCGCAAAAAAAAAAGATCAGCATCGAAATTATATAGAAAGAAAAAATTAAAAATAAAATTACACATGAGAAATAAGATATGGTCAAAATTAAACCTTAACTCAGTTACTCCTCCGGTCCTTAATATAAGATCCATTTAACTAATTTGATTAGATTAAGGAAGTTAGGTAAGTTAGTTAATTATAAGAAATATAACACATTTTTCCTAAAACACCACAATCATCTTTCTTAATACTTCATCTCCCTTTTTTACTTGATTATGGTTGAGAGAGTATTTATAGGGGTAATTTAGAGAAAATTGATAAATATGATAAATGGGTCTTATATTTAGGACCAAAACTAACTCAAGAATTGGGTCCTATATTAAGGACCGAAGGAGTAGTTAATCATGCAACGCAAGAAGAAGAAGAATCCGCCAAGCACCTATTCTCGTGAAAACAAAAATGCAAAATACAGCGAATAATAATGTAATTATATGTATTAACGAATACAAGTACTGTCGTCATCGAAATAATAAGTTAAATTTTTAAAATAACAAGAATGAAACTAAATATTATTAATATGAATAAGTATATATAAAATCTGAAGTGGTCTTTTTTGACATAATAGATATGAAGAAAAAGAGCCCTCCCGTTATATATGCATACACAACGTGATCAAAAGCGCGGGCGCAATTGCCCGCTTCCTCAGCTGAGGATGAATACAATGAACGGATTTTGAATCAGTGTAGGGGCATACACATATACATAGGCACTCAAACCACATCACTTAATAAATAAAGCCCGGGATATGAGCAGCTCAGAAGGCCAGGGTAGCAACTGCAGCGGCGGCCACGGCAGCAGACAGGTGGAGAACAGCATCGGAAGAGGCGGCGCTGGCGGGAGCCGCAGCTGGAGTAACGGTGGAGGAGGGGGCGGGCGAAGGAGAGTCCATCTCAATGGACTCGCTGCCGGGGGCCGGGGGGGATGAGATGTCGTCGGCCTCGGGGGAAGGAGTGGGAGGTGAGTTAGACGGAGAGCCAGAGCTGCTCGGGGAAGGAGAGCCGGAGGAGGAGGAAGGAGTGGGCGCTGACTTGGGGCTGCTGCTGCTGCCGCCACTGCCCTTGCCGGAGCCGGAGGAGGAGGGTGCGGGAGCGGAGGCCTTGGGAGCGTGGGATTGGGAGGTGGGAGGAGAGGCGTGGGAGGAGGACTTGGGGGGCTCGGCGGGGGAGGCGGAGGGCGCTTCGCTCGCCATGGCTCCGGCCACAGCCACGATCAACACCACAAGAACGACGAACAAATCACGACCCATTTTTAAATCTGTTTTTGGGATTTTATTACAGGGAAGGGAATGAAGGCAGTGGAAGCAGTAGTTCTCTAATCGAAGGGAATTAGAGAAGAACCGCAAGTGAGGAATGGGCTGGGGAGGAGGACGCCATTTATAGGTTCCCAGAACAGAAAAAATGCGTGGATGACAGCGACTATCGCTCCAATGAATGGCCGGCCACCTTCCTGGGCCCCATACTCCCCACCTCCAACCAGCGCATATCAGCAAAACTCTCACTTTTCCTATTATTGTAATAACCACTAATATTCAGCTCCCAAAAACCCACGAATGTTATTTCTTTTTCTTTTTGTAACAAGTAGTTATATTTTCGAACAATTTTGATGAAGCCATGATGTCGTGTGCGGGCCATTTTGTGGCAATTATGGGCGTCTAATGAAGATCTCCACCCTCCACGTGATCAAACGGTTGCAATGATATACATAAATTACATACTGGCGGTTTCGGACCCCTCCCTGCCCTAGAAACCCAGTTGTGAGACATGGGCTTCCACAAAGATTTTGGGCCTTTTAATCTCTTCGACCAACTTCAGATACATACTGTTTTGACTTGAGCTCTTATACGCCCGCTCAACACCATACCATTTTGCTGCAGTCAAATTGTTCCTTTACACAGTTCCAGCGGCTTCATTAATCGGTATTACTCTTGTCAGCGAAGTTGCGGTTTGATGTAGCATCATGCGTATGACGATGAGACGATCACTGTGGATGTGATGAGAGTCTGAATTGATGAAGCATCATGCGTACGATTGTAGCATTAGGCTGTGGGCCACATGGTTACGGCCACTCTTAACTTGAAAAATCAATTCTTATTCACACTAAGCGACAATACTGAGCCCGCAAACCAAAACCATCTTTTTTTCAATTCATACGCGTGTCTGCTTGTAAATTAGTGCATGGTAATAAATAATAGTCGCAAAAAAAAAAAAGCTCCCTTTCCTTCAAACCAACCAGTTGGACCGTACCATCAGTCCCAAATATAGAAGCGCCAGCGACATACATGTGGCTCAAGACCGGGAGATTCGGGCTGCCAACGATGGTGAACAACTGCGGCATTCAGGTGGTGGCGGTGCTTAAAACGATCGTCTGCTTCATCTTGCTCACTGGGCATTGTGCAGCTTCTGTGACATCAGGTACGCGCATATTTAGTGTGTTTTAGTGTGAGCAGTGTGATTTTGGCAACTGAGTTAAGCTCTGCAAGCGTCGCGTTCAAACGAGGGACTATAGCGGGTGGGTTGTTGCAGGTTCGAATTTGAAGGGACAAGAAATGAAAGGGCGGCGGCGGGCGTCAGGCTGGTGGTCGGAGGATTATTCTGTACCTGGGAGACGAAGGCATGTCCATAATAAGTTAGAGCCGCCGTAACATGATTTACTTTTAACTTGGTTGCGAGTGAGGAGTGGCGGGTTGTCTCTGTAATATTCTGCATGAATAATGTCACGAGGCCAAAGATGTTTTTGCACTTTTCCTTCAATATCATGCTCGTGCGCCATTCCACATTTGGGAATTCAAATTGAAACAGATCTGAAACACATCCCTAGTGATCCTTCGAATTGAATATCTCTGTTAGTACGGCCGCTCAGCCTTCCTCAGATCGTTCGTTTCAATGTTCACTGCGTCCATGCGACCCATGTTTAGGAATCACTTAACTTCTCAAGAGTGTTTGGAAAATTTTAAGAAATTGTTTTTAACAAATCAAAATAAATTCCTCCACATATTTATTTTATATATCATAAAATTATGTTTAAAATTATAGTATATTTTCATCCAAACACTTTCTTAGTATATTTATTTCACGGCAGTCCAGGTCTAAATTTCACCCACAAATACAATTTGCGTACTTTGAGGCTTAAATATGACGATATCTTCCTTAAGCAAACGTGTGTCCCTCTCGATCCTTTGTAGTAGATGCGAGGCATTGCAATTAGTGTATTAATTATTTAAGAGAATCCGTAAATAAAGATGGTCGGCATGTTCAGTGCCGGGTCACTTTCCTCGCCCTCCATAATTGGGGCATCTGGTTTGGTCCATCTGTGCAATCGAACTTATTAATAATCAACGTACGGAATTCCCCTTGGCCAAGTTTGGGGCAGAGGTTCCTTTTCTGGGCACGGCATGAACAGATGCCACGTTTCCGGAGAATATTTATACTGTTGGCGTGTGCAGACCCCAGCAACTAGCAGTGCATCCACCTTTTTAAAAAAAAAAAAAAAAAATTTTAGCTGAAGGCAAGAAAAGTAACTCTTTATTTCAGTCATACTCAGTGCCGTAACTTAAATTTAGATGGAGAAAGCTCCATATAAGAATTACTCCTCCGGTCCACCCTATTACTAATGTGTATAAAGATCTTATATTTAAGATCGGAAAAGTATCCCGAAAAGTATCATGTGCTACGAGCTGACCCCTTGGCTTCAAATATACTTTTCGAAGCCCAGGGATTGAACCTGCTTATCGGAAATGGCTAAACGACAGGAAGCATTGAATTCCTACATACGGAAATCAGTTTTTTTAATAGTTAAAATTAAAATTCCGTGACAATTATCGTCAGATTCTTAATGAGATTATTTAAATACGATTTTTCACTTTACAATATGTGATTATGATTTGCGTTTGAGTTTACATTATTTTTTTGGGTATAAATGTCCCATTATTTAAAACCATAATGTTTTGGCCAAAAAAAAAAAAACATAATGACGAAAATAGCATATTGCATGGATTTAAGCTAAGCAGGGTAGGATCAGTGAAGCGTAGATTCAGGGAAGGACGTAGTTCAGAACAGCAACCCATTTTCGCACAATTGCGGCGAAGAGTGCAAGGCTAGGAACAACTCAATGCAATGCTCTCGCTTCAATTCCCTTCCCTCGTATTCAATCTCCCCCTCCCTTGATCTCTACATGACCCCACACCTGCAAAAAGCTCGCAATGTTTCACTCGGATCCAAAGTCACCGTCGTTGGCAGCGGCAACTGGGGCAGTGTTGCGGCTAAACTCATCGCGTCCAATACCTTGAGGTTCACCTCCTTTCATGGTGCGTTTTGCTTCTGCTGCTGTAAATTTTCACCCTCTTTCGTTTCTGGGCCGCGCCCGAAACCAGCCTTGTGATCTGTGAATGAGATACTTATTTTCTTTTTTTCCTCACTCGAGCGATGCTCTTTAACTGAATTTGGAGAGTTTGACAGACCTTTCTCAGCTAATCAACACGGTATCCGTGTGTCGTAGAATCCTAAAGCTATCTTTCTGATGAATTCTCTGATTGACTCAGATGAAGTGAGGATGTGGGTATTCGAGGAAACATTGCCCAGTGGCGAAAAGCTCACTGATGTCATCAATGGAACCAATGTAAGGCCGACTCGTGCATTATTCGTTTCGTGAATCCAATATCCTCCCATTATTAACATCTTCACTCCTTTTGGTAGGAAAATGTTAAATATCTTCCGGGAATTAAGCTGGGCAAAAATGTAGTTGCAGATCCCGATCTTGAAAATGCGGGTAATGATTTCTTGTTTATCCATAGCTCCACAATGTCATTATATAGATATATCACAAGGTCCAATCAGAACAGGACCAACATTTTAGTACGTGGAAAGGACATAAAAAACCCACAAACATTTACAATTATTCACTTTTACTTTGAGGTGGTTTTTGGGGTCAACTTGTCTGCTGTTCTGATTGGGTAATTATGCAGTGAAGGACGCGAATATGCTAGTCTTTGTGACCCCACATCAATTCGTGGAGGGAATATGCAGGAAGCTTGTAGGGAAAATTAAGACAGATGCAGAAGCCATTTCCCTTGTTAAAGGGATGGAGGTCAAGGTGGACGGTCCCCGCATGATGTCTACTCTCATTTCCCAGCAACTGGGAATCAATTGTTCTGTCTTAATGGGGGCCAACATAGCAAATGAGGTAGTTAACAATAAACTTAGTGTTAATTTATGCCATGTGCTGTGCCATCCCGTGTTCCTGTTCCAACTGATACTGTTTCTACAGATTGGCCAAGAAAAATTTAGTGAAGCAACCATCGGGTACAGGCAGAATAGGGGGGCTGCAGAGACGTGGGTTCAATTGTTTAATACTCCCTATTTCAACGTGACGGCCGTAAGTGCAGCATAAATTCTGATTGATTTACAATAAACTTGTGAAATTCTTATCACACGAGATTCCAGATGAAACTGAATCAATCAAGAAATTTGCTTGAAGTAATCTGCTACACCAAGAGAAAGTTGACCGGGCAAAAACTGAGAAAATAAAATTGATGCATGATGAATCATGTGAACTGTTATATTACTGTTTATTTATTTATTTATTTTGATTATACATTATTGTTTGTTTATAAGACAGTATGCTTTGTGCTTACGTTTTGCATTATATGGAATAATAGGTCCAAGATGTTGAAGGGGTCGAACTGTGTGGAACTCTTAAAAATATTGTGGCCGTGGCCGCAGGTGTGTACAAAATATCCTGCAGTTTGTTTCCCCCTTTTCAATTTTAGTGAATGACCAAGGAATGAAAACCAAATGGGACAGGTTTTGTTGATGGCTTGGAGATGGGAAATAATGCAAAAGTAAGTTTCAAAATTTTCATCTTCTGAAGATTTTTAGGGAAAAAGGAGAAGTATAAATAGATTCCGTCGTGTTTTTGTTTTCCACATATGCCTAGGCTGCTATCATGCGATTAGGTCTGGAAGAGATGAAGGCGTTTTCCAAGCTACTCTTTCCATCTGTCAAGGACAGCACCTTTTTGGAAAGCTGTGGTGTGGCTGACCTTATCACAACATGCTGTAAGGAAGCTGTTTGACTTAATATCTCTTTTCATTTCTTATCTAGGGATTTCATCCGAACCAAATCATTCATGGCAGTGGGTGGAAGAAACAGGGAAGTTGCTGAGGCTTTTGCCAAGAGTGGAGGGAAGAGGTGGGTTTTCCCTCTCTGATAATGACGTATCATCTTGGGAGAGAAAAGGACAACAATTGATTTAATCTTGCCTGCTTTGGCTCTTTATCTCTGCAGGTCATTTGATGAGCTTGAAAAAGAGATGTTGCAGGGCCAGAAATTGCAGGTTTAATAACTTAAAGTGACATAACAAAATTTTTAGATTTTGTGCATTGATCAGGTGTTCTACTGATAATTTTTGTCTACAACTAGAGTATCAAAATTGAAATCTAGGCACTAGTTATCATATATATGTGCATTCATTAGGAGTTCTACTGCCTACATGCATAACTCGTATCATTAATTAAAAGACAGTGTAAATTCTCATATTTTATGAGATGTTCTTCCATGCACGAGGATTATTAATGATTGTTATCACCAGAAAGAATCATGGACATGGGTCACATTCATTACAGGTTATTAATCCAAAACTTGTAAAATTTGTGTGATTGATTATACCGTGTCCTTACTTGACTAATTTTCTCGGACGAAGGGGGTCTCTACTGCAGGCGATGTTTATGAAGTTCTAAGCCATAACGGATGGCTTGAGTTGTTCCCCCTCTTCTCATCAGTGCATGAGATATGCACTGGCCGCCTCCCACCATCTGCCATAGTTCAACACAGTAAGCACAAAAACTAGTTCTTCCAGATACTAGTCTTGGAGAAGAAAATTGTCTTGTTGCTGAAATGACATATATTACATTTACAGATCAAAGAAAACTGAAGAGTAAATGTCTTGGAAGGATTTGATTACTTCTGGACCTTCTTTGTTCCCAAAAATCTCATGCCAAGTAAGTGTTTCTGTCCTGGTTACGTATGCTGCATAAATTATGCTAATTGTTTTGTGTCTCTTCGAAGGCAGCTTTGCTAATTCGTTTCTAGGTTCATTTCTTAAGTTTTTTCCACTGCAAGCTACACAGGCAACAGAAAAACACATTTTATGTGGTGTTTTAAACCTGTTAACTAAGTACGCCCTCTTTTTTTTTTTTTTTTTCCCTTTCCAAATTTCTAATTGGAAACAAATGCCTGCAGTCGGACGCCTGTGGTAAGGGAAAACAAAGCGTCTCTTTTAGCTCTCAGAGCAGCGAAGACTTTTTACACTGCAAATAAATCCCATAAGGAGGGAATATGGTCTGCTCACGAGATATTAGGTCGTTGTCATCATCTGCAGGATTTAGTTACTGAAGCGCACATGACATTAGTAAGAACCTTGTTGGAGCATCTGATTGAAGACAGCTTAACCTTAAAGCTATGTCTGATTAGGAGAATCTGAGTGAGGGAAGAAGGAAAAGATACTGCATATATCCTGTTGATCACAAAGTCACCTAAAATGCGGAAAAGAAGACAACTGTACCAGTGAAAGTGATTCCAATTGTTTGCCTTTTTTTAAAGCGACAAATGGGTTGATGGGATTGGAATTCTAAAACGAATTTTTTTTTTTAATAAAATTCTCTTTCCATAAGGTCGAAGTTGCTACCTTTTTTTGTACTTTTGGTTGGTGGTAGCTTGCCACAATCCAAAAATGTCTGTTACTGTGAAAATTTTCATAAATTTATGTGGCTATATTTCATGATTTAAACACGCGTTGTTTTAGTCATTTGTACGTACTTGGAACGAATCAACAGGGATTTTGCTTGTCATCAAAACTGATAAGAATAGAGTGTTATATATTGAACGGCTTTGTAAATCAGAACCATCAACCATGTACTATCAGACCAAAACATGGTCAATTATTTATTAAATTGTCAAATAAATATTGTTTATGGAACTTGTTGAGCACGCACAAGAATAATAAATAATGTAATTTTGATTCACAGCGAAGAGTTTATACAAAAATGTTATCAAGGCGGCACATCAGAACTGTAGAATTCTCCATGAACTCAATTGGGTGGTTGATCTAAAGAGATGCTTTACAGCATTTCCACAAAAAAAGAAAAAATTCTTAGCAGCATTTAATTGGATAGTAATTCCCACACAAACATATTAAAAGGAGAAAGAGGGGCGAGAGCATCTCAATGAACAGTGAATCTAGCTGTAACACCAAACCCTTCCTTGAATGCCAATAGTTATTTATATGTCATAAAACATGCTACACAACCAGTAGACCACTGACTTAAGGAAGAAGGAAAGAAAAAAAGTATCCCAGAAAACCAACCCAGGCATGAATATATGGCTATAATGAGAGTTATCCTGTCCTTATTCTGTCTAGCCGGTCAACGCTCTTCCGTGCCTTTTCCAGTTGATGATCAATGCTCTTTCGAGACTTCTCGTGGCAATCCACACTTCTCCGAGACCTTTCCATATGCTCAAAAGAAATTCTTAATTTCTCTAGCTTATCAACGTTGCTAGACAGGTTCTTCAGTTTCTCAGGCCTGTCTGTGCTCTTCCTTGGTTTTTCTCTGCGATCAGTGCTCTTTCTACCGATTTCAAAAAAATCTGTACTCTTTCTCGGCTGTTCAAACTGGTCCGTGCTCCTCCTAAAACTGTAACGTTGTGATGGAGATTTCTCCACTGTGGCTACAAACTTCTTCAGATGCCTGATGTACTCGGGAAAGTGCTCCAAATCACAATGATTACCCCCTTTGAGCCACAGTGGTTCGTACTTCTCTTTACACAGTTCCCACAGTTGCTTGCCATGGGAGCAATCTACAACTTCATCTGAAGTCCCCTACACAACAATTTGAATGATATTATGAGTAATAGTGGCCGTTAGAAGAATACTCAATATATCATATTGTAAATGCTTGCCAATATAGCGAGTTGTTTGGGCATGATAAATCCTCCAAGAAACAGTCCTAGAATACTGTCTCACTTACTGCATGGTTACCATCATAAACGCATCTCACTAATGCCATTCAAACCAAGAGCAAAACGGGCTTCATAAGGAATTGAGCAACTGAATTGTAAATTTGCTTTCAAACAGATATACATGCACATTTTGCCTGATATAGGGTGAAAGTAAGCAACTGACAGAGGAAAGATAGTTTTCTTCCTAGTTTTATACCTGTGAGACTAAAAAGACCAGTATTACTCAAATTACTTTATTTGAAAGGAATTTATTATCTCCTATTTAATACATAAGAAAAACAGAATGAACTTCATTGAAATGTGCAGAAGAGTTTAGAGATGGTTTGACAGGTTTAGTTACTTTTAAGCTTGACTCAGGAAAAAAAAATGGCAAGGAATATTATATATCAAAGACTACGTTTTTGAAACCCTGTCAAAAACGGGAAATTTGATCAAGGCATAACAAAAAGGGGAGTAAAATGCCCTCAGGAAAAAGGCCAGAGGATCCCCTCTCCCTCTCTCCCTCTCTGTTTTTTTTTGGACCAAATTCTTACTATTCAGTAAATCTTAATCAGGAGTCAGGACGGCCAATATCTGCTAAAAATATTTTTATATTTTCAATTGAAAAAATTCAATTATCTAGATGGATTGGATGGTAATAATTTGCACAAAATAGAGAGAATTCACTCAAAAAAGATGTTGGTATTCATATGAAATAATAGAAACAACACAAGTACAATGTAATAAAATAGCATTAAATCTATGATGAATGCAAATCATTCTTAAAATAGTTATATAAAATATAAATATTTTGTACAGCATACTTACATGGATAATAAGAACTGGACAATTAACAAGTGGAATTTTGTCAATATTCTGCACATGAACAGAGAGTAGTGTCATATTGGTTGAAAAGTTCACATGCCTGGAACTTAGCAATCTTTAATTAAAAACATTTAATTATCAATCAGAAATCATATCAGTAAATCACCTTATATATGTCAAACCAGTAGGTACGCTTCACAGGATACATAACCCTTAAGCCAGACAATATGGGACTGTGCAGGACAACAGCTCTCAAATGGGGCAACCTTGCAGCAAGATCCAAAGTGGGGCCGCTACCAACAGATTGCCCATAAAGAATTACATCTTCCTGCTTGGTGCCATAGCTTTCTTCTAGACACTTATATGCAGCCTCAATATCGGCATATGTATTCTGTTCACTTGGCTGCATATGAGGAAACATTTTTGTCAGATGATTTTTAAGCTCTAAGACTACACTAATGCATGATACCACATGTTTACATCAATACCAATGACATTATGATATTCTTACAAACCTTTCCTGATGATTGGCCATACCCAGAATAGTCATACCTGCACAAAATCAGAGCGAGATTGTGAGAAAAATTGCCAAAGTACACTTCATCATTCGTGCTGAGAACAGTTGAGGATATTGTCTCCATCACAATTAACAGATAAAATACATGCATTTCCAGAAATTTTCTGCACGCGGTCAATGAATTAGACCAATTTCAGCAAGTGATAACGGGAGGATGTCCATTGAACCTCGATATTGGCATGTTACTGGTTTTGCAGTTCTGAAGTCATGAAGCTGACGTGGACAAATAAATTTATACAGACTGATTAACAGAATTACGGTGATTAAGATAACGGATACACCAAACAAAACCCGCCAGTGCATCATCTGCCTATACGTGCAATGGGATTGCAGGCTTGAAAGATAGAGGAAAAATGTTACGCAGTATTATAAACCCTCAAAACAATATGAATCTAAAGCCACGACATTAAACAATCCCTTATCAACAAATCACCAGAATTATATACATTGATCAGGAATTTCAGACCATCTAAAGAAGCATTTGATGCTAAAGAAATATCACACTGAAATTGAAGCTGAAATCTGAGAAACCCCAGTTTGATAGGATCCCATGTCACGATCACTGAGTCCTTATTTCATAGGATACCAAATTAGCTATGATTTTCCCTCCGTGAGCAAATGAAAAACCTTCCACGCACATGGAAACCCAGAATCCAAATGACCAGGACACAGGAAGTAAAAATGCTAAATTTAGACGAGTCATTATTTAAAACTGACACGAGAGAGAACGAAGCACCAAAATGCAAAAGCAGTAAATAGTAGAAACAGAGGTAAAGCAGTAGAGAGAGAAGTGAAACAGAGTACCCCATGAGATTGACGCGCAAATGGATGCTGAGATCAACGAAGAGCTCGTACATCTGGCCGAGATCGGCGGCGTTGCCGTGAGAGTAGAGCAAGGTGGAGGTAGCCATGGGATGCCGAATGTAGACTGCGACAATCTCACTGCCGCGACGAGTGGGCAACTTGAGAATTTCAATGTTCTCGCGGTGAGGGAAGGGACTGAGAGCAAAAGGCCGGTGAGGTCGTCGGTGACTAATTTATAGGATGGTGGGTTCGGCGGGAAGAAGGCGAACTTGGCCGCCATAGAAGAAGTTACCCCACCCATCACTCTCTCCCTCTTTCTCTCCTGTTTTGGTCTTCCTCGTCCTGAATTCCCACGCTGAAGTAATTCAGATCCACGACATTCCTTCCTTGCCTTTCCTTCTTTTTTTTTTTTAATTTTTTTCTTTTCCTTTTCTCTTCACACTCGGTTTCTTTCTCTTTCCAGAAGACGAAACTTTTTGGAAATAGAAAGAGAAGAGCGACAGTGAAAGGAGCTTCTTTCTACGGTGTTTTGGCAAATGGGCGCTTCGAATGTGCGAAATTGGGATTGAAAATGAAAATGAGAGTGAGAGAGAGGAGAGAGCGTGATAAAGTGTGCGTGGGGAAGAGGTCTGGCTTGCCTCGCTTGCTTTGTTTTGCTTTAAGTTGGGCCAGTGGGGTATGGAGGCATGGACCAATGGATTTCATTTCACATCATTTTGTCATTGTACTCTGATATCGCTGCCTCCTTCCCATTTCCCCGTCATCTCATCCCATCAGTGCATGTACATGCGTCTTCCTGCTCCCCATCTCCATAGTAATTTGCTGCTTCTTTCACTTTTCACAAATCTTTCATGAAAAAACGCATTATTATTCTGAGACCATGAAAAATTAATCTCTATATATACATATTATTATATGGAGAGTAAGGGATAGTTGAGGTGAAATATGATGGCATGAAATAAAAATGACTGTGGCTTATCAAGAAGAAATATCAGATATAATTGAGAGACACACACTCATTCGCCATTAGTGTTGAGATAAGATGGAATAAAGGAAAGCGTGAATCAAACGCCTTGGTGATGAGACGATGGAGCAATTGACAAGGAGCAGACAACTGAAGGAGGCAGAGATGGTGAGATATGAATGGAATATCCCTGTTTTTTTTCTCCATCTTTCTTTGTTTTTTTGTTTTCATTTTGGGATCCAATCAATCGTGGCCACCGGTGCAGATTCATGTGCTTTTCAATACTGTTTTTGGATGATTTAAGAAAAAGCTTAGTAGTTGACATGTTAAACTTTAATCCGATTCTCTCCAGACAGCTGGAATTATGGAACCGAGGCCAACTTTTTGCATTCCACATTCAAACAATAATCATCATCATCATTCTCCTCCTTCCTCTGTTTTGAGACTTCCCAAACAAACTATACGGATTCCTCCCTCCATGTAAATCCCTCCTCCTTTTGGTCACTGTTCTTTTACTTAAAGGCCCATTAACCCCTTAATTAAGCAACCAAACGCTTTAATTAACCTCCAATAATCACACTAACTAATCCCACGCAGCTGCCTATCATACTGTCACCAGGGTAAGGCCAGGAAAACACAACACAGTCATATTGGCATCGTTTTTTCTTTTATGAGGGACAAATCGAAAAGATACAGGCACTGTGTCATTTTCTCTAAGCAAACCAATGAAGCAAAATAGCCAAATGTTTCTCTGGCTTCATGAGACATCGCCATCATTGTTCATTTGTTCTTTGTATTTGTAAATGGAATGTAGCAATATGTTCTTCGGTCGAGTAGGTCCTCACCCCAAATTCACGTGGAGTTGCCACCTCCGTGAAACCTCAGAGAAAAGTTAAAAACATAGAACCAGCAATCGTACTACCCTCGTAACATACAAACACGTGAACGTGAACATGAGCATGGAAAAACCAAACCTCAAAAAAAAAAAAAAAACTTGCCCAGAAATAACAACGCAAATCCCCATGAAATCATCCCGATGCCTCATCTCTGGGATCCCCAGACACAGGCTTCACCAAAAGCTTCAAAACAAGTGTTGCACATTTGACAGATGGGACCATATGGTCAAAATTACCCATATCGATTCCCACGTAGACAAACGTCATCTGTTAGTCATGATACCAGTCACGATCCGTGGGCCCAATATTTCCGGAATAAGCTTGGATTTAGGTCACAGGACAGACGCTAATCTCATTGGGAAGAAAAGGACTGTACACAAACGAACATAATAGTTTCTTTGGGTCAAAATATAAGATAAATTTTATTTATTTAAGTTTATCAAGAAATTTGTTAAATTACTTTAAAATAATAAATATATAAAGCATGTATTTTTTAAAAATATGTTCTTATTAATGAAAAAAATAAGTAAAAAATTTTATAAATGAAACAAAGAGAAAAGAAAATATATAGAGATAAAATTAGAAAAAACTCATTAAATATTTAAATCAAAATAAATATTATTTCATAAAAAAAATACAAAATTTAACTTATATTTTAGATCGGAAGAAGTGTAATCAGGTGCATAACTAGTCAACTAGAATTCAAGTCGAAAGAAAGGCTCTCTGTTTATGTTGCGGGTCCCCCTAAAATATAATAGGCCGGGCAAAGACAATGATGGGCTGGGCTGCACTCACCTTACCCGTATCTGCTGCCCGTTGTGATGGAAAGACAAACCAGAGAGAATATTATTATTACCACCATATCAAAATTTTAATATAAAAACTAATTAATTAATTTGAGTAGATTAAAAAGTTTTTTGAGCTATTTATTTAAAATTTATTAGCTAAAACTATCATTTGATTAAAACTTTTAATACATACAACTATTATAAGAATTGTTTTGAAAAAAATGGATAAATATAATTGATAAAGTAGATTGATGTTTTACATTTAGAATCAAATTAAAATTTAAACTAACTCTTATACTACCTCTGATCTTTAATACTCCTCCGGTTCTTAATATAAGACCCATTTAACTAATTTGATTAGATTAAGAAAGTTAGGTAAGTTAGTTAATTATAAGAAAAGTGACACATTTTTCCTAAAACACCATAATCATCTTTCTTAATACTCATTCTTTCTCTTCTACTTGATTATAATTGAGGGAATATCTATAGGGGTAATTTAGAAAAAATTGATAAATATGAAAAATGGGTCTTATATTTAGGACCAAAACCAACTCACTAATTGGGTCCTATATTAAGGACCGGAGGAGTACAATATCTTATTTGATTTTTATTTTAGTCATAAATATAAGACCCTAATATACTTTGTCTTTCATTTTTTTTCAAGATTATCCTTTTAATAATAGTAGTTTTGACGAATAAATTTGATTAGCAAGGATATTTTAGGACACTTATTTATTACAAATAACTAATTTAACTCATTTTTTTAATTTACTCAAATTAGTAAACTAAGAGTACCCAAGGTAGTATTAAAGAAAGGTAGTGTTATGAGTGTTTGATGGATGTATCGTGCAAGTGATTCTAAGCAGAGAGTGTATAACAGGAGGCAGAGTCGGCACTGGTGCTGATGGCATGGCGACTGCAAGCATTCAGACAAATCCAGGATGGGGTCGTGTAGCAGTTGGATTATCCTCGTCTGACATGAACGACACATCTAGAACTAAGATATATTGTTACTTATGGCACACGATATAACAAGGAATACACATCTTGACTGGGATAGACTAAGGATATATATCAAGAGCATTAAGTATTAGAAATATTCATGAACTCGGAGGAATCCGTTCATAAGTAGTGAGTACTGTTCAAAGATCTTAAATAGGGTTATTAGACATACGCGTAAGCTTCATGAGGTTTTCAAATTTAAACCTTTCAACTTTACCGCACCTGAAAAATACTTTATGTGAGCAACTATCCACAAGCATCAGTAGCGGTAGCATTTAAGAATATGAACATTTAACTAATTAAGAGCATTTGCCCGGAAGAAACAGTGCTATATGTTCAGATGAGATTTCAAACAATGTTTTTGAACTTTATAGCAATGGAAAACTGTACCAGATTATTAGATTTTTGTCTTGATGATAACAATTCAATGCAAAATCAATAGAAGAATAAACGCAAAAGAGTTCCTCACACTATGGCAGCTGAACATGACTCTTTTGTGGATAGTTTCACAGATAAAGAACAGAACTAAAACATAACAATCTGAGAAATATGGAAAAGTCTGCAAAATACGCCCCCGATATGCTTTAATTCTACCCTCATTATATATTGAATACCTGTCCTAAGTCCCAGGGTCACTGTTGAACAGACACATGTTTTCCTCAATCGTACCAGAGTTCCAATCAGTAAGTTTTCCTCAAATCTTTGATCTTACACCACAATTCTTACAAATGAAGAATGTTATCCAACACGTTAGCTACTGGCACGTTCCTATGATGACTTAACAAATATATATGTAGCAGTTTGAAACTCAGAGGCGTGATAACACACAGGGAGCTCAGCAGACCAAAAATGTTACTGGGGCAATAAATAAAGCTGAAAGAAAAGCAAAGGCATGATGTGAAATTATTGACGAAAACTGCGGTATTATTGATTGATATCAATCACATGACAAGCAGCTCTTGACAAAATAAAGGATCACTCCCCTCAGCGTGAAAAGGCACACGAGGACGTGCGATGGCTGAGCGAAACCGTACGTCCTTGGCCACTCATGGGGGGTGAGTACGTAACAAAAACACACAGAATTGAAATTAACGGGATGAAACAGAACAGTGACGAGAACATGTGGAGGCGTGTGTGTTGGATTATATGGTGGGAGGAGACACGGCGCTGACCACGAACGCCTCATCGGCAGCTTCATCGTGGCAGCACTGGAAGGTGGTAAGAACGTTCATGTGACGCTGGCACTCAGGGCACCTCAGCCTCTCTGGAATTCTGCCCATCGCATGAGAAAACTCGAATCTGCAACACGGATTCTCTACTGCATGAAGCTTCCTGTAATGCTCTGCAAAAGCATTATCGAAACCATCTTTCTCAGCTTTCTGCATCCACATAGTGTCGTACTCCATCAGGGTCTGTAACCCAGTATTGGCATGGCCGTTCACCACAATGCGAGACCCTTTTGCCAGAATTACCCATCCGCCCAGTTTGTCATAGCTCAGAAGCCTCTTGATCTCTTGCATCACCAGGTCATGATCATCGGCTTGCTGCAGCTGAATCTTGGAGAACAGCATGCTCTCGAGTCGGGTCCAGAAGAACCAGATCATGCTCTGCTCTTGCCAGCTGTGAGTGTTGAGCTTGTCCTGCATTATGCTCTCAAGAACTCGCCGTACCTGATCCTTCTTCGTGCTCTTCCCTACATACACCATCTCTAATGGTATGCGTGCCGCCATTTGTACCCTCCTTGCTTCCCTCACGAAGTTCCTCACCCACACATAGTCATCTCCTCCGTACAGAAATATGAACTTCCCATCCTTCATCTGTTCAGTAATTAGTTACGCAATTTTTTTCAGTTGAGCCATGTTCAGATCCATGAATGTATGTGATTTTATGTTCGTGCATGCTTACCCAGTTGAGTATTTCGGTGTCGATACCGTCGACGACGAGCTCCAGACGCCAGCTTTCTTCCCTCCAGAGGGCTTCTTCTTTTGAGCTGGTGAAAGGGAAGGCGCTGCTTCCCCAAATCCACATCATGTGGATGGCGTTAGGGCATACTACCCTGCCCTGAGGATCCAACACTACCAGGATTGGCTTGTTCTTGTACTTCCATTCGTTTCGGACGAACATAAGCACTGCCTTGCTTATCAATGAAGGATGATACACAGAGTACCACGGCATCGTCTCTCTCAGGTTCTCGAACTGCCTTTGCTGTTGCTCTGTCATTTGATCGCCGGTGAGACGATCCACAACTGGGATCCACACCAACTCATATCTGTTCTCCAGCTTTGTTGCGTGTACCCTCGATTCATTGTATATCTGTTCAAGGATTAGCAGCTCGTCGTGGGAGAAATCCAGACCCGAGATTAGCAGCAACACGTTTTTCCTCCTCAGCACATCAATCCCAACCTGTTTATTTCCATTTTATGAATGCTTGAGTAATTAGCATGATTTTTGAGTAATACTAATATATATACAAATGATCATAATTCTTTGTGTGGTAGATGATCAAACCCTTTTCCTAGTAGCACCGTCGTAGAGAGGGAGTAAATCATCCCTAGCATATATCAGAGCCTTTAGAACCCTCATGTTGTCAATGTGAATCATCCTGAAGAGATCGCACAGCATTTCATAGGCTTCGGCATCCATCTTTTTCTCTGCATATAACGGTGATTTTGTGTCATGGAATTAAGGCATGGTATATACTGGGATACATGATATATATGTTTACTATGCTTCCACATGACATAATGAACTGCCTTTTACCAATGTATTTGTAGCAGACATCCAGGTGCTTCCTGAGATGCTCAAGGATGGTTTTGAGCTTGTGACCCAAAGTGGATAGCTCCCAAGCCTCTGTGGTTGACAGCATGAACCTGCAACCAGTGATAAATATATATTCACTCAATTTTCATTTTTATATATATATAATCATTAGAAAATATCATAATTGACAGGAACAACATACTCATAGCCCATAGTAGTGAGGCTTGTAATCTGAGTGGCGCAAGCAATAATGCCCCTAACGCTCCAGTAGGAAGCAATGGGGATATGGGCAGAGGCAGTGGTGTAGCTTGACACATCTGGGGTGATGTATGTCTGAGGCAGGTCATTGAACTCAATGACACATCTTGTAACCTCCAATATGACCCTGACAAGATCATTAAGCGCATCAAACCTTGGTTTCAATGGGCCAGCATGCTCCATGATACCAGGAAGTTGCTTCAGGACAGCCATTGATTTGGCCAGAGAGTTTGTGGAATGAATATGGGCGAGCAGCCAAAATTCTCCATAGCTCAGAGCAAAAGCAGCCAAGACCAGCACCAACTTCACATCCCACTTGAAATTTGTAAGCATGTCAAATATTGAAACTGTTGTGGTGTGCGCATCCACGCCACTTAGAGCCTTGTAGGAAATCTGAGATTTTATTCATAATCACATGCTTGTCAGTAACTGAGCATTTGAAAGATGAATATAATTTTGATATATAAAGAGTTTTTGGATTCTAATTGCTGTTCACCTCGCAGGCTATCCGATCTATCCTGTAGGCTAGACTCTCCATGACGGTGAAGTAGCTGGCAGGGTGGTCTCTGTCATCAACTTGATCACCAATTCCCATGGTACCCTGCGGGAAAGGAATACTAAGAGAAGGAGAGGCAGGCAAGAGTCAACTGAAGAAGTAACTGTAAATGGACAGTTAAAGCATCGTACCATTGAAACACCTTCAGATTCCAAGGTGGCATGTTTAAGAATGTCTTCAACAAGACGGAGGAGTGGCTTGACGTCATGCTCTAGTCCATCAGGATTATGATCTGCCAGTATTTTCTTGACAAGGATTGTGTCGTCCGACATAGTAGGCACGTTCCTGTCAGTTTTCATCAGTTGCTGCATTGTATTCAACTTAGCGAAGTTAGCCAAGGCCATCGTGAGCAAGAGGGGAAGCTAAATGCAGACAAAGGACTCTAGGTTTTGAGACAGAGAAGAGAAGAAAGATTGCGTTTTGCTGCCATGTAGTAGCAGGTCATTATATAACCCTCAGAAAGGAATAAAGCCTACATGAATCTACTTCCTTGCTTTCACCATAATTAAGTCTTCGGAACGTTATGAGTAAGCTAGTCATTGGCATCTTCCTGTCTTCTGTCCCCACACCACATCTTCACTTTAGTGCTGTACATCTGTATCTTGTCCACAGAACTGCAGTATCCAAAACAAAATAAGAAACACCGAACAGCCAAATTCTGATCAGACTGTTTGGCAGCTTATACCTACAAAATCTTCTCACCGTGTCTGTGAAAGCGTGAAACTCATGGATAATGGCCTGTGAAAGAATATTGCAGAATTGAGTACTATATAAGTAGAGTAATAGCCTGATATGTAGTAGTATCTGCACATGCACGTAAACGTGTGCAGCAAATTACTCGGGGTGAGTGGTCCAAGCAGTATATAAAGATTCGGGTTAACCAATAAGTATCACAGTATTTACTAAATATGTCATAACCAGATTCAAATCATGGTGGCCATTGGGAAACTTGGTGAAGATCGTTGTTGTGATTTGCTTCTTTACTTGATTCCGTTTTCTTCTTGCAAAGTCAGTTGGGTATATTTTGATTTATGCCAAAAACAACCAAAAGCTATAAAGGACATAGAACTGAGAGATTTGATGCCTTGCTCTTTTTTATGGAAAAACCATATTGAAGGTACCTATACTTTCTCTTCATTTTTAATTTGGTACCTATGTGTTTTTTTCCCTTTAATTAAACATTTAATTTTATCTTTTTAGCAACATTAGCTCTTATAACTTTGTTCTATTGATATTTTTAGTCTCTACATAAGGATTAATGATGTTAATAGAGGAAAAATAAAGATTTAGTTAAGAACAAAAAACACATAGGTACCAAATTGAAAATTGAAAAAAAGTATAGGTACCTCCAATATGGTTTTCCCCTTTTTTATTACCCATAATATTCCACTGGACATGAAGCTATTCACTGACCACATCGGTTTGACGTCTTGTTCACTGGGAACACCCAAAATGACCATTAAATTAACTTGTCTTGCTTAATGGTCTTGTATGGCCAAAATCATGTGTAATTGAAACCCTGATTAACGTGGCTTAAGGGTGATCTTAATCCCAAAAAATCTTCATTCAATTTTTTAATGAAACCCAAGCCAACAAAATCAAATTGAAATCGAAAACATTCATCGAGGAGGTCTCTGCGTCAAATACTATTATTGACGTGGTTGTTCATTTAATCTTGCCAAGTGAAGTTAAGCGGGATTCAAATTTATTTTCTTTGATTCCTTTTATTTTTGTCGTCAATTGTTTTATCTTTATATAGGAAGGTTGGGTTATGTTATGGCCATTCCCATTCTTGAACCCTCCGCTTAGCGTTCCTCGATAGAGTTAAGCCGACAGCTTAATTGGTGCCCAAAAGTTTGTTTCCAGTGATTTACGGCTGTCTGTACTCTGTAGTTCAATTCAAAGTGCATTTCTCCTATTCTGTTGTTAAAGCGATTAATGGCACACCTTCTTTATTACGCTCCTCCTTCTTTTTTTTCCCCCCCCCCCCTCCATTATACCCTTCTTTTAAGCCTCCTTTCTCCTGCTTATTTATACGTCATTAACTATACTAATTTATAAAAATTAATAAAATTAGGAAAAATACTTAGGTTTCGGTCCCAAAAAAATTACTTACATTAATTATTTGTCAAAAATATGTATTGTTTGGTCTAAAATGTTATTTTAAATTATTTATATTGGACTATCCATGTTAGTAAGACTCTTTTGATGTATGCAATTAATATCAATAGTTTCAAAATTATAAATTTATGGGAGAAAATAAATTGACATTTTATACTCATTATGTCCTTAATGTAAGGCCTAATTAACTAATTTGAGTATATTAAGGATGTTAGTTGAAGTAGTTAATATGATATGTTTTTTAAAAACACTCTAAGCATCTTTTTAATTTCTTTCTTTTTCTTCCTATTTGATTATTGTTAAGAAAACATCAATAAAGTTAATTTAAAAAAAAATTGATAATTATATGAAATATGTCTTATATTTAAAAATATACACTAAGGATCAAAGGAGTACTAAATTTAAGATGAAAGTATAGAGTTAAAGAGTTGCTATATTATGAGAGAGTGACTTATACTAATACTTTGTTTTATGTTAAAATAAAGTTAGAATTTTAAAAGGTAGTAATGAGTAAAACCGAACTGTAACAAAAAAATCAAACCAGATTCAATTTCGATTAGGTTGTCTTAGTTTTCAGTTAGATATTTGATTTTTATTATTTGACAATTCAGTTAATAAATATTGTTATAATAAATATATATGTAGGCGTATGTGAGCTGAAACATATTTATACTTAACAAATATAATTATAATAAATCATCTTGAATAATGAAATTTCATTAATTTAATGATTGTAATTGTGTTTTATTATGCTTTTTCAATCTAAAATATTTCATATTTATATATTTTGATTAACTGATTAACCCAAACATTTTGATCAACTTATTTAATCTATTTTGGTATGACATTCAAAATCAGTTAATTCAGTTTTTATCAAAAACCGAAAAATCTAATACTCACCTCTAGATGAAATGTATAATAATTTAGTTTTTAAAAAGCCAAAATCCGAAGGCTAGCTTCATAATCTGTATGAATTCAATATGATGCAAGTTGAAAATTCGGGGGAACGTGTTTTCCGTTCAAAGTGTGCAGGAAAAGCAGTTTGCAAAGGCTCATCGAGAAAGCTGAAGACAAAATGTTGTGCGAATGTTTGCAAACTAGACCCGTTTCCGGTTGCCCCCAAAAAAAAAAGTCCCATGTCAGAAGATTAAAAAAAGAAGTGTTCGGAGTATTCATTCCCATTTTTTCGGCAGAAGTATTTATTGCCCAGTTATTTTATGAACATGAATATATTAATGTTTGGGTCACAAGTCTGGAACAGCAAAAACACCAGAGAAGCAGCTATGTAAAAATTCACAGCCCATGACTACGAAAAAAAGGGCCTAGATCCACAACGACGCAATCTGTCTAACGATACGACTAATTACAACGGCGGAATACAGCCAAACGTGGCCCTGACCAAGGCGCTCACTAGCGGGCCCCTCCGCTTTAACGGCCGCGCCATCTCCCAACAACTGTTCCCGCCATCACCACCGCTCACCCAATCGCCATTGTCATTCTCCGGAAACTTCGGCAGCGGCGCTGGTTCTCTTCGTCCCTGCCTACTCTTTATCTCGCTCAGATCCATTTCCACGGGAAACTTGAGAATCCCAAAAAGACCGTTGCGATACTTCCGGCTGCTGGCACTCCTTCGGCATCGATTTTCCACAGCCAAAGGTTTGAGAAGCCCATCTGATCGGCCAGTGTCCGATTTAACGAGAGAATGGGATCGTAGAAGGAATGAATTATTTACCTCCTGGGGTGGATGGGGTTCCGATTGACGATGAATGACCTTGCCGCAGAAAACGACGTCGTTGGGAAGGGCGGAACTGCTACTGGGATCGAAACTTGGAGCGGGGAACTCGAAGTCGAAGTGATGCGCGTTCATATCTTAATCACTGGGTTGAAGTTGAAGGAATACAAGAATTGTAATTGGTGAAGGTTGATGAGCGTGGGATACTATATATGATACGGTGCCTTAACTGACTAGGGAGGGAGAAAAAACGGTCCATAGATGGTGGAATGGTACAGGGGCTTCTAGAGGAGAGGACCTAACCCAGGGAGTAAGTCACCAAGGGGCACACATATGATGTTTCGTAGAAGTGTAGCAGAGAAATTTCACTTTCTAGAAAGGAAGAACGGCTCTTCTTCGCACGCGTCACGGGATCGCCGATGTCTGTCTTTGATTTACTAGATTAGGGGACCTGAACACCAGGACAATTAACTATGGATTACTATTCTGAAAATGAAGACTTCAATAATTCTTTTTTATTTAGAATGACCGGTACTGGCTACTTGGTGTTATAATAAGGATCAAGCTCACAACTTTTTATTTTTCAAAAAAAAAAAACGATGCTACAGTGTAAGATTAATGACAAAATTACATCAGAGCATAATAATAATGATAATCACATTCTGTTACGGGCAAGTAACAGACCAAAACAAAAACCAAGGAGCAACCCGCTAATACAAGTTATTACGCGAAGAAACCCCAAGCCAGATGGACCTCAACAAGAGAAATTTTAACTTCTTTGTCATGAGCGTAATGGGCAAGCTAGCTGCTTTGCAGTGGCTGAGTGCCTCATAATTTCTCCCGCCGCCCCCACATTTTTTTTGGATTTGAAAAATATTAACCATTAAATTACGATCTAATGATATTAAACAAGAAATCATAAATTTATTTTTCAAAAAAGTAAATAAATATTTGAGGGGGTCCAGATAGCCGGCGGTCGGGAAAAAACATATCTTTTGGTTGCTGTTTTGGGGGCAGCCAAGGACCCTCCTATTTTGCTGCCTAGTTTTGACACGTGTATTAACAAATACAGGGGCCATGTACCACCGCAACCAATTGACACTAAATACCGTTTTTCTCACTCTTGATCACGATAATAGTTTGTTTATTTTCCTAATGAGTTTTTTTTTTTGTTATAATCTTTGATTCAAGGTTTTAAAGTTACTTGTTATTTCTTGGAGCTCACTTCCCAGATTTAAATGTTTAGTCGATGTAGACCTGATACCATAAAATGATAAAATTATCTAAAATAACACGCCTATACATATAATCGCAAGCAAATCAAAGGAAAGCGATAACAATTTTGTTTAATTACAACAGTTTCATCGTTTGCTACTGGGTGAAATTCACAAATTATAATTTTTAATGTCGCGAGAGGGTACTTCGCTGCATTGGAAGTGAAGAATCCAACGGTCACTTGCTTCTTCGACAGCTTGTCAAGAAGTTTTTGAAATGCCATCGGTGGAACCTACATTTTGATTCTTTGGGAACAGATACGGTGGATGGAAAAAAGGAATAAAGAATGCAATTCCCAGACACAGCATTGCCAATACTACGACCCACCAGGCTTGTTGGGGTATGCCCAATAATAGCTCATCGCAAACTGTCATGCCATGCCAAAGTGAACAAGAATTAGACCCACCAAGCAAAGTCTGAAGCTAAAATGAGATGCATTTCAAATGAAATGCATAGTATTTAACTCAATGAACAGTGACCAGACTTTGCACCGAAAATAGAACTGGAAAGTAAAACCATTTCAATCAAATTCGAAGGGAACATAACAAGAATGAAGAACGTGAATCTCTGGCAGAGAAATTAGTAGTGCCATATACCATGCTAAATTAGTAAATTACCTATATTGAAGATAATGAATGGCCTCTCACGTACATGCGGTATGGCAACAAACCCCTCTGGCTCCACAGTTACCAAGACGCGCGTTTTATCCTGAATAACGTCAATGCTTTCAGAACATAACGTAACAACATAAGTGATATAAAGCAATCACAGCTTCGTTTAGAATGAAATATCCAACCAGATTGCTCTCGGTCTTGAAAATTAGCTTTTCTGTGTTGAGTAATCTTCTGTTATTACCCAGCACCATCTCTTTCTCCAGTTGTATGGCAAAGCTGGCAGGTATCTGATATTTCAGTTAGCGTATGTCAGTTTCCAGAGAAGAACCCACAGCAAACAACAGACAGAAAAGACATTATACATACAGAAGCAGGATATGATATCTTCACTTCATACCACGTTTGGGGCTTCAGATCTTGTAGTTGATAAAGCCGGGAGCCACCATTTAAAGGCAGGCTCTCTCTCCAGAGCTCTTGCCCAGCTCTCAAAATTTTGTTCTCATCCCTATGACATTAAGCCATTGACCTCTCTATTTGAGTGACAATTTAAAACAGAAACACTACTGATTTGCAGGAGGAAAAGTCCAAATAATTAAACATAGCTGAGGATTTTTTTATTTGGATACTGACACATTCCCAAAGCAGAGGGTCGGGACCTTGATCATGATGTGGATGATGTAAAACAGAATAACCCAACTATGCATGCAAATTCGATGCATTGTTAATGACGGGGACCTCCAAATAATTTGAACCTACAAACAAGAAATACGTATATTTAGTACACATAACCTTTACAAAGGAGCTAATATTACTAGTTGTCACCAACCAAAACAGGAACGTTTTAAAAAATAGAGACAGAACCAAAACATTACAAGGGTTATGAAATTATGCATCTGGCAAAACCTAGGGTTCGAAATATAAAATTTCCAAATCCAGAAATATTATTAATTATGTTCTTAGTGAACTTCCCAAAGCACAATCACAAGCATGATAACTTCCCATTACAGGAGTTACTATTTAATAAATTCACCTTCTCCGTCCTGCTGTGAACATGCATGAAACATAAAGCTTCCAAAATTTACTATTAATACAGTAAGAAATAACAATGCTTCAACAATTGAGCATTATTACAAGATTTTCCAATGTGATTCTGAATTCCAAAAGAAGGTCCAGCAGCTAAAAATTTTATGTTGAAAGTCGAAAGAAGCATATACAGAGCATATTTAACAAGGCTCCTCGCGAACACAAACATTCAATACCCAGTAGCCAGTACTCACAATTTACAATACAAACAAATTCAAGATTCAACAAAAATAAAAAAGGTGAATTAAAAATTGGAGTCTGGAGAGTAGATGAACCTAGAGCCAAATCCCTTGGTTGATATCTGAGGTGCTCGACGGCGAATAACGAGAGGCAGAGGTGCGGAGATTCGAATTCAGTAATTGAGAGTGGAGAAGAAGCACGAGAGACAGAGGCGCAAAGGGAGGGATGAGAAGAGAGCGGGAGGCGGTATAGCTGTGGAAGTGGAACTTCGAAGAGCGGAAGTGCGCTGCGGAACAGGGCTAAGCAAGCACTAAAGCCGACTCGCGGGGTAATAAATACACCGCCAATATGATATATAAATAAAAAAAAAAGTAATAATACGGCTCGGCCAGACCGAAACAAACACAAGATAAAAATTGAGGAGTGAGTTCGGATGCTCAACCGATCAAGACTGTCCAAATCTGACGTGAACAGTTCAGATTTAGTTTTATTTTTATATTTTTAAAATAATTACTTTAATATATATAAAGTATAAAATAAAATAATCTCTTAATTATTATTTTTTTAAAAATAATATTTTTATTTTAAAATAATTATTTAAAAATATTAAATTTAGACCATCCAGATTAGATCTCCACGGTGACATGGCGATGCAGGTGAAACCGATACGCAACGTCAAAGGGCAATTGGATCTATATTTCTATATTTTCATAATGGACGCATACATTATCAGTTTGGTGATGGGTCGGTGCCCAACACGAAATGGCCCGGTCCTAGAGCTTAGTCCTGCCCATTTGGGCTGGGCCATAATCATTTCAGCATAGCCCAATTTTTTTTCCCCCAAAAAAGAACTCCTCAGTGACTGGATAATGGAGGAAGACATGATTCTTGGATGAAAAAGTTGTGGTCCTACCAACAGAATTGGGTCTAACAAAAAAAATTAATTTCTTCTCGTAACGTGTTGAACCAAAATTTGAATCTAACCAACAGGGATTGGGTCTAGCAAAAGAGGCTAGTCTCCCACAACGCAGTGAGCTAAGGTTTGAATTCCCACTGGGAGAGGTGCTTACATTTAGTGTCCAACAATACCTCGAATAGGATTATTTCCAATAGAAGGATACCTATGCTTTAGTAAAAAAAAAGATTTAAATCTCCGTTGGGAGAGATGTCTATATTTAGTGGCCGACGATACCTCAAATAAAACTGCTTTTAATATGAGGATATTTATACTTTAGCCCAAAAAAAAAGTTGTAGTCCTCTTGTACTATCCTCAATATAAGAGCTAATTTGACATTCAATTTGATCTTAAATATAAGATTTCAATCAAATTTGTCTCTCATATTTATTTGTTTTTTTTCTAAAGTAGTTCTTGTAGTAATTGCACATATTAAATATTTCATCAAATCATAGTTCTAGTTAATATACACGATTAGTGAGGGTGTTCTAAGGAAAATAACACCCATTGCCCTCGGTCCTTAATATAAGAGCCAGTTGACTAATTTGAGTAGATTAAGAAAATCTGTTAAGTTAATTATTTGTAATAAATATGTGTTGTCTTTTCAAAAATACTATTACCATTTGATAAAACATTTAACATGCGCAATTATTACAATGACTATTATAAAAAAATGGATAAATGTGAAAGATAAAATGGATTAGAGTGTGATATTTAAGATCAAATTGAAAATCAAACTAGCTTTTATATTAAAGGTTGGAGGTAGTATTTATTACAGATAACTAACTTAGTAAATTTTTTTAATCTACTTAAATTAGTCAACTAATTTTACATTAAGGACCGGTGGTAGTATATCTTATGAACGTCTTGCAACAATGTTGTTTGGGCATGGACACAAATATGTACTCCTCCGGTCCTTAATATAAGACCCATTTAACTAATTTGATTAGATTAAGGAAGTTAGGTAAGTTAGTTAATTATAAGAAATGTGACATATTTTTCCTAAAACACCACTATCATCTATTTTAATACCTCCTCTCCCTCTTCTACTTGATTATGGTTGAGGGAGTATCTATAGGGGTAATTTAGAGAAAACTGATAAATATGAGAAATGGGTCTTATATTTAGGACCAAAACCAACTCAGTAATTGGGTCCTATATTAAGGACCGGAGGAGTATTTAAGAATACAATTTTTAAATTGAAGATATAAAAATTATTGACTGTTGTGAGAAGGCAGAGAAGAACTGTGTGATAAAAGAAACTTGAGTTGAAACCCAGTCCTTCTTGTTCAGCAATTCACGGCAGCAAAAAATGAATTTTCATTATCTTCTATTACTGTTATAGTCATCTACACAAGACATGATGCATTTTATGCTACTGTTGGTGCTACAGGTGCAAACTAGTTTGTGCGTTTACTATTAGATAGAATAGAAAATTCTCCATTCTTGTTTTCTCTCTTCCTTTTTTTAATATAATATCGGGTTAGATTTCTCACCAAACCTTCACGAGTCAACAACGTCTTATCTAAGTTTTCTATTGTTCCAGTCAGTTCAATGAATATGCACAACAATACAAAGAAAGAAAGAAAAAGATGGTGTTAATTGGCTGCAGACATCCAAAAGCATATGATGCACATTTTTATCTGCCTACTCTATTTTAGTATTCTCAGTCTTTTATAGGAAGCATCTGTTTAACCTTGATGACTTTCACCTAGCCTTCATAATTTGCGAGTATGAAAGCACCCAAATAAATAGTTTCACGTGGACTTTATAGTTAGGGACTTGGTTCAAGTCATATCGAGCACGCAGTGAACAACAGTTTCAAGTCTGAACTATGCCAAATGCATGATGACTAATAAATACCAACTCTTTTATCCCTCCCTAATTTAAGTGTCTAGACACTCTGTTCGAGAGAGTCCTTGGAATGAAACCCCATTTTGCAAAACCTCACTCTTGACAACAATTTCAATCATGAAGCCCCGCATAAGATGCTCTGATGAAACTTCTTTTCATAAATAGGATCCAAGCTAAGTCAGGAGGAGAAGGAGAAAAAAAAACTAAAGGAATAATGCTAAACTTGGGCGCACTAGAAAAGTGAATATCCAGCTATTTGCCAGTGATTCTAAATGCAACCTAATCAAATCAAGGGTCCCATCCCCATTGCACGTGCACATGCAAGGCACAACAGTACCAGACAGAGATTGAACCAGTTCTCTTTTCTTGCCTCCCCAAAGGCCCGTACCTTCTTCATGTCTCTTCCTTTTTTTCTAGCTATTATGATCCAAAGCTTAGAATTTGTGCATGTCCATGATTATGCAGATTGCAGAGCTATATAGCAATAGAACAAAAGTTTGGCCGAACTTGCCAAGACAGTCATCAAAGCCTCTCATTCCAAAAGAAGCTTTACGCTCAGACTTTTTTCTGCGTGGGTTAGTAGTTTCAATCTTTTTGGCTCCTTGTGTTCTTTTGTTCTTTGTTAAGGGGACACTTCGCCATATTTTAATGTGTGGGTACATGTTAAAGCTAGCGAGGGCTTTCAGAAACTAACTGAGCGCACGTAAAATGGGTGAGAAATATGATTTAACCGACATGGATGGGGCCTCTCAAGAGAGGTTGAATTAGTGGGTTTATGATAGGGACAATAAAGCTAAAAAATTGGTTGACACCAAATCATTCTCTATGCCTTTTTTTGTAAAGCGAGTTTGGTGAGCCTCACCGTCATAGATATAACTCGTTATTTTGAATTGCTTTCTAGAACCAATAAAAAGATGTAAAAATAAAAATTTTGGGGGGCCGTTTTTAGTCTTATCCCACCAAGAATTATTTCTCCTAGTTTATAATAACCGCATGAAAGGATCAAACAAGACAGCTGCTTCATTTACAATTTTGTGAGGGGAAAAATTGAATTCTAACTATTTGCCTCCAAATATTAAGTTGAATGAAATGCTTTACATATCACATTTTTATTGAAAAAATGTGCTTGATATAAAGCTAAACTTGCATTCAGAAATCATCACATAAATTAAAACGATATCGCAGCAGATATTAACAATCTTAATACTCTTACCCCCCCAGTTTATTATATCCCAGCAACAAGAAGAAGATACTACTAAACATCATTCAGTTTCATCTCTTTATTTTTTTTCTCCCAAACATGCCCTTTGTTTCTTCCTGCAGAACCCACCTTGGTGTGATGTGAGAATTTGGACTTTCAGCAGATGTACAATGGCAAATTCGATAATTCACCTTTTTCTTTAAGGAGATTGAAATATTTAATTTACCATATCGAAAGGAAGGGCGTGATAAATGCTTTTGATTTTTGAAGTATTACAACAAAGCGCCTTTTTTTGCTATTGCAGACATAAAATCATTAAATCAGAATCTAGGACAGTTCCCAGGTATACTTATTTCCACATCCATATTTATTCTTATATATATGCTTCTGTACTCCAACACAGACTAAATCTGCATCTTCAGCGGGAGGATTATTAAGCATTATGGTTGAGTTTTCGTCCCTTATCTCAGCTTTCCTCTGTGGATTGCCCTTCTTTTTGGCTTTGCTTCTCAAATATCTGATGACGCAGAGTGCGCAAGAGAAATTGCCTCATGGAAGCATGGGCTTGCCGTTTTGTGGTGAGACTCTTGGCTTCCTCAAACCCCATGAATCATTCTCCTTAGGAAGCTTCTTGCAACAACGTTGTTCTAGGTACCATATTCTTTCACGGCCGTTCTCTGGTGTTGTTAGCCTATCATTGTCGCTGAGCAATTATCCTTGTTATGCAGGTACGGCAAAGTTTTCAAGTCCCATCTGTTTGGCTCCCCCACCATCGTTTCCTGCGACTACGAGTTCAACATGTTCATTCTTCAGAACGAAGGGAGGCTATTCGAGGCTGATTATCCCAAGGTTATGCATTACATTCTCGGCAACTTGTCTCTCATTGTTGTCACTGGGGACCTTCATAAGAAGCTACGAAGTTCTGCTGTTAGCTTTGTCTGTGCGGCCAAATCCCAATCTACTTTCCTCCCCTCTGTAGAAAAGCTTGCGCTCTCAAGAGTGAATTCATGGCGCCACTGTAAACAAGTTGGTTTTTATGCTGAAGCTAAAAAGGTAAGATTTCTGCCTGGCACTTGATATCTATATATATTTTGCAAGAGAAGCAGTAGAAATAAAGATATAAGATTGCATTTTTTCCCCCGTGGTTCAAACAGTTTACGATCTGCGCTATGCTGAAGCTTCTGTTGAACATTAATCCAGACGAGCCTCTGGGCTCTCAGATTCTAGAAAACTTCGAGACTTACATGAGAGGTTTCGTATCATTCCCACTAAATATCCCTGGAACGACGTATTCCAATGCTGTGAAGGTACAAATAAAAAACATATGGATTAACTCTTTAGTTAACCGAGAGCCAGAATATGTTGATGCTGATATATTTTACTGTTCCCGGATTCTATCAGGCTAGAATAAGACTCTCGTCCATTGTCAAAGAGATGATAATAAAAAAGCGTAAAGGTAATGTGGGGTCTCGGGAAGGAGAGGACCTCTTAAATGTGATATTGTCAAAGCCAAACCTTTGTGTTGAAGAGATGGTGAGTGTTGTATTGGACCTCATGTTTGGTGGTTATGAGACAACAGCAAAACTATTGTCCTTGATTGCCTATTTCCTTGGCCAATCACCTAAATTGTTAGAAAGGCTCAAGGTACCTAGTCTTCAATTTTTTCCTATTTTTAGTTTAATCACAAGTCATTGCTCAGTTGACAATGATTACTGATTCGCTGCTATAAATTCAATAATAAAAAACTCCACAGGAGGAACATCAAGTCATTAGGAAAAGCAAAATAGATGGAGAACCATTGAACTGGGAGGACTTCAAGCAAATGAAGTTCACTCTTGATGTAAGGAAAACAGTTACTTTACCATACAACAAATTTATGTCCTCGGAATTACTCAGTTTCTCATATAAAATCACCAAAATTCTTACCATCAGGTGATAAATGAAGCAACAAGATGTGGGAACGTAGTCAAATTTTTGCACAGGAAAGCTATTCGAGACGTCAGATTTGAAGGTATTTAAACTGGGAGTTTACATTATCCTCGTTCTCGTTAAACAGAAAAATCTGCTCATATTTCCTCAATGGTTGAAAACTGTTGCAGATTTTGTTATACCCAAAGGATGGAAGGTTCTTCCAATTCTGTCTGCCGGGAATTTGGATCCTCTCTTCTATGAAAATCCTTCAAAGTTCGATCCTTCCAGATGGAATGTATGTTGCAACACCATGCAATTAACAACTTAACCCATACATGAAGTATTAATTTGCTCGAGAAACAAACTTAACAGTACATATCAAACATTTGCCTCTATTTGTAGGACACTTCAACGTGCAAGAAAGTTACACCGTTTGGTGGAGGCTCACGACTCTGTCCAGGTGCTGATATAGCTAAAGTGGAGATAGCATTCTTCCTTCATCATCTTGTCCTTAATTATAGGTAATTTACCACACCACACTAACCAGGCAACACTGTCCACGAGAATAATGACATGCATAGCTTATGGGTATCAAGATGGGCAGATTGGTGAATAAATTAACTCAATGTATCCCACTTTGGAATCCGTATGATTATTTTATTAGTTTATAAGAATGCAGCCAATGTTGGAATGTGCATGATTATTGTTGAAGCCAATTGAGCTTGTGAAGAATAAAAAATTATATTTGCTATTGATGTTACTTGCTACGTGATTGCAATAGGTGGAAGATCAGATCAGATGACTACCCACTTGCTCTTCCTTACGTGGATTTCACCAAAGGCTTGCTATTGGACCTTGAAAAGTTGGACTCATAAAAATCACTGCTTTTGGACAGACACTCGAGAATGTGAATAGATCTAATGTGTGTGTCTTCAGGAAGTTGGGATCTCAAGTGTTCCGATACAAAATAAAGAATCCAAATTCGGGATGATTAATTTATGGCATGTAACAGTTTTCTAGTTCTGTTATTTGAAAAAAACGGTTGGTGCTTGACCAACTTGGGTTCAATTTCAATTGTCCATGTGAATATTAGGAACTTGTTCTGTAGCTCACAGCTCTTGCGCCCCTGTAATTCAAACATCCATGTTCTGTAATAGTTACAATAAAGACAAACTTGTTCGACAGTTGAAGAGTAACCTGGATGCTAGGATCTCTCTATATCAATTTTTGCCATATATTAATGCAGGCGAGCACAACCAACGCCATTTCATTTTAGAGAGCTTTTACGACTTACGAGGACACATTTCGCAGGCCTGAAATAAATGAATTCTGAATTTCCTACACAATCTAGTCTAATTATATATGGTATTTAGATTAGTTGGATCCAGCTAATATAGATAAGAAAATGTATTAAAAATATGAGTTAAATGTTTGTTTTTATGGATAAGTTTTTAAGTTAAACGTAAAGTTCCATTTTCAGAGTGAAAAGCTCTCTTGGAGTACAAAGCTCAATTTTTTATATAATTTCATATACAACCTTTTTATTCCTTCCAGCACAGGTAAAAATGCAAACCATTATTAGTGATTTTCAAAATTATATTTTTTTCAGTGTTACAGAAAAAAATAGAATGTGAGTCTTGCATTTTACTAGTCTATTGGAGGTATTCATCACCTTTCATATATAATAGAAACATATAAATATAGGATATAGATCACATTCAAAATTATAAAATACTACCTCCTGCCATTAATATACGAGTTAATTGATTAATTTGAGTACATTAAAAAAAATTAATTAAATTAGTTATTTGTAATAAATAGGTATTGCCTTTCCTGAAATATCTTTGTTAATCAAGTGGGATACATGGAATGAAAATCCTGCTGTGGGGATACATGGGCTGGTGGCCCCAAAACAGAAATAACATGGGCTTTTGTGGCCCATGATTACCCAGGTCGGTTTTGACCCAAAAAGGGAACTCTGCCGAGCAAAAGCCTACGCCGTGACTGCCTCTCCGATTTCTTCCTTTCCACGACATACCGGGCGTCCTGGCTTGCTGAAGAAAGCTCGTCGAGTCGACTCCATCTAACGCTGTGAGCACCTCTCTCTCTCTCTCTCTCTCTCTCATTGAACTTTATTCAGCTGTGAATTAGCACTGTCCCCACTTTAACCAGATCGAAGCGGTTCAATATCTTGTCGGTTTTCTGCTTGGGTTTTCATTCTTCGTTGTTTAACAATTTAATTTCCCCCCAGTTAATGTCAAATGCGAACAACTATCACGGTGCCTCTGTTTGTTTACATCAGATTTAATGCTGTAGGATGGAAAAGGAATAGTTACTACCAGAGTAGAACTTCTCTTGTCTTCCCTGGGAACGTGTTTTGTTTTCTTTTTCTTTTTTTCTTTTGTTTTCTTAATGCGATGCTTAGCTGAAAGCCTGAAACTTGCCCTTTCGGTCATCATAATTAGGGATTTAGGCTATCGTATTTTAGCAGGCTTATATTAGTTTTAGGGACTTGTATTATTTCGTGGGAGGTATTTCTATTGGATACTATATATATTTATATATATTGTCTGCAGGTCAATACGAATTTTTAGAATGTCTAAGTTGGCGGCGGATCTTCCTCCCAAAGGTGGATTTAGTTTTGATCTCTGCAGAAGAAATGACATGCTTGAAAAGAAGGGTCTTAAACCGCAATCTTTTCTCAAGACCGGAACTACTATTGTTGGTTTGATATTCCAGGTATGGTTGCTTGAGTGCTCTCTGCTTTCTAGGATTGTTTTACCTCATGGAAGCCTTGATTGGCTCTTTCTTCGGTGATTCTTTTCGCTCCATGAATTTAAGTGGAATTGTAACAACTTCTTAAATCTTTGGAAGTAATGTCTTACGCCCATGAAAGGAAATGGCTACGTCTCTGCCAGAGAAGTGATATGATGAAAACCATAGATAAGATTATTTTTTGGGACATTCCAAGTCTAAATGCCGATCTAGTACTTGAGACTCCCCCCCCCCCCTTTTTTTTTGGGGTGATGCGGTACTTGAGATTTTCTTAATTGGCGTTTGTTGCCAATTGTCAACATACGTTCCCACATATAATATACAGTGGCGAAGAGTTTTCATTTGTTTCTTGCTGTCTCTGTTACTAAAATGAGAGTCCACTTTAGCCTGCTCAGAAGCCACAAGTGAGCCGCTATGTAATGGAAGACTAAACCTATAAACCTGGTTATGAATCATGATTTATGCGGAGTGAAATGTCTGGTTTTACTTTGGAATCTTATGCTTAAAATTTTGATGTCCAGTCATTTGGATTTCTTTTATGTCTATGGCAGTATGGCCTGCAACACAATTTATTAAATAGATAAAGTTCAGTTGAATCAGCTGCTTGAATATTTGTGGGGTCTCCATCTCTTGAGGTAGTGGTATGGTTTAAATTTCGAAGGAAGAGGTGAAAGGTTTTGGGTTGGATTCAGTGCTCAACTTTGTAAGGCAGATACTATGGTGCATATTAGGAAATTAAGCATGCCGATGCAACTAATAATAGCATCTTATCCAACGTATATGTAAAGTATATCTCAGTATATGTTGCAGAAAACCTTATCCAACGTATAGGTAAAGTATGTACTAACTGTCCCATACTTTTGAATCTTACAGCTGAGGAATCAAGCTTTTTGATGTTATAAACTTGAATGTTTATAATTCGGCTAAGTTCATTGTTGATACAACATAAAAGGGGGAAAAAAATATCTTCTTGATAATTTTTTGAGTCTTAAGAGTTATCTTTAAGCAGTCCATAATTAAGGCTCTTAATGCCTGCTAGGATGGCGTCATTCTTGGAGCAGATACAAGGGCCACTGAAGGACCCATAGTTGCTGATAAAAACTGTGAGAAAATTCATTACATGGCACCCAACATATATTGCTGTGGAGCAGGCACTGCTGCTGATACAGAAGCAGTAACAGGTATTTTGTTGCAATAATATATTTTTGGCTGCATAATACTATTTCATGTCTCGTGGCTTCTGTAATATGGCTGTGTTTACGATTTACTCATCTTTGATAATGAGAAGTCTGTTCTTTCCTGTAGACATGGTCAGCTCCCAACTGCAATTACATCGCTACCATACTGGTCGAGAATCAAGAGTGGTTACAGCACTGACACTTCTGAAGAAACATCTTTTCAAGTTGAGTTTCTGAACTTCCATTGCAATTAAACTTACTCCCTGTTGCAGTATTCATGTTGACTTTCAAAATAATTGTGCAGTTACCAAGGTTATGTCCAAGCAGCTTTGGTACTTGGTGGGGTTGATGTCACCGGACCTCATTTGCACACGGTAAGTTCATTGCTTAAAAATTCTATACTTGAATTTCCTTGCTTTGAATTCATGCAATGTTATATCTTGTGACTTTTGATGATATGTCGCAGATATATCCTCACGGTTCAACTGACTCGCTCCCCTTTGCAACAATGGGTTCAGGTTCACTTGCTGCAATGTCTCTTTTTGAGTCTAAATACAAGGAAGGGTTGACTGTAAGTAAGCATTCTGTGATTCAGAGGTCTGGGGCTGTTAAAATGGCTAGCTTATTTTATGAAAACAGACAACCTTAAAATTGTTAACGTTTACATTTGATAACCTTTTGATTCTGACAGATGATATTTCTTTTAAAACCGGTTTGTCAAAAATCAGTATTGCACAAACGTTCGTGGTGATTTAGGCTTTGATTACGAGTCATGAAATTTGATTTTGCTTCTTGCCGGATATTCTGATATATTATCAACATTTTTTATTTGATGTGGTGCAGAGGGATGAAGGGGTACAGCTAGTGGTTGAGGCGATCTGTGCTGGTATATTTAATGATCTGGGAAGTGGAAGCAACGTGGACGTTTGTGTGATAACCAAGGTTAGTGTTTTGATGCCATTCACTGCAACTGGGCTTTTGAAGGAAGGAATTTAATTTTCATTGACGTACTGATTTTATTCTAATATTGCACAGGGACATAAGGACTACCTCAGGAACCATCTGTTGCCAAATCCTCGAACATATGTTAATCCAAAAGGCTTTACTTTCCTAAAAAGACCGGTTTGTGGCAAACCTCTATTTCTCACTGTCATTCGGCTAGGAGTCTTCGAAAATTAACGCGGCTTACAGTATCTTACGCATTTTGTGTGGATTTTCCTGCATTGTGTCTTGTGTTCCTAATTAAGGGTCTGTTTTGAATAGCATTCAAAAATACTTATAAGCACGTTTTACACAAATTAAGGCAAAACTCATTTTACATGTTTATCTCATTTTATAAATCACGATTGAAAAACTACTTATAAGCTATTCTAAACGGGTCCTGAATAGTGTTAAGCCCAGCCCGTTTACATTTAGTGATGTTCTGTGTTGTGCCTAAGATAATAAATCTGTTATCTGGCGCAGAGGTTCTCTTAACAAAGATTACTTCCCTGAAGGAGAAGGTTGAAGTGATCGATGGAGGAGATGCCATGGAAGAGTAGCATTCGTGTCAACAGGAACTATATTTACTTTAAATTATCATCACATGCCTGTAATATTGAGAGTATTGATTCTCACCCAAAACCTCGGCATCGTGGAGGCCCCATAATCATTGGCCTCTTGTTTTTACCAAATGAATTTCTAGTATTCCGCATACCCTTTTTCCTACTCTTTTTTTTTTTTTTTTTTTCAAGAACCCTTTTTCCTACTCTAGTAGTGTGCAATCTTGGCCGCATTTCTAATGTTGCTGGCCTGAATTACTCGTTTTAATGTTAGATTAAATTATGTGGATTATCATTAGTTGATTTAATGAAAGTGAGAACATTTAATTTGGTTTTAAGCAATTAGTTCTGATTGAATAATAAACATAGAATATATCAAGCTTTATTTCCATTTGTGTCTTGTGACAGGTTGAGTTGCCCATAAATTCATTTGGTAAAAGTTTTTTTTATTTTTTGAATAATAACTGGTAAAAGTTTCAACTTGCATCCCTCTGGCTGCAGCAGCATTAATAGAAAAAAGTGAGGTAATTATATTAATATTATCAAAGTGTGAGGAATTTTATTATTTAAGTGTATATAAGTATTTCCTTTTAAAATAAGTGAAGTACTACTAATTTAGAAAATTATTCTCCCTCTAAGGGATGTATTGCCCTTCGTTCGTCGGCGGGGGAGAGTAGGTTGAAATTTATTTTCATTTTCTTAAAAGATTAAGTAATTATAAAATTTTTATTATGTATGTATATTCTTCGTGAGTCTGCTAATTCTAGAGTTCTAAGCCAAGAATTTATGATTTAGAAAGTGTTTGGATGGAATCAAAATTATGGTTTTAAAAATATTTTTACAGTATACGAAATAAATATGTGAAAGAGTTTATCATATTTTGCGGAGGTGCTTCCAAACACCCCCAAGTCCTACTTTACCGATCACGTGTGCATGATCAAGCCATCGCGAAAAAGGGAAGAAAAAAAAAATCCAAGGGACTATACAAATCATCACCACCATATTAATTGCTTTTATCTTGAGCGATGTTGGTATCCACGGGACAAATTGCCCGTGACCGGCCCAAACCATGCTTTTACGTAATGAGATTGCCAAAGTGCCAATGGCCTGAAATTACCATTACTGATTAATTAAGAAATAGAGATAAACAGTAAAAAAATAAATTATATATATGCTTAATCTTTTGCATTCTCATTTAAAAATAATGGATTTAATCAGAATTTAATACTTTCGTTAGCTTTTCATGTACTATGTTAGTCACTTCTCCTTCTCTTTATATCCCTAGCTTCTCTATAGTGTCTTTGCAGAAAACTAATAATAAAATGTAAAACTTACATTGAAATGTACTGTTTATTAGACTCGAAAGTATAACCTAGATGAGGTTCTGTTTAATGCATGAAGAAACATGTCATTTTTTATCACCAAAATTTTTTTAAAATTTTAAGTAATATTTCAAACGAGTATAACGTTTTATATTCCTTTACTACTAATTAAAATTTTAATATGTATAAATTATACTACATTCAATAATTAATATAAGATTTAGTGTGTAGTTTAAAAATATAAAATCTAGATTATAGTTTAATTTAAACTCCAAAATAAATTTTATATTAATTTTTAAATTTTTATTTTCCGAAAAAAGGGAGGAAGCAGTTTGCTTTAAAAATTTAAGAAACCATAGTAGCAAATGAATGGTAGCGAGGGGCGGCCATGTGGAACCGGGAAAGAGGAAACCCAATCCAGAACGGGAACGGGTAGCGTGCTGGGTTACGATTACGAAGGTGTTACTCGTACGTCACGCTGTGGCCATTAAACTTTTAAACCCCTTTTGATTTGTCACTGTTTCATTTTTCTGTCTCTCGTTCTGTTCGTTCGCCTCTTCTCTACTCTCGATTTCTCAGTTCTCATTCTCATTCTGCCTCTGAACCCACTGCATATTTCACTGCCCTGCCTATTGAAACGGCTTCTTCCGCAGTGCCGCCTCTATCCTTGATCTGCACGGCGTCATTTTCTCGGCATGTCTTACGACTACCTTTTCAAGTATATCATTATCGGGGACACAGGTTATTTTGCTGTAGGAACCCTAGCTTTTATCCCACTTCGGTTATGGTTTTCTAACTAATTGAAATTTCGGGCATTTTTTGGTTGTGGTGCAGGTGTTGGGAAGTCATGCTTGCTTCTGCAATTCACCGATAAGAGGTTCCAACCCGTCCATGACCTGACTATTGGTGTGGAGTTCGGCGCTCGTATGGTCACCATCGACGGCCGACCCATCAAGCTCCAGATATGGGACACTGTAAGTCTATGTTTTATTTCTTTCTGCTCTTGTTTTCTCAAAATCTAATTGCGGTAACCTTTGACCTTTCTCCATGCTTCTTTAAGTTGTTGAGGATTGATTGGAAATTCATACCTAAAGAGCTAAAATAACAATAATTTGTTTGGTACTTTCACTATTTTGAAACATACAGTAAAAGCCACAATTGACCGCAAACGTTTCAGTAATTGAGACCCTGAGCATAATAGATTATGAAATCATATCAGAAACCTCTGCAGTAAGTTACTGATCTGAACGACTCTCTCCTTTCTAAAGGCTGGGGACTGTGGAATTAGAGTGCGCCTTGCATGGTAACCTTAAATCAATATAGTAATGAATGTTGTCTTTGTCCTTGTAATCACAATGTAGGGCTGTGGTTTTAGATTCTGGATTCGCCATAATAGATTTCAGGTTATAAATCATAATGCATATTTACTGATTCAAAATACCTCATTTATATGTAGGCTGGGCAAGAATCTTTTAGATCAATCACTAGATCATACTATAGAGGAGCTGCTGGGGCACTTCTAGTTTATGACATTACAAGGTCAGTATTGGATATGTTGGTTGACATGTAGGCATTACTTTTGTGCTTAAGAGTCATTTCAAACTCTATACAACCCTTTTACATGCGTCTACATTGTCTAGTCTTTGCCTCTTTTATTCACGTTAATAGGTTCCAGAGTTTCATTGTGCTTACAATAAAAGTTAATGTGAAATTCTGTGATGCTTCTGGCAGCTGATTGATGCTTTATTATTCCTTGTCCTTTTGAAATTATTGATTCTTCTATTTGAAAGCTGCATCCTATGTACTGGGCCAGTGATTCTTTTTGCTTATCTGCATTTTCAACTAATCGGGAAACTGGTCTAATATTTGAACAGGTCATTTGTTATGTTTGTATAAAATGACGATCAATGCCATCCAATACCAACTTCCTGGTTTTTATGCTTGCTTTATTTCCTAATCCTGCCCTTGCCTGAAAATAAGATGTTTTTGTTATCAGGAGGGAGACATTTAATCATTTAGCAAGTTGGCTGGAAGATGCCCGGCAGCATGCCAATCCTAACATGACAATCATGCTTATAGGGAACAAGTGTGATCTGGCTCACCGAAGGGCAGTGAGCAAAGAGGAGGGGGAACAGTTTGCTAGGGAAAATGGGCTTTTATTCTTGGAGGCTTCTGCAAGGACGGCTCAAAATGTGGAAGAGGTGATTCATATTCGCAGATTCAAAAGAGTTCATTGAATGTCCTTTAAAGCTTCTGGAATATCGTGATTTTCCATTAGAGTGTAAAGTAATTCTAAAGCATATTTTACAGGCTTTCATCAAGACTGCTGCTAAAATTCTCCAGAACATCCAGGAAGGTGTATTTGATGTATCTAATGAGGTAACATATAGCGTCAGTTTGATGGTGGAAAGTTTTATCAAGTTAACTGGGACAAATATATAGCATCACCATTATAAACCTAAATAGCATAGTTTGGATACTTGTTGCACAACCTGATTGGACGTGATTCTTTTCATTGCAGTCGTTTGGCATAAAGGTTGGCTATGGACGTCCACAGGGGCAATCAGGGGCTAGGGATGGAACAGTTAGTCAGAGCGGTGGGTGTTGCAGCTGATTTTGAGGAAACCAGTATTTGATCCTTTCGCCCCAGCTATATCTGCAATTTCATGTCGTCGCCGAATACACACCTAGAATTGTCTTGTGAATAATGGATAGCACTAAAGTTTCTTGTATAGCTCTAATCCCAAGCGTTCTCGGGACATTGTTTATTCTGTCGTTAGAAAAATTTACCGCCCAACTATGAAAGCCTGGTTGGGTATCATACGCCTTTATCAAATTTTCAAGTGCTAAAGTTGTAGCTCGTTTTACTCAATGACTCTTCTCAGTCGTTAATATCTGATCTGTCATCAATATGAAATAAATTGTTGAATAAAAAACAATTGAGAAAATTCAAACTTAATTCCTGTGTATTAGTTTTGAACGAAGTAAAGACATCGGATATTTTCGATTTTAGGATTTACAGCTCCCTAAAGGTGTCAAAATGGAATTCGCGTTAGAATGCGTACCTTGTCAATCCATCATCAATGGATGTAAAACAGCAAATTTACCAGGCTGCATTATTTACAAATTGGAACACTACTTCAAAGCTTTAAACATTACACAATAATTTAGCATCCTAATGATTGCAGAGATCTGTTTTGTTATAGTTTAATCTATGGATTCAACGCCCTTTTTTTAATTGACAGTGCCATCCTGTTGTATTCTTCAAAAAAGGTAAAAAGAAATTATTTAAGTAATGACGCCACTTCTGTGTATTTCATTATAATGTAGTTAATTATTATCAAGTCATGGTTCAATATGATTTTCGCAAATTAAATGTATGAAGGAAACCATACATACACTAGCTATGCTATTCTGAGGAACATAAATATTCTTCCTCTTTATTTCTAACTCGGCACATATAATTGGATCGTTGGAGTCCAGATAAACCATCATAGCAAACAGAATATTGATCAATTAGGCACCGTAATCTGGTACATCATCCACAAGGTTTTAAATTTGATTTTTCCTACAAAATCTTCGCTGGACGAAAAGAAGATCGTGTTAGAAGAATCACTGTTGAATCATGAAAATACATCATAAATAAGTCTAACACAATCAAACTGGGAAAGCGATGTCCATGCTGTCCTTAGGATTTAACAAAATTGGCTGCTGATTTCAAGACATGCATTACAAACCACCAAATACCTGCAAGAAGCATGGCGGAAAAGGTTCAATTTAAAAACCCACTATAGATTGCATGATGCTATAACACTCCTGCAAAAACACAGGACAAAACCAATAGCTATATCCAATAAACAAACTGACTTACCGCATCCAATACATCATCAGAGACTCTGGGTTTATTCCCGTCAGCATTAGCAGATATTGGTTTTTTCTGAGGGAAATTGCGAATCACTTTTGCAATTTTTCCTGAATTCTGATCAAGTTTTTGCTTCTGTGAAAGCGGAAAGAGATTGTTTCACTTAATAATTCTTCAAAATATATCATTTGTGCTAAAACTACAGAAACAAAGTATCACTTAAAAAAGTTTATAATCACCAATTTACCGTTAATGAATCAAGTTCTAGAAGTCAGCATGACAAGGCATATGCAGAGTAAAAACACGTTACCATCAACAAATGCGACAGCTTCTATTCTAACGGAAAAATAGCTCCAACCACAATTCAAAATTGGTCTTTCCCTACAACCGTTTAGAGTTTAGCCAAATTTTTACAAGCTCTACATTACAGACCAATGCAGACCAAAATAATTTGGATTAGATAATACATTCCCTCTGTCATTATTAGATTTGTGTTCCTGTAGACATAGTCATAATAAAGGGAGAAAGGCATACAAGGGCCACCAAAATATAGCATACCTTCCTTAGTCGTTCCTCTATAGAACTCAAAGCACGTGACTGATCAACCTTAGAAAGATAGAAATCCCTCTCTCTTTTGGCAGCAGAAAGTTCTACAGCTAGTTTTTGCTCCCGAACGGCTTTCTTGAAGGCTGTAATAAGAAATCAGGACATTGCTGTAAGCTCAGCTGCTTTAGCTCCGCTATATAAAAAGATAATACAGATAATAAAAACCCTACCAAGTTCTTCAGTCAGATCATCCCATTTGAATTTACTCAAGTATTTAATATTCCAAAGGTCATAGTAGAATGCTGATCTCTTCTTTCCCCCTGGATAAACAGTACAGACAGTTTTCACGATATCAATACAGACCAACATGATGGACAATCAAGCATTACTAACCATATCACATAGCGCAACATTGCCCCTGCAAGTTACGTTTTACTAACTAACCACTATTTGGCTTAGACTTGATTAGAATACATACCTATCTGTTCACCATTTAACATATTAGCAACTTTCTTTGCTACTCTTTTGTCAGTGAATTCAACCCATCTACATAATTGAAGGCGAAGCAAATGATCATATGCTAGTAGAGTAATGGAATTTTTAACGGTCAATTAAATATTCAAAGAATACCCTTCCGAAAATACTTGGTCTCGAGATCTACGCGATGACTTTGAAGGTGCTCGAGAAGCAGAATCTCCTATTGACAAATCCAGTAAAGTCCGTAGTTAGTCACAATCCACGTTCTGGCAAAGAGTTAAAAGAGATGCAACTAAGTATCAAAGATGAACTAGAGGAGGTCACCTTCAGGAGCAAGATAAATCCTTTGAATATCACCAAATTGTGAGAGAATGCGCCGAAGCTTTAGGTGGTCCATATGCGGCGGAATCCGACTCAAATAGCAGACGCCACGCTTATCGGCCTTCTCTGCCTCCTTCAACAACCGTTTCTTCATTTTATTTTTTCTACCATCCGTTTTCTCACCACTGGAATGTGAACTGGTTTTCTTCGTGGCATTAATGTCCTTTTCCTCCGGCGCAGTCCCAGAGTTGCCCGCCATAACTTTCTTCTTCCTCTTCTTCTTCTTCATTTGGGAACTCGCATCAACTTCCTGTGCTTCATTATCAATTGGAGAGGCCTCGCGTTGAAGAGTCTCGTCATCGGCCTGGAGATGTTCTCCCAGGGTTTCAGAGCTGGAAGCTTCCTTCGATTTTCGCTTTTTCATTTTACAACCGAATAATGAATTTTAACAGCTAGATTTGAGCGAAAGTGAATTTCAATCTGAACATAAGCGCGTGAAAATAGAGGGAGGGAGGGAGGGAGAAGTGAGTGTCTGTAAATTGTGAGTCTCCCTGCGGATGTCAAGGTTTTGAAGCCGGCTGCGGAAACAGAAGCGCAAGCTGGAGGCGAGGAGAGAAAAATAGGTGTTAGGAAGGTTTTTTTTTTTTATTTAAAAAAAAGATTTAAAAAAAAATGCCAATCTTGTTCTTCTCCGTCTTTTCTTTTCGGGAAAAAAAAAATTGGTCATTCCATCGTCACGCATGGTAAACAGCTTAACAGCTACCTCACTCCACAAGCCCTTTAAGTTTACTATTTCCCTTTTTTTAATTGACAAGGTCACTCCATTAATATAATATCAAGCCATATTATAATATTATTCTTAAACTCTGGTATAAATTTCCAACTTAAATCTCTTTAAACATTTAACTTTGGAAACATCTTCCCCTTTTTTTTTTTTTTCAATCCAAAACATATAAAATACTTGGAATAAATGTAAGCAAGTGTATGTTCGTACAAATTTCACAATATAAAATAAATAAACAGTATCATGATATATATATATATGATTTATAAATTTATCGTAACGATGCTTGTATTTAACAACAATAAAATAACTATAAATTCAACTTATATAAGATCCTATAAACAAATTTTAATTCAATGATACGAAATAATTAAGAAAACATTTTCTCTAAAAATTTGTGTTGTCAGAGGAACCAACACAAAACAAATAAAAACCCAAAAGGATGAGAAACCATCCCAAAAACTGTTCTTATATTTGTACAGGGATACTGTGAGGATTACTTACCCACGTAAAGTTCTGAAACAATAAGATGGGCTTTAGCCCCGTACTTTCACCCAACCCAAAAGGACATGTATGACAGACACAACCCGAGGGTCACGAATATCCAACACACCTCAAAGGCTACGAATAAGAGGCGCAAGTCAAAGGCTACGAATGGCAGTCGCTTTGTGCCTAGTTCACGGGAATAAAAAAATGCTCATAATCTTATAAGAAATCATTTCTTTCAACTTATGAAAATTCATCATGTATTTTGAAAATTCAACCTTCTAAAAGATTCTGCAAAATATTCATAAGCCTTACTTCAAAATTTCCTTTCACAGACTTTATAATCACGTGACTTAAATATATATATATATATATATATATTTGAACAAAACTGTCCCATGAACAATGAAAGACATAATCAGATCAACATTTCCATTAGAATGGTTTGTTATATACATTTTATTACAAGTCTATCTATCTCAAACATTTTCCCTGTTCAAGCGTGCATGAACACAAGCAGCATACATCAGTTTTCAATGTAGAAAAATAATCAACAATTCCCACATTATAATTTCACTTAAAACTAGTATCAACAGATTTCATTCCCAATTCCATAAGGCTTGGTTTCCTTTTCAAGTCACTTCAAGGGCATTCCACAAATCAACCCATAACCCTTAAAAAGAATTTAATCCATTCCTCTTCTGGTCATTATGAGCACAATTTAGTGTAAGATTATAGAACATCCAAATTTTACCGTTACACAAGATCTGCATCACAATCATACATAATAGGATCACAATTCTTTCTCACCATCGCAATAGTTTTAAAAAAAACATACTTGCAATTCTCTTCTCTATCAAACATTTCATCAAACACCTAGTGGGCACACAAGATTATCTCAAATACAAAACTCGCATTATGATACTTTAAACCTATCTAATTGTACATTTTAATTTTAATTCCCCTAGTAAACATTTTATCAAACATCTACCATACACGAATGACATTAGTAAAACAAGTTTCTTCCTCTCCTTGTTTTCTTTTCTTTTAATTCTCAAACTTACTTGAATTGTAATATCCTTCCTATACTCCTCCACTATAAACAGCCTCTAGTCTTCCCTCCCCTTCTCCCCCCCCCCCCCAAAAAAAAAAAAAACCAGCTGCAACAATAAATCAATACAAACTCTTCTCATCTGTCAAGTCGCGGCAAGAAGGAAAGAAAGAAGGAACCAAATTGCTCAGCCTTGTCCACACAAAGTAGAAGGGAAGAAGAATCTGAACTTACCAAACGCACAAGGAGAAATCGGCGAGAACAAGAAGGAGGAAGATGGGGGTTGCACCAGCTAGCAAGAGCAAACTTTCTAGCACCGCAGCAAAGGAGAAAGAAGAGAATAAAACGGATGGCTCTCCTACTGCCACAGAACAATTTCAGCAAAGGAAGGGAGGAGACCACTTGCGCAACAGAGCAAGAAAGAAACGAAAACGCAGCCACCAGAAATCAAAGCAAGGACCTTGAGTGCAGAGGAAGACGGCGGTGGAGCACGGCGACGGCAGGCAAGGATGGAAGTGGAGGACGACTTGAGTTTCACGTTCAGAATCGAGAAGCTACCTTCGGCGCCGTTCCCTCTTCCTTTCCTCTCGTCTTTGTCTGGAATGGGAAAAATACACGGGAAGGGAGGGGGGGAGTTCTCTCAAGTTAATTTTTTGGGAAAATACCCAAAAAAATAATATTGAATTTTAACATTTCAAATCAGAAATTACTATAAAAATATATTGTCATTTCTTTTTTGAATGTAGTCATTTTCTTTATAAGTGTAGTAATTAATACTGATTTAAAATTTTAAAATTCAACAATCATTTTTTAGAATATTTCCTTCTTTTTTTTTTACCTAATAAGTGCTTTAGGGTAATTTCATATTGCTGTTTGGGGGGACCCTTACTTGGCACCTAGAGGATTCGAATTCAAAAACTAACATCAAACAACGCGGGTGTTTGGATAGAAACCAAATCATAGTTTTAAAAATATTTTTACGATTTACGAAGTAAATATGTAGAGAAATTTGTCTCATTTTGTGAAAAAGTGCTTTTTAGAAGGACTTTTAAGGATTGTCAAACACCCCCAACAAGTAATGTTCTACTAAATTACCAATCCGCTTTGTTAAAACTTCACAGCCAATAATTAAAATATTTGTTAAGAATCATATGGTAAGTTTTAGAACCACTACATCGATATACTTTTTTCTGGTACAAATCGATATAATAAATCTTTTTTGCTACAACAAATCAATTTTTTTTTCAGTACAACAAATCCATGTACATTTTCTTTTGGTACAAAAAAATTTTAGGTAAAGGTTCAAGCTTAACCCAAGGCAGGATGTTTGAATGGCTCCTCCTAGGTGATATCAATGATGGGCAGAGCGAGCAAATAAATTTAATGAAGGCAGCCTGTGCTCTCATGCATTGTGCTGATCTTTTCTGGGTACAGATCATAACGAGCAAATACGGTTGGAATGGTGAACCTAACCAGCACATGAGAACTAAGAATGTGTCGCACTTCTGGCGAAGTATGGCAACTATAATAGAAGACATGAACTTGGGGATCCAATGGAAAATAGGTAACAGTGAACGAATCAGATTTTGGAAGGACCACTGGGTGGGAGATCTTGGCCCCTTACAGCATTTAGCCTATACACCCATACACGAGACGGATAGACAAAAGAAACTACTTGATTTTGTAACTACGGATGGAAGATGGAACTGGTAGGAATTCTCTGAACACCTCCCGCAAGATATCCTATGCCAAATTTCAGAGATGCGCCCCTCGAACCCAACGGAGGGAAAAGACAGCTGCTAGCCTTGACTTAGCCTACCAATTGGTTATGGAGAATGAATGGGATGAAGAAAATCCAATTTGGAAATTAGCATGGAAATGGCCAAGAATACAGAGAGTAAGATCTTTCCTCTGGTTAGCTTTAAGTAACAAGCTCCTAACTAATGCTAAACGTTACTGACAACACATGACCCATAGCACCCAATGTGAATCATGCGGGCACGGAGTCGAAGACTTAGACCATGTCTTAAGGAGCTGTCATTGGGCTCAGGTTTGCTGGAGCCTTGTAATCCCCTTGCGTCACCTTTCGTGTTTTCTAAGTATACCCTTTGGAAGATGGTTGCAGAAGAATCTGGACACGAGTAAGAACAACCTGAATTGGTGTGTGAGGTTTGGTCTTCTCTGCTGGAAACTCTGGAATGCCCGCAATGGAAGACTTTTCAATCATGAAGTGGCCCAGCCTCCAAGACTAGTTAATGAAGTTTTTTCTTTGACTGATCAAAATTATAAGATTTGCTGAGTTTCGTAAACAGCTCATTATGTAATCTCTTGATAGTTTCTTACTTTTTCTAAAGTTCCCTCTGTAAGTTTGTTGCTATTATTTTTCAATAAATTCCTTTTCACTCAAAAAAAATGATGAGCAGGGCAAACCTATATTATACCATCAGGCGTTGACCTAAACACCCCCATTCTAGGATACATAATTACGCATATAATTGTTCCATTTTATTCGGCCTAACTTGAGCCTTTGAAAGTTTCTAGGTCCAAAACTTTAGACGATTTGGATCAATCAAACCTTTCCCAATCATCTAAAAACAATTAATTTATATTATAAAAAAATTTCCGTAGATTTATTTAGCTTTCTACTAATTTTTTCCATAAAAGGAAACTAAACAAAAAGATAGCTAAAAGTCATTGTCAATAACCTGACTAATACCAATTGATGGATACCTAAATGGAATAAAAAATTCTACCTCAAAAGTTAAATATTGAGATGAAAGAACTAACTCGACTAAATATCAGGTTGAGCAGAGCATTCTATTCTGTTCAACGTTACCCTATGCCATCCTCTTGTGACTTGTGGTAGAACTTGCCAAGGTTGTCCCATTCATCCTCGCAACTCGCCGGGTCCTTGGGAAAATACAAATTGTCCATTGTATCCGATACAAAGTGCCACACTTCTCCTCTATTGTAGGGGAAATGAGGCCCCGAGGGCAACAAGAAATTCGGTTTTCTCGTCAGTCCAGCGGTTACCAACCGACTAACAAATGAGAAAATAATCGAATATAGATCACAAAGAATTGGCGGTTACTCTCAGTACAGCAGACACTTTATAAAGATTAAGTGCTTGATGATAATAGCAGGATGAGTGTTCTATTGCTCTCCATAATTTCTTCCCCCAGCTACACATTTTTTCCGTCAAAATCCTAAGATTACAGGAGGCTTTGAATTCTATTAGTTAAAAACTACTCTTCCAGTTCCAAATATAAAACCCTTATACTATTTAGGACCGGAGGAGTATTAACTACTAAATTATGATCTAATAATATTACATAAGAAGCTACACATTCGTTTTAAAAAATATAACAATCACAATCTGGTAGTTGATATTTTCCAAGGCAAAAATGCACATTTCGCGCTTTAACTTGACACAACATTTCAGTACAATCTCTGAATTCTTACTTCCACAATTTACACCATTAGAGTGAGGACTTCAATCAATGTGCGGATGAGAAAGGAGAGGGTTCAAGTACCATGCCCTCTACCCAATCCACAAGCCATTTTTTCTCTCTGACCCAATTACAAATATCTATTCCGTCACAACAGTTTGGCCTCTAATATTCCCCTGTTTCGCCGAGTTCTAATATTACGTTATCGGATACATATCGCCTGCAAAAATTTAGATTCAAATTGAAAATGTAATATACAAAACTCACGCTACCTAATCTCCACCATCAAACGATGAAACAGTTACTACATGTTAAGAAAGAGTCTCCGAATAATATTAGGAGGAAATGAACACCGAAAACAGCGCCTACATTCATTTAAAAGTTAGCGTCCCAACCTGGCGCAAACCGATCCAAGCCCCACACTAACTCAAGCATCAATTTGATTAATCATTTTTCCATTTCTGGATTCTCTCGTCAAATACCATGTCCAGAAACATCTAGCAGAACTCATTACAACCAAGGAGGTGTTGAAATCTATCCAACTTATGTTCTCGGACCAAATCTTGCGCGAAGGTTGTCACAAGTTCTAGACACCAATAGAAGTCTGGGGTCGTCTTCAGGAATCTCACGTTCCTGCAATTCCAAAAATTAAAGATTCAGTTTACATGTAAGATGGCTAATCAGCTACTATACCCAACCGAGATAGAATTACACAATTCTACGTAGCAAGAACAAAAATGAATTCACAAACATCAAGAAATTTTGAAAGCACATAGAAAATTGAATCAGTATTGAGGCCACAAACTCACTTTTAACCCCTGGTAATAGGCTTCCACGGCAGGGAATGAAGGGACCATTTTACGAGCATGCATCAGGTCCCATATGTAGTTAGCAGTGGTATATCCCCCAGTCTGCAATTCAAGAAAAAATCACCCAAATAAACGTGCAGCAAATATAATAGACTTCCTCCAAAGCCCAACAAAACAAGTAAGAGTACCTTTTCACCAGCAGCTAAAAGCAGGAGATCACTTCCCATCTTGGGACTCAAGAAAAAGTTCCTTGAAACCATATTTACCTACATATGATGGATTAATAGTCAGCTAATATTCCAAATAATTTGCGTTGATAGAATGACTTAAGTTAGAGCAACGTACCAGCGTGTCTTGAGCAATTTGCATTCCCTTTGGAGTGTGTCCAACCATCGCACCCTCTGCAAGTGTCTGCACCAATGATGGTTTGCATCAATCAATATGCCTTTTTAGCAAATCATGGCCCAAAAAAAAAAGCGCACTGATTTAACAGAAACTGACTTCAAAAAGAAATTAAAGCCTACAACAGCCAAAATTGCACTTACCAAGAGTACACACTAAAAATCTCGGCAAAATATACCACAAATGGAAATTGAACACTAGATAGCGGGGAAGACAAGTAGCAAGTAGAGATTGGCTGCCTCCCTTGCTATATAACACTACCTATTGCTACAAATATGCACGTAATAGAAAGAATAGAACTTGCAGATCATATCACCTCAACTAAAGCAGACAGAAACCTGCTTATATAACTAACAGCATTGTGCAGCTATGCAGTATATATCAGATGAATATGCTAAACATCAAGTTCTCTCAAACAAAGAATGATATATTGATATTTGCTCCCTAACCACTGCCTAGCAGAGAGCACATGGAAATAACGGGGAAATAGCAGCTACTGCAAAGTAGACAGATTAACTACGCAGAGAAGACCCTACATATTCAGGACCAAAGACAATATAAGATGTATCAGAGTTCATGAAAAGACTATCCTGTCCCATGGTAGATCCAAGGGTCAAATCCAAACTCACCACATACAGCTCTGCAGCAGGAGGCTTTCCTGATTTCATGTAGTCTTCGAATGTTTGAAGACCACGATCAAGGTCTCCTGCATGTAAATAGCACCTGTATAAAATCAATAATCAGAGATAAACTGCATTATATAATAATAGATTTGACAAACATATACCAGGGGAATAAAAGAACAGCAAGGTGAAAGGCCTGCCACATGATTAGTATTGGCTCTAGAGCATATTTAAGTGTTGGAAGTCTAAAAGAACCCTTCCACATTATTAATATTGATATTGGCTCCAGAGCATCCATTCTCAAGTGGTTCAAATGATTAGCGCATGAAAATTAACATGAGCTGCCACACTGCTTTAATTAATTGACAAACGAATGCAAAGATGGAGTTAATAATCAAGAAATACTCACCTAATTACTTGCATGACAATATAGGTATCAGGAATTTTTCCTTCCTTTTTTAGCATCTCTAAAAGAGTATCTGTCAGCTGCCACAATCAAATATAAAGATTTGAAATTTTACAAATATGAGATTCTGAAATAAAGATACGTAATTCTTTTTAAGCAATATGAATATGAATATCAAATAAATAAAAAAACTCAAGTCATGCAGGAACAGGCAGATAAAGTCCAAAGTGAACCAGATGAAGCAATTGTGCTTGATTATCAAAGGTTCTACAAGTCTCATTTTTTAAGACTACTAACTCTTTTCCTTGGAGCCAACCAGTCTACTAACTCTTATTCAATAAACATCGTGATATGACAAAAGCAACGCAATGATGCAGCATATTCACGCCATATAACCAAAGCAATGGCCAATTCATCAATGGATTCTCAGCTCATTATGGGATGGGTAACAGTGATAGGTCATGTTCCAGTAGAATTCACACTTCATAGAGTAAGCTAACCACCAATTGGAATCCCTAACTCAGTTGCCTCTCTTCTGTTAACTTACCCAGTGTCCAACACATGCATGCCAAACCATGAGAAATGACTTCCTTTAATAAGATGTACCATATGCGCATTTTTGGGGTGTAACAAACAAAACCAGAGTAGCATTACCCTGATTTCCATTGCTGCTAGTTACCAAGATTTCAGGAGTATTTGGATGGAATCAAAACCATGGTTTCAAAAGTGTTTTTACGGTTTACAAAGTAAATATGTGGAGGAGTTTGCCTTGTTTTGCGAAAAAATGCTTCTGAGAAGCACTTTTCGAGGGTTGCCAAACACCCCTCATGTTGTGCACAGAACTAAGGCAATGAGAGACAGAAGATAGAGCAAGAACTATACATCTGTTCGATAAAAATAGCACACACAAACACAATGACTTGTACCTCAACATTTTTTAGATCAGCAGAAGCATGAAACGCAGTATGATATGCAGTTAATTGTCTAGCCAAAAATCCAGCACGTCTATGAACATATTCTGCTGTTGGCAAGTTGTACAACTCCTCATCTGAAACACCCATCATAACATTCTCAGCACTGGCGCTGTCACTTTCAACTGAAGACCACATCTTTGATCGCTCCACAAACTCAACCACCTTTTTAATGCAATTATAACTACAAGATTAAGAATTTCTGAAGAACTTGAACATCAATACATAGCAGCAAAGAGAAAAGATTCACGTTACTTTTGTGGCAAAATCATCTGTCACAGGTGTCTTGTTCTTGTGTGCAGCTATAAGCCCAGCATAGCAAAATTTGTTTAATCCAAGACCCGCTGCAGTCATATCACGGACAATTGCATACCTGGATCAATAAGAATTGACATTGTATTTGTTAATACCCCATGGAATTTCAAAAGAAGAATATACATGGTAGGCTGCCAGGCTGTTAACATACACTCGATCTAATCGGCCATCAGCTGCACAAGCATGTAGCAAGCAGATGTAGGTTTGCACATTGGGTTTTACTTCCATGTGCTTCATCTCCTCCAAAATCTTCATTCATAAGGGGTAAACAAGAAAAATTATACATCAAGAGACAAGAGACTAATAACCCCTTCTAATGTTGCACAATTCTAAGGCATGTCAACAAGTTGACAGGGGCTCATACCTGTATAGCCTTATCAGAGTTCTTGCATTTCCCACAAGTTGAAATGAGAAAGTTGTATAAAGTAACCTATGACATCCATTTTACACACGTCATAGACATAATTTTGAGACCCTAAAAGGGAGTTTATATAATTAACAGGCAACAAGTTTTGCAGGGCACACGGCATTCATTTGACAGGAACCAAGTGATTCATGAGAAAACAAAAGAAACAATTATATTGCTCAACTCACAAAAAAGGAATAGAGTGACTTCGTATGGGAGTTGAAAAGCTGATTGGCAATGCAGTGCAACCATGAAAACACTCATGGGCATCGTTGCTACAATTTAATTCACAAATGCCTACCTTTGGCATCGCCAAAAGTGGTTCTGCTCTCAACTCAAGTCACATTTCTTTTTAATTGAAGTTGCCTCACCAAAATAATCAAACTATCTTCCAATCCATGCAAACAAGAAAGTATAAAGAATAACAAAACATGCGTAGCTAAATGGTCGTTCAAAATACATAAACTTAATAAAAAAAGACAAATCATAAAGGAAACAATAGATTTGCATATCCACAAGCTATTTTAATTGGGAGAGGGCAGTTATCCTAGCGCGGTCAAAATGTTTAGGTTTACAATAGAAAGTTGTTAGACATACTTTGCCAGGCATAGCGCAGAAGTATTCAGAATATCAATATATCCAGTTTATATCACTCATGTCGTTCAAAAATCACAAAAATTACGAGTAAACGTCAAGCAACCAAATTGGCTCCTTCCTATCGTGGATTAAAGAGAACTAAGTATCCAGTTTTTAGCAAAAAATTCGAATGCTTAGGAGTTGGTCCAAAGAAAGGCTACCGATTACATCATTTAAAGCCAGTTAGATGGCAGGAACCAAAAATAAGAGCGCAAGCAAACACATGGAGAAAGAGCAGAAGACATAGATTTCAGTTACATACATCAGGGGTCAAACCCATGACTTTCATTTGATCCCTGAAGAAGAAAGCGTCTTGCAAACGAGAGCCTTTCATGGTTCCAACAATGAACGAATGGAAAGTGTCCCGAGAAGGCTGCACTCCATCAAGCATCATATCATCATACACATCCCTCAACAAGAAATGCCTATTAAAGAATTGAATACACAGTGAACCAGATATAGAAATTGGAAGCGTGAAGGCTTTCGATTAAGTGAAGCTCTGAAAGATAAAAACAGAGGACCTTCTTTGAGCTGTAATAGAGCCCACCACAGTATTATACTCGGAAACATTATTCGCATAATTTCTTTTAGAGTATTCTTCGGTGGAAGCAGCAAAGTATCGGCGTCCGACGACCCGGCCCAGTGATCTTTGGTGGCCTGAAAAAACAAGACAGGCACAAGCTCAGATATGCGTATCGACGAATCCGTAATGTGTGGCTGATCTTCTTCCAGTCACATCTCTGTGTAGAAATGAATGGAGAGGAGGTGGAGTACCGATGATGGAGCGAAAAAGCTTCATGGTCGGGGAGCAATAGAAGAGTCCTGGCTCTCTGCTTGGCGTGTCCCCCGAACGGAGTAAAACCCTGAGATTCTTGCTGTCTTTTCCGGTCGAAACTTCGAATGGTTTGTTGGGCTCATAATTGCTCGGGAAACTTTTCCCATAAGCCCAATGATTGGGCCTGTGACCCATGTTGCATTTTAAGACTTTTCTCCCACAAAACAAAGCTTACTAGCTTAGAAATTAGAATCGGATCATCCTAATTTTATTTTTATTATTATTATTATTTTTGGTGAAGATTATTATTATTATTATCATTAACTTTTATGTCTGAGGGTTTCGACTCCTCGTGTTGAACTTCGTGTATATGTACCTTTTTTTTCCCCTTTTTTAAATAACTCCCTCATTCTTTAGTAGTAGTAGTTAATTTGAGCACAGTCGATTATCCTTTGTAGAGATATTTTTTTGAGTTCGACCTCAACATACTTCTCAAAGAAAATTAAATTATTTCCCTTCAACTCAACCATAAATAGGCTTCATTTAACAGAATAGTCAAATCCATTTTTTTGTGATCATTATAACCAATTCTCCATTTTATTCTAAAAGTGAGAACAGATGCAGAAGCCTAGGAATTGCTGCCCCCAAGACTTCGTTCATCATTTGAACGCGTAGTACATCTGTGTTTTGATTCAAAGGGCAGAAAATCCACGTGCCCAGAAGCAAAAGCACAAAAATAAATATTTGATATTTTCTGTAACTGAGCTTGGTGTTATTGTAATGCAAGGCCGCCGCGGCAAGATGGGGAAAGACGTGTGAGCGGTGAAACAGTGGAAGGGAGCCCCACGACCACAACAGGGGGCATGGCCTTCCACTTGCCACATAATCAATAAGCTGTCAGGCGCAAAGCGCGTATGATTCAAGTCCGAAAGACCAACTGATTTCCCCCATCTATTTCCCATTCGACCAGTTCATTTCAGTGTTTCATCCTATCAAATTGCCATTTTCTTCTAGAATACAATAAAATACGCTGCTGTACAAGATTGCAACTTCCACTTTTGATCCCTAAGAACCAATATTCAAATGCATCGACAACAAGTCTTATCTTGCTAGATAAAATCGATTGCATGAATCAAGCAATAAAATATGCTGCTGTACAAGATTGTAACTTCCACTTTTGATCCCTAGGAACTGATATTCGAACAACGACAAGTCTTATCTTGCTAGATCAAATTGACTACATTAACCAGTAATCACACAACACAACTACGTTCCATGAACAACCAAATCAAATAATAAAAAATGAATATCTAAAAAGAATACAAAGAATTTTGGGTAACACGATTGAGCCTAAGGCCTAGATCCGCCTTTAGTAAAGCTTTATTCGGGTACTGATAGGGCTCCTACAGATGGGGCACGTTTGAAGATCTGATCCACATTCACAACACGTCTGCCAAACAAGACATAAAACATAAGGGGTCAAATGCCATTCTCTTCATCTGGTTCTAATCATTCTCCAGTATGAAAGACATTGATAACTGTTTTTACCTGATGACCGCATCCAAAGGCCATGTCCTTTGGGTTGCTCAGACATATGGGACAAAGCTGCACAAGACCAGTTCAATGTGTTCAGTTGCAAAGCCACTGAATAATACTCCATCATTAAATACCACATTTTCAACATTATTGAAAATTAACAGCAACGGAAATTTCAGATTTAGTCGCATCCACAAATATAAAACCAACACGCAACACAAAAAGGAACGGGGCTGGGATGATGTAAAATTAATTATACAAAGAAAACACGAGATATTGATTTAGCACGCTAGTTCCACTAGATGCCAACTATAACAGGCCATTTGGTTTGAGGGATGTTACTCCCCTCCCCTCATTTGGTTAAACACTTGAGGGAAGTGGGAGGATTTGAAAGGACGGGCTTGCTATGACCGAATTGACCTCAATGATTTCTGAGCTTCCGATATTGCCCTTATATGCAATTAGAGAACTCGTGCCTCTCTGCACAGCCTTCTTCAATTCTTCATCAATGCTACTCCAGACCGTGTTTCTCATGTCCAGCTTCCTAAATTGTTGATATTTTGTTGGATGCTACATGCTTATACATGGTTTATATTAATACTTTGCTTTATATGTCTTGTAGTTTCTCAAATACACCTTCAATAACATTGTACTCCTCCGGTCCTTAATATAAGACCCATTTAACTAATTTGATTAGATTAAGGAAGTTAGGTAAATTAGTTAATTATAAAAAAAAAGTGACACTTTTCCTAAAACACCATAATCATCTTTCTTAATACCCCAACTCCCTCTTCTACTTGATTATGGTTGAGGGAGTATCCATAAGGGTAATTTAGAGAAAATTGATAAATATGATAAATAGATCTTATATTTAGAACCAAAACTAACTCAAGAATTGAGTCCTATATTAAGGACCGGAGGAGTAATTTTTATTTATAATAACTAGTATATGTACACTTGCTTTCTACCAAAAAGAACACATATGTTGCTTTATTAATTTTTTAAATACATTACTAAAACACTTAGAATACGTCACAATAAAATTACATATTACTAAACATCTAGAGAGAGAGAGTTTCGATTTGACATGGGTATAATTGTTCATTCAGTATAACAAAGGTGTTACGGCTACAGCCATATCTCATAATCCCCAGTCCAATGACTTTCAATCAACCTTGGACCAACCACTACAAATCTTGCCAAGGCTTCTTGTATCATCAACAGTTGCTGAACTGATTTATGAGCAAAAGAACGTGGCTATATGTAACTAGAGCTGGAAATTAGAGTTGGCTTTTCATGGGCTAAAGCCTAAAGAGCCCTTTTCATGTAAAGGCAATACATAAAAAGCCTTTTAGTATAAAATATAAACACAATTTCAAGTAATTCGTCACAGAATTATCATAAAACATATTTGCTCCAAAAAAACCTGAGCTTTGGACGCATATGATTCCACTTGATGGACTTCGTACCTGATTGTCATAAGTGGAGCTCGAAGCAGGAGGAGCTGTACCCACTGAGATGTTGTCCCGATAAGGGGGAACACTAGGCTCAAAACTAGCAGGATGAGAAGGCTTTGAAGCGCCCAAAGATGCAGAACCATACGTGGGTGGTGGGAGGGGAACTCTCCGAGGAGCATTGTTTCTCTGAATATTGCTGTGGATCAGTGAATGCATATGACCACAAAACTTCTGTCAGAAAATGAAGCCAATAAGCCTAGAGCCAACAGGAACAGAGAGGAGTCAAATACTTACCCCAGCAGATTAAGTTCTAAAGCTGCCTTGTACTGCGAGGGAATCTCCATCAATGCTGCAAGAGCAAACGCTGCCTCTTTTCGTGATGGGGGAATGTTCTTTGACATAATCTCTGTGAAATTCACAAACTAGAGAGGAATAAAAAAGGCAGTAGATCAGATCGCAAAACTAGTAACTTATAGCAAGTCATAAAGATGATCTTCAGTGCCATAATCACTTACCTGAAAGTTATCAAAGGCCCGAGCTGGAATATTATCATCAAACTCCTTCATCATGTCCCATGGCCCATCTCCAACTCCAACCAATATGATTGAAAGGGGAAATTTGCTGTGACATTGTAGGCATATAAGACCACAGATATTTGAATTTGAATAAATAAAAACTAGGGCAGAAATTACATAATCACCTGGCTTCAACAATGGCATCCACAGTCTTCTGCTCCTGTGGACTTAGCTTGCCTTGTTCAAGATCAACACTTCTTGTTACCTGAGGCAAAGTCATTGTGTGTGAGCTCAGTTTACAGCAATAAGAACAATAATAGTTGGTGAATAAACAAAGAAAAATGACAAATAAGTCAGATGGATTTAAACATTATCCTCTTAATTAGTGGAGACCCAGTCTCAAATATGTTGGTTCCCCTTCTCAATAGCTAACTTTTGAGGAAGGGATTCTCACTCTGTTTGGTGCTCATCAGTAACTAAAACTTTGCCCGCCAAAAGAAAGGGAAAAAAAAAATAACGCTGTCTATCCAGGATTATAATACCTGGCCATCTGCAATTATCACCAAAACATGGTATTGGCCACCACTCTGCTCAACAATGGTCATGGCCATTTCAATTACTGGTGCAAATGAAGTAGGACCTGAAATAATAATCACAAGTATTGACAGCTTTAATACTAGATATCTAAATCCATAATAACAAGTAAAACATGTATAACGAGAAAAAGAGAGTTTAAGAAATATAACCAGCAAGTCGAAGCTGAGGAACAATGTCCCTATACCGACTCAACACTTCTTCAAATCCATTACAAAATCTTTCATCTGAATAGAAACTGAAGACGTCTTGATCATGGGTCGATGCTGCCATGACATTACAGAAACACCTTTTATCATCTCTAAACTTCAAATAGAAGTTGATTAAAAAAAAAGTCTGTTACTATAGACTGTATGAACTTTAAGAAAGATACCATCTCCAAATCCAAAACAAGGAATCAAATTATCCTCATCAAATGCTGCCAAGGTCTTGCCAATGATGGATATTGCCTGTTCATAGGGATTTAGATCAGTCCCAATGTGATGCAAGCTTCTTCTGTTAAATGATTGCTTTCCTAGAAGACCAAGAAAAAGATATTTCAATACAACACATTTGATTAATTCCAACTTCAGTTTAAATCACAGCATGACTTAACCTGTCCACTCATTGCTCTTGGTGAAATCGATACCAACAATAAGATTGGAAGACTCAAGGCCTGCACAGGCAAGAGCTTCGGTTACCTGGAACAGAAAATATTCATAAAAACGTGTTTTTATGTTCAGTGAATTTAATTCAATTTATTCGAATGGATATACGTGAAAGAAGAATGAACAGAGTCCTCCAAATTCAATCATATCATATTACTTAGAAAGAACCTTCCGTTCTACCAAATTAAATATACCAATCAGTCAAACAGTAAAATTTTAAGCTCTTCTACAAGACTCATAAGTGCCATAACAAATTGACAAACAATAAAATGATCCTCAGTCGTTTGAGTTGTGCACAATTCAGAAAGGGCGATAAGTGGTGAAGGAAAGTACTACAAATCTAGGCATGTATATAAACAAGTCTCATGCTCAGCTGAAGAAAATCGATGTATTTCTTACCTCCTCCACGGAATTATAATTATCAGCGATCCTAGAGTACATCCTCTCGAACTTGTTCCGGTTGTCGCCAGCCACTCTACCTGTAGCATAAGGTTCATGACCATAGTTTTGTGGAGGAGGGATGTAATATTGCTGCGTAGAATAAGACTGTTGAGGCTCATAAGGCTGACTTCCGTCGTAAGATGATTGAGGATATGAGCTCCACGACGAAGACGAAGTTGAACGATAAGATGAACCTCGCTCCCAACCCTCCTCCTTGGAACTTTTGCCACCCATAAACTCTAAGCCAAGTCTCTTAGAAAAGAAGGTTCCTAACCCGCTTCTCTCCTTCAAGGCACGAAGCAGTAAATCAACCCAACCAATCCGAATCAACAACAAACAAGCAAAAAGAGGATGAATCCCAGACAACGACAGGCCTAATATCAAATGCTTTGAAATGACATATATTAGGGGGTTGAAGCTCTTCCTTTCCAAGCAAATTCTTCAATTGTTCGATGAGCCGACTTCTTAACAAAACCCACCGACTCAAGGAAATAGGCCCCATTAGGTTAGCAGAAAAAGTCGCCAGATGTATCAAAGAAGCCAAGTGCCTCCAAATACAATCAACACACGGCACTTTGGTCTGTCCAAATACTAATACTAGTCTACGTTCAGTTCAACTGGTAAAGGATAAAAATAGATAAAATAGCATACCAATTCCTCCGATAGGCAATTACATATTTTCTACAGAAGCAATAACAAAAAGAGTCAGAGCCAGATATAAACATTACTACTAGCGACAGTTTACCACAACTGCACAATTAACCAAAATAAGCATAGAGGAAAAAAATCAGCATTGCATTGCGCAGCATGAGATCAGAACTCTGCTTGCTTGATACAACTCCTCATTTGGGAAGGCGAGATGAAGAAATATCCTAGGCAATCAATTTCCATAGAGAAAATACCTGAACGATGACGATGTTAACGAGAGTAGTCTAGAAATGAGAAGAGTCCACGCGCGCCGATCTGCGGAAGAGTATATGCGGCGGTAGATCTATTGACAATTTAAGATCCGAATTTCAAATGGTTCTTCGAATGAGTAAGAAGGTTCTGGCCAGGGAAACAAAAAAAAAAAAGAACGAGTAAAAGGAAACAACAGAAAAGCGGGACCACTTTTTCCGCCGAAATCAAAAGAGGCCTTCACGTGCACGTTTCCGCCGCCGACGGTCGTACCTCACCTGCTTGCTTGTGTTCATTATTTTAATATTTTAGATTTTAGATGGATTATTTTATTTTCTCAACAGTTTCCCAGAATTTTCTAGAGCTTGTTTTTAAATTTCAATTTTTTAAACCATATTGATCTTATTCTGGCCAAAAAAAAAAACCATATTGATCTTATTGTTAAAATGTGGTATAGGAAGAATAACTGGGAATGGGAGTCTCATCACAGCAAAACCATGTGCCTGTTGGGCAACGCGATTGAGGAGGAAAAAATAACGGTAACAAGTTAATTTGTAAATTTAAAAGTTATTTATTACAGTTTTTGAGATTTACGAGTCAAAAATTATTTTTTTAAATATAATTATAAAAATATCTAAAACTTACTTATAATTTATTCAAAAACAGCTTTTTAAAATTAAAAGGTATTTTTACCTTTATATTTATGCTTTCCTATATATTTTTTATACTTCCCAATCAATTCTTAGTTATTAATTTTTAATGTTCTCTTAAATGAAAATGATTTTTAACAGTTTTTATAATATTTTTAATTTTTAATATTATTTTCTATTTTATGTTTGCATAAATCATGTAGAGTATATCATCTAATTAATTATGTAATATTATTGGGTTTAAAAAATTTTCACATTATTATGACTTCTAATTTAAATTATTATATTTTATAAATTCATGTTTTTAATTATTTTTCATTATTTAATAAAAATTATATCTATTTTGGTTATTCTACAAACTAGAATTACTTATTCAATTATAATCCAAATAACTTTTTTTATTTTACAAACTAATTTTTATAAAAATCAATCCAAACATAAATCACATTACTCAATCTCACTTTTATTCAATCTCACTTTTTTAAAAGTCAGTTTGAGAATAATTATTTTTTCTACTGTTAACCCAAATAGACCATATATATAGAGTATATACGATAATAAGTTTGGTGACAAAAATTGTTACTTAAACCTTTTCTTAGGATTACATTTATCTCTTGACTTTTATAGTGTTTTTCTCAAAATATAAGTAGTTTTTATTCCATTATTAGAAACACTATATAAAACCCATCAAAAGAGAAATACTACGCGAGGATTGAGAAAAAATTTTAAAAATAAAATCATATCAACTTTCTCAATTACACACGTGTCTTATTTTTGAAATATTAATATTCAATTATAAATTTATAGGAAATAAAAAAGCTCACAACAATATGTGATTTAAAAATTTAAAATAATAAATATAAAAAGGTTGACGTAATTTTTTTTTTTTTAAGGTAAAATGACCGTCCAAATTTTAGGCATTAGCTGCCAAGGAAAAAAAGAAAGTTTAGGCATTAATGGTATACTCTTCCGGTCCTTAATATATGATCTAATTATTGAATTGATTTTGGTCCTAAATATAATACATACTTCTTATATTTATCAATTTTTTTAAATTACCCCATGAATACTCCTTCGATTATAATCAAGTAGAAGAGGAAGGGAGGACATTAAGAAAAGTGATTAAGATATTTTAGAAAAAACATGTCATATTTCTTATAATTAACTAATTTACTTTAACTCTCTTAATCTAATCAAATTAGTTAAATAAATCTTATATTAAAAACGGATGAGTATCTTCAATTCTTCATGTCTGAACTTGGAAAAGTAATGACTTTGCTGATGCGCGCTGCATCTTTTTCCTCCTTCTTAATCATATATACTATTTTGTTAATTTGTTCTTCTTTAATCATACGTCACCTATTTTGCCAATAAAAATTGATATAATTGATAAAGAACCGGCTCATGATTTATAAAATCGTGACTCACAAGGTTGAACTCTATTGTTAATATGAACTTAAAAGCATGTTTTGACTTTCGTAAATCTTTATAACTCAAGTTATCTAAATTTTTTTTATATATAAAAAAATACATGACGATATATTAAAATCCTGCACATGATTCTTATCTATTTTTAAGAAGGGAAAAGAAGAAATATTAGTTTTACATTAAAACACTGACCCAATTTATTCAAATGCCATAAATGCGAATATAATCTGTAAATATTAACTCCCATTAATGAGCTTTTAACGTGATGGGTGTATATGAGATGGAAACGTCACGACACATCAGGACTCGTACAAATAGCGAGGCGCACATGATTACAAAATACATAAGCCGGTTCAAGAAAAAATAATTTGGTTTATAATATGTTATGTGAAAAGTAATCAACACTTGCGTATCAGTTTTGTATACGCAATTGATACTTAAACATGACCTTTTATATTCTTCTTTCTTATTCATAATCTCATTTAACATGAATAAAAAAACAACAACAAACCTTATCCCACTAGGTGGAGTCGACTACATGAATCACAACAACAAGCCTCATTTAACATGAATAAGATTAAAAAAATTAATTTGGGACAGATTTAATTAGTTTATTATTACTTGAGAATTCTAGCTCCCTTTATAAGCTTAAACCAACAGTCATACCCTTTCGTGAGAAATAAGGACACATGGCTTGGTTGGCGAAATCCCTCGCCTTGCTAGTACGGACAGCAGTGGTTATTGCGGGTAGCAAAGCTCTCTTCCTCTTCTCAGGCGCACCTCCAAAGACGATAGCACAAATCATCAATAATTTCACTAATAATCCACCTCAGAACTTGACGCTTCGCTGCAAATCTAAGGAGAACACAAGATCAGTGTCGGAGCAAAATATGAGTTCAAATTCAGATCCAGCCTTTTTAAACGGACAACGTTGTGTTTTTGCAATTTCAGGTGGCCATCCGACGCTTCGTTTCACTACTTTGACATATATGTTCAGACAGGGAACGAGGCTAGTTGTTTGGAGCAGAAAGGCGCTATACGATGTTCCTGAAAGACATGAAAAAGAGGTGCGTGTAAATATGATAGGGTCCTGAAGGCCCATACTAATTGTTATCAGTGGAACCACCCCCCCGCTATGTAATTTTACCAGCCACCGCACCCGGCTAAAATGGCTCGACGTCACGGAGGTAATATAATTAACTGTGCGTTTCATAGATCTTTCCCAGAAGCCGAAATGTATATATGTTTGCAAAATTCTGCTTTGGAACGCTCGATTGAGAAACAAACACTCCCGTCGATCCAGCTTTTCTGAAAGCCATAGGTCTGTGTCTAATTACCAGGCATAGTACTGTATGATTAATTACTAATATATTAATGACGGAGAAATTCTTACGCTCATTCGTGGTCTATCGAGTTTAATAGCACTAGCTCATATAACTTTATACTTACATGGCATCATAGTCAGAGAAATGAAAACCAATAGGTCCTACAAATTTTTATATTTAACAATTCCTCTCCATTAATGAATTTCTCTCTCTCCATCACACTTTCTCCTTCAACAAGGCCCTTCTTTCCCTTCCATCCAAGCACAGTAACTCTTCCTTTGGCTTGAAAGCTGTAGCTACTGGGGTTTAGATATAAATCAAATTATAACTTAAAAAGTGATTTTATGATATGCGAAATAAATATATAGAATAATTTATTTCAATTTACAAAAAAATTGATTTTAAAAAACACTTCTAGTGATATCTAATCACCCCATAAAAAGTAGGTGGATTTGCTTAGTTTAACAAAATTTTAAAATTTTATTCCTATCAATCTTTACTACTAGAAAACCCATGCATTGGAATTTTACTAGAGAAATAGACCTAATGAATATAAGTCTACGCCTAAAGTTTGTCTTTTAAAACACATCCAATACTGTAAAATATATTTATAAGTGTATTTAGTATCTTAAAATATCTTTTGTGCAATTTTACAATTAACATAATATATAAATTGTTCTGAAAAATTAGCGCAATCCAGAGTAAGAGAGAATTTGAATTTAACACAATTCAAACTATATTGGATATACTAAAAAATAATTTAAAATGCTGGATACATTTAAAAAATATTTCAAAGTACCAAATACATTTTAATTCATATAATAATATAAAAGCTAGTATACAAAATTATTGATCCGCACAAATTTTAAAATTTCGATAGATATAATTAAAATAATGAACATGGGATTGGGATGAATTTATTTTTTATTTTTTTGCCAACAGGGATGAATTTAGTTACAGTAAATATCACGCATATATTATTTATTTCAATTGATATACTCCCAAGTTTACAGTGCTCTAAAACGTACTGTAGATACAACTAAAATTAACTCTAGAGCTGTGCACCCAAGAAAGAAAATAATTTATGGTAGAGTTCTTGCTTTAGGAGGTGTTTGGATAGAAACCAAACCATGGTTTCAGAAGTGCTTTTTACGGATTACGAAGTAAATATGTGGAGGAGATTATCTCGTTTTGCGGAAAAGTGCTTCTGAAACCATGGTTTTGGGTTTCCCAAACACCCCCTTAATGGAGGATGAAAAAGGGCATAATTAAAAGTGAAAATTGTGGAACGGAAAGAAAGAAATTAATTGACGGAGAGAGAAATTGTTAAATAAAAATTGGTGGAACCCACATAGATTATTTCTTTGTTTGCGATGCCATGTAAGACGGAATGCAAATGAGGTGGTTCCATTTAATTGGATATGGTGCGCCCGCAAGGATTTCTCATTAATGACGTGGATGCACGCGAATGAGAACTTCACGACCCATACAATAAGGCCAAGTGTGATTATAAGTACGAACGAAAATCACAAAATCAATAATCAATAAATGGAAAGTTGAAAACTTGCTGATCGCCGATTGAAAAACGTGGCAGCGTCACGCCTGGAAAAGTGTCAAGAAAATAGAAACAATTTTCAAGACAGTCCGCCTCACGTCTTTCTTTAACGAAAGATTAGAGCTTAAAAACCAATTTCATCAATTGCCTTCTTTCCAACAACGCTGAAAACGTGGGAAATGAATAGTTAAAATTTGAAAAACTAAGTTGTGAAGATTTTTTTAAAAATTCTAACAGAGGATTATGGTCTTTTTCAAAAAAAAATCATAAATATTTCAATTTACTATATATTTCCTTTAAATAAAAATATAATTTTTTTATGTTCTACCTCCAATAAAATAATACCTATACTTATAAAAAATTAATATTCTGATTTTAAATATAAAATCTATTTTATAGTATAATTTTATATTACAAAACAAATTTTATATTCAGAATCCCAATAGTAGTATTTTTTTTTTGGGTCAAGGACACCCCTTATGATCAATATTAATCACAATCGCACCCCGTACTAGTTATATTTGTTTGAAGCCAGGGCCCAGGAGATCCCAAGCCCCTTTCAAATTCTTTGGCCTGTTCTCTCATTTCTTTGTCTGCGCTCTGCACTTCGTGGTATCACTCTCACTCCCGCTCTCTCTCCCCCCCCCCCCCCCCCGGGACCCGTTTCGCATGGCTTCCGTTGTGGGATCGCCATCTTCCTCTTCTCCTTCAAAGCTCCTTCTCAGACCTTCACTGCCCTCTTCATCACTTTCCGCCTCTACGCACCTCTTCCTCTCCAATCCCACCTCAACTCCCAAAACCCTATCTTCCAAACTCTACTCTGCCGTCTCGTCCTCCTCTTTCGTCGTCGGTGAATCTCCCATTTTCTGTCCCTCCCTTCTCCCTTCGTCCGCATTCGGAGGTTTCTCCTCCGGCCGGCGGTCCCTGGTCGTCCGAGCAGCCAGAGGGAAATTCGAGAGAAAGAAACCACACGTTAATATAGGTACAATCGGTCATGTTGACCATGGAAAGACTACTTTGACGGCTGCTCTTACCATGGCTTTGGCCTCTATGGGAAATAGTGCGCCCAAGAAATACGACGAAATTGATGCAGCACCGGAGGAAAGAGCCCGAGGGATCACGATCAATACTGCTACTGTGGAATACGAGACTGAAAGCAGGCACTATGCCCATGTAGATTGTCCTGGACATGCTGATTATGTGAAGAATATGATCACCGGTGCGGCACAAATGGATGGTGCTATTTTGGTTGTATCGGGTGCTGATGGACCAATGCCTCAGACCAAAGAGCATATTTTGTTGGCGAAACAAGTGGGTGTGCCTAATTTGGTAGTTTTCTTGAACAAGCAGGATCAGGTTGATGATGATGAGCTTCTTCAACTAGTGGAGTTGGAAGTCCGGGAGCTTTTGAGCATCTATGAATTCCCTGGTGATGATGTGCCTGTAGTTTCAGGTTCGGCTTTGTTGGCTTTGGAGGCACTGATGGCCAACCCGAATATTAAAAGAGGGGAGAATCAGTGGGTGGATAAAATTTATGAATTGATGGATGCTGTTGATAGCTACATACCAATTCCTCAGCGTCAGACTGATTTACCTTTCCTTATGGCAATTGAAGATGTGTTTTCAATTACTGGTCGCGGTACTGTGGCGACAGGGCGCGTTGAGAGGGGCAAAGTTAAGGTTGGAGACTCTGTGGATATAGTGGGTCTTAGGGATACCCGGACTACTACAGTTACTGGGGTTGAAATGTTTCAGAAAACACTTGATGAAGCGCTTGCAGGTGATAATGTGGGGCTTTTGCTTAGGGGTATTCAGAAAACAGACATTCAAAGAGGAATGGTTATTGCCAAACCGGGCACCATCACACCCCATTCAAAGTTCACTGCTATTGTTTATGTGTTGAAAAAAGAGGAGGGAGGGAGGCATTCGCCATTCTTTGCTGGATACAGGCCGCAATTCTACATGAGAACTACTGATGTCACTGGGAAGGTTTCTAAGATCATGAATGATAAGGATGAAGAGTCTAAGATGGTTATGCCTGGGGACCGTGTGAAGATGGACGTGGAGCTAATTTTTCCAGTAGCTTGTGAACAAGGAATGAGATTTGCAATTAGAGAAGGTGGGAAGACCGTTGGGGCTGGTGTCATCCAAACCATCATTAAATGACGTTGTTGTGAATTTTGGTCAGTGAAATGAATTTAAGCTATTTTGATGCGGTTTAGTTAGTGTGATTGTCTGCAAATAATTGTGTTACTGTTTTGATATTTCGATGATAATGTAGATTGTTCTATTTTGCTGGGTACCTGGAAAGATATTTCAGGCATGCATTCTACTGTTTTGTAAAGTACAATGAGCGTTAGGCAGTTTCAAGTGGTTGCAGGATGATCAATAAGATGATAAATATACCGAGAAGATGTGTGAGGGTTTTGATTGACTTAAAACTTAAAGGACTACCTAATTTGGTAAGATTGAATTGGATTGGATGCTTTGTCTTCAGGTTAGATGTGCTCGAACTATTTAACGTTTCAAATTTCAATTTGGTCGCATTAAACAATAGCAGGATACCCTAATAATAGCTGATTCAGGAACTTAGTTCAGTAATCTTCAGAGACACAGTTACTTAGAAGAAGAGGATGGGAGCTGGATAGCATCTGATTTTCCTAACAAGTCATGCTCATTTTTATTAAGTTTGTATCAACGTAAATTTCATACGAGTTTTTCCGTTTGCCATATTTGTGTGGCCATCGTTCTGGAAATTTTAACTGGCCAAATCTTCTTCAAACGTTTATCTAGTCATTGTGTAGCTTTAGTGTTGCGAGGTGGTTTGAGGGTCTGATGCAACCTGCACGCACTAGTTTCAGTTTATGTACTGGTAAAATTGTGGAAAATTTTAATCCTGGCTGCATGCTTGGAGTTGATCAGTTGGTGCCGTTGTGCGTCCGCATTTCTTTACTCCACAGAAGATGGCGGTGGACATTTGATTAGTGTATTTTAGTTGACATACTATGTGAAATTAGGAACTGTGATAAGCATGTTGTGTGCGATTCTATATTTGCTCAAGGATGTTAGCCCACCCTGCGACCTAGCTTCCCACATCAAATGCGGGTGGTTCTTAATCTTAAGTATAGGCTGTTTGGTAGGCTCAAACAGCAAAAAGTTGCGAGTTCATTCTACCACTCTTCATATAATGATGGGGCATAATAGTGATGAATACCTGAAGTTGTGTTGACCGGTAGTTTTTTTTTGGGAGAATTATAATTAAGTCCTAAAAAAAGAAAATAATTACCAACAAGTCTTAATAACAACTTAAACAGTTTGTAATGACAAGTGTCAAAGTAAACAATAAAAACTTTTAAGACTAATTTTGTAATATATTTTTTTTAGGACCTCACTATAATTTTTTTTTTGACGTGGCAAGGTGTGTAATAAGTGATGCGTTGTTTTCATTGTGCTTAACGTAAATGAGAGTAAATCGTAGAAGACTGTTAGATACGTCGTAACTTCAGGATGGAGTGGAACGATGATCAATGAAAAGCTTTTGCCTTCCATCCTTCAATGAGCAAAATATATTTTTAAGTTGAATTTTGCATACTCTTGATTTGCTGTAAGCTTCCAGCCGTTAAAGAATTTTCATGGGGGCTTTTCTCGCACTTGGACTTTGACCATCTGACGGGCGCAATTCAATTCTGGATCGATTGGACAAAGACGAAGCTATTGCTTCATTGGTGATGTGGCTATGATCATTCCTCACAGGATTTTGGTGGAGACGAAGCTTTAGGTCGTATCTGGGTCTTGGCGGGAAAAATCCGATGCTGATGACGCATTGGTGAAGTTCCAAGGATAATGCCAAGAAACAAAGAAGCTTCCATACTAAAAGAAATGATAACGTTGAATAGTACAGTTTCATTTTGCAAGAAGATCTTTCTCAAAAAGAAAAAAAACTGGTAAAAGTGGTAATTAGATTGGTCCGTGGCGCATTGCTGACCTAATACAGAAATGACCTCCATTTATGCTTGCTATTTGCGACATGACTGCCTTTGGGAATGCTCGATAAGTTGAATTGCGGTTCTAACTCATGGCACGACTTCTAGTGCCTGTAACATGCTTGGGTAATTGGAATTGGTGGGTCTGACAAAGAACCATTGAGGATTCGATCAGCAACCCAATGATTAGCAGCCTCAGCGTAATGAACACCATCCCAGCTTACATATTTCAAGGGATTCTCGCAAGAAGCACCATACACGGCTTTTCCATTCACCATTTGTTTTGTCCCGCACCATATATGAGTGTCATTCACGTGATATCCGCAGCAGATCTTCAGTGCATCAACAAATCCTGAAAACACAAAACAAAACGAAGCATTGACACCCTCCATTTTAGCCTAATAAGAACCTCGTATAATAAATAATGCCAATAATGAATAGAAAGATATTACCTTCATTCTTAGCTTTGCTGATGAGTCCATACTTTGCAGCATAGACATCCACATATGTGATTGAAGCTTGTGGGAGCTCTGCCCTCAGCTTGATAATTTTGTTTTTAAGCTGTTTGTTGAACTCTATGGCCATCTCATTCTGATCCTTCACGCACCCATACTGGTCAAGATAACCTGCTGGTAAATTATGCTTGTAAAACAGATTCACTGGCAGGCACCCAATTGGTCCTGTGTTGTGTATCCAAAATGCCCTCCCTCCTTGTTGGTATAGATGCTGCAAATCAGCTATTTAAACTCAGACCCGCTTCATTTCAATCATACAGCTTCGAGGTTCCCTAGGATTCTCAGTTATTTCATAGCATAAAAAATTGCTACTTACTCTCACTGCAGAGGCTAGCTGGTTGATGATATCAGGCATAGCTGCACGGAGTTGGTCGAAGCTCATCTTTCTGAAGCCAACAGAGAGATCATTTTGACCAATATCAAATGTGTAAAGCGCCTTCGAGAACTCCTCTGGTACTGGAAGCTTGCTTTTTTCGAATGGGTTCTTAGCTAAATTTCAAGAAAACAAGCACTATATGTAATTAACGACCAATAAGATAGAGTTTTGTCGTAATTTCTTCAAGTTTAGTACAAGTATTAGTGTGAGTTGCTGCTCACCTTGTTTGTAGAGCTCAGTGGTGCGTGCTTTGAACTGAACAAATTGGACAATCTGGATGTCAAGCGAGAATGGGCTTATCCCATACTCAAATATGGTTTCGTTTTGCCTTCTGATGGTGGATCCTCCCGTCGCGAAATTTGCACCGTGCCGGTAATTGGTCCCAAGTGAATTCAGATAAGCACTCAAGTAAGGCAATTTCAACTTCTCAGCTGCCCAGAATATTACTTTCGTTAAAAATTTCACTCTCGCTTCTAAACCAGTAGAAGTGAAGAAAAAAAATCATTTGAATGTGTGTTACCTATGAAATCTATGATGAGGCGGCCATCGCTGTCTCTTCCTGAAGGCTTATGGAAGAAGCCCGAGCCATATGGCCCAGAAATGGGCTCAAATGAAGCTGATATGCCTCCAGTGTCTGAATTTGAGTCTCCGAAGTTGTAAATTGCTGGGAATGCACAAAAAGGCGAGCCTTTCTGCTCTACACCACTCACACATAGAAACCAGAATAGCAAGAATCCGCAGACAAAATGCTTCTTTATCCCCATTTTGAAGCCTGGCTTAGCGTATCCTGTGCTAGATTGAACCAGTGAGCACACCTATTTATAGAGCCGCAAAAACACCCTAGACCAGAACCAGGGGAGAGCGATGAGCTTGGCGATGTGCCTTGGAGCAAAACCCACGTGATTTCATTCACTTCTAGGCTTTTGTAGACACTCTAAGTTCGCTAATTGGCCCTCCTCAGCAGTAAATTCAGGGCTACACTTGTGCCATGAGTCTCTGACATGGGACAAAAATCAAGTGCCTCATACGGCTCGTTTTTGAGGTTAATGTGTGTGAATCGAGGAGGATAAAATAGATTGTATAATAAAGGCATGAGGTAAATGCAGCGATCTAACACATGTCCATGTTTTCCAGGGGCTTGGACAAAAGCGGCGGCTAGTATGGCTGTATGGATGATCCAGTGATGTAGGCATGTAGCATAAGTATAATTGAGGTGGTCCATCTTATGTTCTGTCGGTGGAAACTAGAGAGGCAGGGCAGTACAAAGGCTCAAAATTGTTTGATTAAAAAAAAGAACAGAAGAGATATTACTCCAAAAAAACAGAGAGAGAGAGAGAGACAGAGATTTTGCGTGATCAGTGGGTGAGACAGCAGAGACAATCTTCTAGGTATATGCAACCTACATTTTCTAGTCTACAGTAACGACGTCAGACTTTTTTTTGTTGTGAATGGAAAGCTTTTACAAGATTTTTTTTTTATAAGTTGAGATGAATTTTTTATATATTTATTTTGTATACTATAAAATTATTTTTAAAATTATAATTTGATTTTTATTTTAAAAAAAGTGAGTACTTCTTTTCATTCCAAGATACCAGAAATTAGGAGATAATTATCAGCCTTTAATATTTGCTGAAAATCTTTGGGATGTAATAAGAAAAAATGTCAGGATTATACTGCAAAGACGCTAACTCGTCCCTTATTATAGTTGAGGTCAAATAACACTGACCCTTGCTGTCAATTACGCATCTCCACGGATGCTAAGAAAAACCACACATTTTCATTGGCGCATGGTGCTTATATACACAAATTTCAAACATAGAACATGATCGCATAAGAGAGGAAATAAAAAATTTATGGAAAAAAGTTCACAAACTTTAAAAAGAGGATCTTTAGTACGAGACGATACGAAAGTCCAAAATTGTTTGCGCGGGCGTTTATACGCCGTGTAACGAAGCTTCTTGATTGACCCAACAATAGAGAAGTTATTTTACGCCCTGTAAACATTTCTTCATCACAATCACAGTCCAGCAAAACACATAAAATATAAAGTTCTATCGTTAAAGACGCATGGGTTACCCTGTTTTACAAGTCACCCCCTCACTGTGCACACTTCTTCCAACGTGTGCTTTAATTAGTTATATCAAGCCAGGCACTGTTTGTAGTATATGTAATATTGTAATCATATGATGAGGAAGAAAGAAGGGTCAGAATCAGAGAGACCCAGGTTTATGACACGAGTTCGTGATCGCTATTGGCGGATCTGAGAAAGAACCATTGAGTATACGATCAGCAATCCAGTGATTGGCTGCTTCAGTGTAATGCACGCCATCCCAGCTGATATGGGAGGAAGGATCTTCACAAGCACCTGCAAATATTTCAGTACCATTTACTGTTCCTTTGTTTCCACACCATATATCAGTCCCCTCTTCATGATACCCGCAGCAAATCTTAGCTGGATCTACAAAACCTGCAATGTCAAGAGTAAGTAAAATTTGAAAGGCACTGTGGTTTCTGCTGCAAGTTTTGTTAGCAGTGAGAATTTAGTTACCCTCCTTCTTTGCATTGCTAATTAGCTGGTACTTGGCGGAGAAGAGATCCACGTATGTTAATGAGGCATCAAGGAGTTGTGATCTCAGACTGACCACTGTGTTCTTGAGCTTTTCATTGAATTCTTTGGCCATGTCGTTTTGGTAATTCACACAGCCGTTTTGATCAACGTAACCAGCCGCTGGGTTGTGAGTGTTGTGCATGGTTACTGCCAAGCATCCAATTGGGCCAGTGTTGTGTATCCAGAATGTCCTTGCTCCGTCGTTGTACAGATTCTGGGTAATGGGCACTATATTCTCTTAGCGAAGCTTTTGTGAGTAAGTTTCTTTTGCCACTTTAGTTGAAAATTAAATTCGGTATTGGCTCCAAGTTCATCCTTCAAACGATAGTAGAATCATACGAGATCATTCTTTCACAAATTAATATGTTGAGGTTGAAAAAAAAGTAAGCTTTTAAACGTGTAAATGAGAAGAAAAGGGTTAACTCTTCTTGTACGCATAACTTACTTGAACTTGAGTAGCAAATTGCTGTACAATATCAGAGATTACAGCATGAGAATCCTCTTGGCCCGCTCTGTTAATAGCAGCAGCAATATCATTTTGGCCAATATCCATGGTGTAAATAGCCTTAGGAAAGTCCTCTGGTTTTGGATACTGCCTTCTGCAGGCAGGATTATTTCCTGCAAATCATAGACAAACTCAGTTTTAACAGAATATAAAAAGGCGTTGTTGCATAGGTATATATACCAGAAGAACCAACCAGTTTGATTGAAGAACTTGGCGGTGCGTGCCTTGAACTGATGAAACTGTGCAGTCTGAATCTCAAGAGTGAATGGGGTGCCTCCATCAAAGAAGGTTCTATTTTGCCTCCTAATTGTTGATGATCCTGCTGCAAAATTCGCTCCATGCCCATAGCTTGTTCCAATCGAGTCAACGTAAGCACTCAACAGAGGAAAGCCAAGCTGCTTTGCTGCATTCATATATAAAACAACTCTCATTTGAGACAAGTTACAAAACGAAGTAAGGAAGCCAAACCAAACCTTATACAGTTGTATTACAGAAGAGAAACTGATTCAAAAGAATACGATTGTATTATATACTATACTATACATATAATTGATTTGTATCTGTAAAAGATATGAATTGATGAAGAAACAGACTAGTATTGTAGAAATACCGATGAAGTCGATAATCAGGCGACCATCAGAGGCTCGACCAGCAGGCTCATGGAAGAAGGTCTCACCAGAAGGGGAAGCCATGGGATAGAAAGCAGCGGCCATGCAACCTGTATCTGAATTAGAGTCACCAAAGTTGAAGATTGCTGGGAAATCACAAGATGGCAGAGAATCCATTTCTTCCGACTTCACACCACTCATCACAAACCAAAACACTATGATCCCACCAGTCACATCCATTATGTTCTGCTCACAGGCCTAACCTATTCTCCAACAGGCTTCCTATATATATGTGTGCGTGTGTTTATATTTATATATAAATATTTGGATGGTTTTGCAGAATTAGAGTGATCACGTATTCGTGTACCCAACGGCTAATAATCACATGAGGGTGAATAGAAGTAGTAGAGGAATCTAAAATTGGAAGAAATGAAAGATCTGGCCTGCTTGCCTGTTAATTTCATGAGGAACAACTAAACAAAATGTGATGTCCTGACAAAATGAAGCTCCCTTCGCTATCTTTTGATTGGGTCCCTCTTTCTTTTTTCTGAATATTCCTTATTAAATGCACAATCTCATGATGGTAGATCCCGTTCTGCATTTCTTATATTACAAATTTACAATTATGATAATATGTTCAGCCTTTCTGAAATATAAGCAGGAATACAATTCTTTGGTGTCAGAATTTTATAAAAACAAGTTAATTTATTTTCAGGGTGTCAACAAGCTTAGTCGACAACATTGGCAAAAATTTATCGTGATACCGACAAGATTTTAATAATGGTGATTAATTTCTTGAGGGTTAGACCACAAACGTTGAACTGATCGAAGTGATGAATATAATAATAATGTTACACAAGCTTCTAGGTTGTCCACATATGAACACATTAACCCGTAGGAATTTCAGGTTTCCGTAGGAGTATAATTACAAGGACTGTCCCATATGAGCCGGAGTTTTCTTCTTTGTTCAAAGTTTTTCAATTAATTTGCGTATCACGCGAGATTGAATCTTTACTGAAATGATTTGAAAACTTCTATCTGTGATGATAGTGGTCCCGAAATTTAAAGTCGAATAACTTAAATAAAATGCAATTGAAGGTTTTTTTTTTTTTAATTTTGTTGTTTGCCACGAATTAAAAATGCAAATTTTTATTAAAAATTCAAATGTCAGTCCATAAACCACACGCTTTATTCAGCATGTCTCCTTACTTTAGTTAGCATTTAATTGGATTTAGAAGGAAATCCTCCTTCTCCTTCCCTTTGTTTCGCGCACCTTTCTTCCTCCATCCATATTTTAGGACCATCACATGATTTGCTACGCTAATTATATTATCTTTTAAGACGACGACGTCACAGATGGGCATGATGCTGTGATTCGGCAAGCAGTTTATATAATGTTAAGGTTCTGACCGTAGTGAATCTTGAGAACCAAATCAACTAAATTTTTTATAACAACAAATAATGATACCAGCTTCGAGAATTTGGGGAATGAGAGATATAGGAAAGGATGACGGAAATAATAACGTGAAAATCATTCATAGATTCAGATAAGAAAATTAATTAGAGAGAGATATTATATGGACTTATGAGTAATTATTTTAATAACAAAATGATTAAGGGAAAGGGACATGAGCGGAAATCAAGCTTCAGATAAGAGAGATGGGGTTGTTGAGGTCTCCACTCTCCGCACAACACGAAGAAGGTCGCCCCACTAGTAGAGTGCACGCCTCACCATTATGATAATCAAAATTATAATAATCAGCAGCAAGAACAGAATCATCTTTTGTTCAATAAACAAGATCCATATCTACTATAGATTGATGAAACACAACGGACGCCATTAAATTGGGAGAAAAGAGCGTAATCTCGGGCAAGTAGTTGTTTATTTATTTATTTTGGGGTGGTAGTTGTAAACTGGAAATGGTTGCCTGGGAAGGCAAAACAGGGGGAGGACAGTAGGTAATGTGATGGGGAGGGGATGGTGGGTGGTACAGACTTGACAGAAATGTACTCTGACAAGTACGAAACTTAGAGATGTAGCTTCCGTCTCTCTCGCCATCATCGCATTTTCCTTTTTCATCCATCACTCTTACTGCGACATGTGTGACTGTGTAGCATACGAACATTAATAAAATCGGGAGTGGTAGTGGATTTCGATCGCTTCATAACATGATAACTGCCGAAAGTGATCATAGAAAACGAAAACCCACAGCTAAAAATACTAGTCCCGTTTCTGTTCTCTTTTCGGGTTGCATGATTTCCCCGTTTTGATTGCAATGGTGTCATTCTGGTATTCTGGTTCATGTTTCCCCCGGCCCAAACTCGTGCCAAGCAACATGACCCAGACAGAGCATCACGGCCTAGTTGGTTAATCTGATTCTTCGAAAGATCTCTGCTCGCATTAATATTTCTAGCACCAGCGTAAGGAAAAATCTCACATTAAATGGCCCATTTCAGAATTTCCACAGAAACACTGAGAGTGAGAGCTTATAAAACGGTTTTCAAACCTTCTACAAAATTACATCTTGCCATGACAAAAAGCATTTTTTCCCCACCAACCCACGCAAAATTATGCGGTGTCAAATAAAATTTAAATGACTATACTATTATTGGCTTGCTCTAGTCTGCACTCCTTAAGATTCTCCCCTCGTTTTGCTTCAACGATCCGGGGTCTCTCTGTAGATCAAAGCGGTCGAAAATGAGATCGTCTATTAATTAATACATGGTGCTTCACTTTGGCAAGTTACAAGGCTTTACACGAATATCGCAAGCAAGACATCAAATGAAGATCCATGACTATTAGGCTGTAGCAGATGAAATCATGAATTAAATTCTGAAATGACTAAAACATGAACGGTGAAACTTGCTACCAGTCCCAAAGAAGCAAAGAATAAAAGAGCGGCAACTATAGCAACGAAGCTGCAACCAACAAAAATGTTAAGAGTCATTTATCTTACAGAACATAATGTATAGCCTTCAATCTTGAATATGCTTCACTTGAAAACCGTTACTTTCTATTCGTTCAAGCTTATAACCTCCATTGACATAATTTAGTTTATGGACTGTCAGCCCAGTCCTACATCTTCCATGCTATACAGCACAGCCACAAAACTGATATTACCAGCCGATACTAGCTTTGGAGGTCCTTCTTACTTTTCTTCTTCCTTGAGGCAAAGCTACTGGGTCCTATTTCTATAGACATTCTTTTTGTCCTGCAATGTAAAGGGAAAAGCTAAGTCCAACAGATACTGTTTGACTGTTTGAACGACAAATTTAACAAAGAATAGTCTTAAATGTAATTCATCCACTGCATGATAACACAGCATACCGAGAAGATAGCTCTTCCGAATCCTTGGAATTCCCATCTGCAGCAACATTTGCGATACTATCATTAGCCCAATTACTAATTTAGTTTTTGTATGAGCTCAACGAAAAACATAAGAGAAACCAAAGTAATGCTTGAGCTTGACTGACTTAAAAGCTGATCTATCCATCGGAACAAAACGTAGTCACTTCACGTGATCTATTGACAAGATAATCCACTTATGTGTTATCACAAAATAAGATCCCCCCCCCCCCCCCCAAAAGCAGACAAGATAAGATAGTGCATCTAACTGAATCTTTATATTGTATATGTTCCATCATACAACTACTTATTGGTAATTCAGTCTCTGCATATCTTAGTTTCCCCTCATTCCCAATATCAATTATTTCATTTATTTGGAAGCTTTCATTCTCGACCATATTATCTTGTTCATATCATAAACCAATATAAAACTAATTTTCTGCCATGTCAACACTTTGTATGACCTTGACAAAACAGCCAATGGAACTTGATAATAAATCAATTGAAATGAGCAGGAGCGGAAAACATACCGATTTCATTGGCCTCTTCACTTTCCTGCTCCGACTCTGTTCCTGAACCCCACCGATCTCTTCCATCATCAAAGTCCCAGCGATCTCCAACAGGAGGCATCCAGAATTCTGCCTCTTCAGAGTCACTGTCCTCATTAGAAGACTTCCGTACTTCAGGTTTGATATCTTCAATGTCCTTGTCCTCCTTCTTCTTCTTCTTTTTCTTATCCGTCTTCCCACCATCTGCACTTAGTGGCCTTGGTTTGCTCTCTTCTTCTTCCATTCCATCACATGACAACTTCTCCGCTTCCTTTTGCTCTGCTTTTATAAGCCAAATACATTAGTTGATAAATATCTACAAATTTCTCATGCACTCACATATTAACCCATGAGTAATACTGAGAAACCAGAACCTCACTAAATTATTTGGAATTTTTCATGATTCCAAAAGACCTAAAACAGTGAGGGGTATATGACAGACCTAGTTTATTGAGAAATCTTTTCCCATTCATATGCTTCCAGATATGTTCCTCTGACTTGTTGACGGTGTCTCCAGTCAATTTACATATCAACTTTGAACTGCAATGCGGAACCTATGCCTATGTTATGCCAGTCTGACATTGATAAATAATCCAAGGAACAAACGGACACATAATAAAATAAATAAACATTATATCCTAGTCGATAGCTCGACTCTCCATCTGAGGATTGGAAACGCTATCGGTCTTCCTCGCGAATAGTTTCCACTTCTGACCTTCAAAGATATGGCGGTTTAGATAAGCGACCGGTTTTTTCAAAGTTATAAAAAGGAAACAGTTTATAGCCCGTTTAATTGTTGGAAAGGATGGGAATGGTTTAGAATGGCGTGATAGAAAATAAAATGGACTAAATGATGATAGAGAGGTGAGAACGAAGATTAACATGTTAGGATCTGATGGAGTTGAGGCAAACCGAGCCAGTTCTTTCGGTAAGCTGTAATTCATTGTTCCTTTTGGGCAGCTAAAAGGACGATAAAAATGTGAGTTTTCTCCCTTACAAGGACCAGGAACGAGTTCTATAGTCAAGCTTGGGCATATCCCCTTAGTGCGTTTACACAGACCTTATTGAAGGTGAAAGAAAAGAATAAATGAAATCCTGAAGAGTTCTATTCCATTGATTTCCAAAGATAGCACACACAGACCAAGGGAGAGTGTGGTTTCAACCAAAACCGCCTGGAAGTTAACATATGATAGCTAAGTCCATGGAAACCCATGATGGCAATGAATTCTTATACAAAAAAACAAGAAGGGAATTTACCGGGAGAGTGGGTCTTGCTTGAACATATTGCAAGGGGGCTTATTATGGGACAACGCAAAGTCAATGAGACCTAATCGGCACTTTTTGCTGTGAGAGTAGGAGTCCATGTCCTTGGCGAACAGTTCATGTCCAGTTTCAACGCATCTGAAGCGACCATTCTCCAGCTCATTGAAGGTCGGCGAGCCCAGCAGCTCAAAACCTTCCTTACCCGCCTTCTCTTCAGCCATCGCCATGGCTCGCGCCTCGTTGTCCCTCCCGAAGGCCAGAAGCACTGCACAAAAGACCTAATGGTGGAGCCCGCCAACGATGTCGTTTGTATCAAAAGCCCCGTGCTCTGCCTTCCATTTTATATATTTTATAAAATATACAAATTTCTTACATCTCTTTTTCTTACTCGTTTTTTTTCTATAATTTTTTTTGAAACTTATATTTTTATCTGTCTTTAATCAATTTTAATCAAAGATAAGGGGTGTTTGATAAGTAGTAAAAGCATCCAAAAAAGAGTATTTTTATACACGTCTAGATAAAACTCCTCTCACATGTTTATCTTAAACATTATAAAATTACGAAACCAATTTCACTGCTCATCATTTTAATGAGCATTTTAAACTCATTATATTTGAACCATTTATATATAATCTGAATGGTTTAGATTTAAATTTTTTAATTAGTTATTTTTAAATAAAAACTATTTTTAAAAGAATGATACTTAAAAGATTATTTCTATTTTATATTCTATATATGTTAAAATAATTATTTTAAATAAAAAATAAAAAAATCAAATCCAGATTATCCAAATAAAATACGGACGCCTCACATCTCATGAATTTAAGATACTCATTAAAGTGATAAATACCAAAACTGATTTCATAAAATTACTTTCAAAAAATTAATTCAAAGTCAATAGAAGTCACAACCTGGGGGAAGAAATTAAGGATCTATTGCTTCAACAATTAAAGATGAGTTTAGGGTAATATATATTGATAATTTGGTGTGGATGAGGATATTGTTATTAGGCAGAATTCCAAGGATAGCAATCAGTTTGGCGAGTGAGTTCATCGTAGATACAAGCTCCTGATTCGGATATAGTCCAAGCACAGAGATTGCACCACCAGTCTCGGTCCTCTACGTATATGTCGAAGTAGTGAAGCGAAGTGTTTGAAGGCCACCAGAAGCTGCAGAAAAACAGTGTCGAGTGAATAAAAAACCTGGGCCTCAAACTGAACTTGTAACTTGCTTTATTTTGTAGGGTGTGTTCTCCGAGATCATCGTCCTTGGATTTGCAATGAAGCGTCAAGTCCTGATTTTGAGACAGCCCATTCTGGATTTTCACTGTTACTTTGGAGCTTTTATAATCCATGCCTTTCCGCCTCCCACCATTACAACCATTGCTAGCACCAGAAGCAAAGACTTCATAGACGGAGGAGCCATTTTGTTTCCTCCCATGAGCTGAATTTATCTTGTCCAATCTGCGTTAGTCACTCCCTTCAATCCTATATATACTGGACATTCTTTTGGAAGGTGTTGTTGATTCTTTTTTAAATAAATTATTTGATAGTATTAGTATTAAAGAGTGCTAAATATTTTTTTTTCCATATATGCACTTATATTTAACAGGGATAGTTAAAAAAAGGGGGGGTTACTCCGTCCATTCCTATTATTTTTCGGCATCTCTGACTAGCTCATCAAAGCCAATAAAAGTTTGCCAGGTTATTAATTAACTCTGCCTGAAAATAAAATAAGCTTTCAAATTAATTAATTCATTCAATTAATCATAGATGTTGCAATTAATAAGGTTTTAAATAGAGCAGGTTTTTTAAAAAAAAATGTAATTAATATCTCATTTGGTGACTTGTGATAAGGACCGGAAGAACTAGTATGATGTTAAGGGTTTAGTAGTGTTGTCTTTTTTTCCCCCCTAACATCAATAATACTTCGAAAAATGAGATAAGAAATATATTGAATATTAAAATATAATTAATTAATGAGAGTAAAATAGGAAACTAATTAAAAAATTGACATGTCTCGAAAATTGTCTTTATAATAAATAGGGAGAGATATAAAGATGGCAGTTGTTTCCATTAATAATCACGAATCAAATCACTTAGAAACACGTTTCATGTAATTTGAAATAAAATTACTTTCACGTACTTATCTCATTTATAAATAATTATTAAAAAGTTACTTATAAGTGATTTTAAATTGAGATAAAAACATACCGGGAATACATTATTCTTTAACATTTATCAGTGCAGTGTTAATAACATCTTGCACTTGTACTATTACTACTTTGCAGTTATTGCATTTAAAGAATCGTCCTCATTTGCATTCGTGCTTTACTCCGTTATTAATGCTTCGTTTTTGCTTCAAACTGCGTGGCCCGTGTCACCGCTTCATTTAGATGGTTTCATGTGCTATGAACTAACCCAGATAATCAATCTCTTCGCCTCAAATATCTCAACATACACTGTTAATGCACATTTGACGAGCGTTTTTGCCAACAATTCGATTCAATACTTGAAGCCAGGTACGTTTATTTTCTAATTTCTTCTCAAACAAATATCATATATATTTAGAGAGAAGTTGGCATATATGGCAACGCCAATGCATAGGAGCCACTAACTGTTGATTATTGTGATTTAGGACTTGGGGAATTCCAAGGAAAGCACTTATTTTGACAAGGACCAGATTCTTCTATGTTCCAAGTACAAGGATCACACCCCAGTCTCGGTCCTCTACGTATATGTCGAAGTAGTGAAGCGAAAGTATCTGATGGCCACCGAAAGCTGCAGAAAAACAGCGTCGTACGAACAAAAAAACTGGGCCAAAATTTGAACTCGTAGGTTGCCTTGTTTTGTAGGGTGTGTCCCAGATCATCGTCCTTGGATTTGCAATGAAGCGTCAAGTCCTGATTTTGAGACAAACCATTCTGGATCTGCACCGTTAGGGGAGCAAATCTTATCTTCCACGCCTCCACCTTCAGACATTGCAACTACTATTGCTGCCACCAGAAGCAGAGACTTCATATATGGAGCCATCTTGTTTCCTCCCTCTCCTTCTTATGCAGAACCTAACATGAATTGAAATGATCTCCTCCGATGTACATTACTTGGTCCCTCCAGTCCATATATAGGGCATTTTTTGGAAGGTGCTTTTGATTTTTGTAAAAAGAAATTTAATTAGATTTAACTTTTAGGAGTATTAAATACTTCTTTTCCCATATATGCATATATTTACTAAGGCAATGAGGATTGAGGAAGAGTAGAA